CTATTAGGTTGCATTATACTGGTTTACATGGAAAAATCCCTATTAGGTTGCATTATACTGGTTTACATGGAAAAATCCCTATTAGGTTGCATTATACTGGTTTACATGGAAAAATCCCTATTAAGTTGCATTATACTGGTTTACATGGAAAAAACCCTATTAAGTTGCATTATACTGGTTTACATGGAAAAATCCCTATTAAGTTGCATTGTACTGGTTTACATGGAAAAAACCCTATTAAGTTGCATTATACTGGTTTACATGGAAAAAACCCTATTAAGTTGCATTATACTGGTTTACATGGAAAAATCCCTATTAGGTTGCATTATACTGGTTTACATGTACAAATCCCTATTAAGTTGCTTTATACTGGTTTACATGTAAAAACCCCTATTAGGTTACATTATAGTGGTTTACATGTAAAAATCCTTATTAAGTTGCATTATACTGGTTTACATGTAAAAACCCCTATTAAGTTCCATTATACTGGTTTACATGTAAAAACCCCTATTAAGTTCCATTATACTGGTTTACATGTAAAAACCCTATTAAGTTGCATTATACTGGTTTACATGGAAAAATCCCTATTAAGTTGCATAATACTGGTTTACATGGAAAAATCCCCATTAAGTTGCATTATACTGGTTTACATGAAAAAAACCCTATTAAGTTGCATTATACTGGTTTACAAGGAAAAATCCCTATTAAGTTGCATTATACTGGTTTACATGGAAAAATCCCTATTAAGTTGCATAATACTGGTTTACATGGAAAAATCCCCATTAAGTTGCATTATACTGGTTTACATGTAAAAAACCCTATTAAGTTGCATTATACTGGTTTACAAGGAAAAATCCCTATTAAGTTGCATTATACTGGTTTACATGGAAAAATCCCTATTAAGTTGCATAATACTGGTTTACATGGAAAAATCCCCATTAAGTTGCATTATACTGGTTTACATGTAAAAAACCCTATTAAGTTGCATTATACTGGTTTACATGGAAAAATCCCTATTAAGTTGCATTGTACTGGTTTACATGGAAAAAACCCTATTAAGTTGCATTATACTGGTTTACATGGAAAAAACCCTATTAAGTTGCATTATACTGGTTTACATGTAAAAACCCCTATTAAGTTGCATTATACTGGTTTACATGGAAAAATCCCCATTAAGTTGCATTATACTGGTTTACATGAAAAAAAACCCTATTAAGTTGCATTATACTGGTTTACATGAAAAAACCCTATTAAGTTGCATTATACTGGTTTACATGGAAAAATCCCTATTAAGTTGCATAATACTGGTTTACATGGAAAAATCCCCATTAAGTTGCATTATACTGGTTTACATGTAAAAAACCCTATTAAGTTGCATTATACTGGTTTACATGGAAAAATCCCTATTAAGTTGCATTGTACTGGTTTACATGGAAAAAACCCTATTAAGTTGCATTATACTGGTTTACATGGAAAAAACCCTATTAAGTTGCATTATACTGGTTTACATGGAAAAAACCCTATTAAGTTGCATTATACTGGTTTACATGTAAAAACCCCTATTAAGTTGCATTATACTGGTTTACATGGAAAAATCCCCATTAAGTTGCATTATACTGGTTTACATGAAAAAAAAACCCTATTAAGTTGCATTATACTGGTTTACATGAAAAAACCCTATTAAGTTGCATTATACTGGTTTACATGGAAAAATCCCTATTAGGTTGCATGATTACACTGAAGTCCTTGAAACTGCTGAAGTCCTTGAAACTGCTGAAGTCCTTGAAACTGCTGAAGTCCTTGAAACTGTTGAAGTCCTTGAAACTCTTGAAATCTTGAAACTGCTGAAATCCTTGAAACTGTTGAATCCTTGAAACTGTTGAATCATTGAAACTGTAGAAATGTCTGAAAGAGCTGAAGTCCTATTAAAATGCATGGGCCTATTAAAATGCATTGCAGAATTCTCAATGCAGATTTTTGTCCGATTGCGGAAAAACCGGAAATCGCTGAAGTCCCAAAAGTAATAGCAATAATCTCCCAAACATGTGGAACGTTTTGATGTATAACTTGTGGAAATTGTTGAAAATGTGAAAGCTGTGAAACGTGTCAAAAAAAATGACGGAATAAAGAAATACAAAACCAATGGTTGACTGCGGAAGGTTCCGCAGTCAATCAATAAGCTATAATAAGCTCTATTCGCACGGTGTGACGGAGTGGGTCCGTCTCTAGCTGTGCACGCCGATGTATTAGTAAACTCCGGGCCGACTTTCATGCTTCATACACACACGCACATACACTTTCCCCCCCTTCCATTGATCCATACGCATCATCTCTCGTCTTTTCTCTCCCCTCTGTTACTAGTCTGCCAAAGTTGCACACTTCAGGGGTTAGAACTACTGTACATTGGAGCATACATACATACGTATACACACACACATACCGGTCTGTCGCGCTCTTCCATGGCACACACCCCAAAGGATCCTCGCAAATATGCGGCTCCAGTCAAACCACATGGAACATGTTTGTGCTGATGGCCCTTTGCATTAGATCAGCTCCGCACACATCACTTGTATTTAAACTTTAGAGGAGACCTGCGAGACGCGGCTCGTCACTCGCTGCTCTTACCATGTGGACGAGCCGTCGTTTGTTGCTTAAAACCAACAAATGAATGTTGGTTCATTTGTTCATTTGTTCATTACAGACGAATGGGAAGATTAAAAAAAGCAGTTCTCTGTGCGCAAAGGTGCCGAAGCTCCGCTGTCTCGGCTCTGATCTAGTAGAAGGCATAGCTGCACTTATGAAAAGTATGCGGCTCGAAATGGCTGTTATTTCAAAGAACGTGGAAAATTTTAAACTGTGCGGTAAACCAGTTTCAACCGGTTAATGTGGCTCGGTGGTTGGTCATGAAAATTCTTAGTTTTTTCCAACCTTATTCCTGATTTTAGCGATTTTCCGCAATTGGAAATACGCCGTTTTAGTTGCTTGGTTTATATAAGCATTGAAGGAGAGTTCTTCGTTGAAAACGAGTCCAAGATTCCTCATAGTGTTGCTGGGTACTATAATGACATTATCGAGAGTGATTATCTGGATCACTTCTGTCTTTTCTCCGGGTTAAGAAGTAGAAAGTTAAGAGTCATTGACGTTTTGAGGTCTTTTATGCAGGCACTAAGCCTTTTAAACTGATCCGTCTGATTTGGTTTCATCGACAGGTAAAGCTGTGTGTCATCTGCTTAGCAGTGGAAGTTAATTCCATGCTTTCTAATGATCTTGCCTAACGGCAGCATATAGTGTGAGAAGAATCGGTCCGAGTACCGATCCCTGAGGCACACTGGGTTCATTAATTTAATTTAATTTAATTAATTAAATATATAACAGGCCATGGTAGCGTATATTAAAGACCTTATGACTGGTTTGATTTATTTAGAAATACAGTTTTAATACCATTTTATATTAGAAGAGAACTACTAAAGGTTTCAAAATCAGTTGTTGTTTTTTTTTTGTCTGATCCCCCCAAATCGAAATAACCCCATAGCAACGCCCTTAGAAACGAAAAAACTTCACAGCCCTTGGTGACGTCAGAACGGGTACGTTTCAACGCTGTAAGTTGTTTACAATTTGGTATTCGTTCTTTTTTCGCGGATATTCAAGATGACAAGGCCGTGTACAGCGGGTCTAAAATAACTACTAGAATGAAACATTTCGTTGTCACTGAGATAGTGCAGTGGTTGTGTCGATGGATTGCTAATCCAGATACTTGGGTTCAAATCCCACCTCGGGCACTTTTTCACACTCAAAACGGCAATTTATGTGTAGTGAGCAATTGTCACCTGTAGAGGGCAGTATTGTGTTGGGCATCAGTGGAGAGAAGAGAGAAAAGGCAGTCCTGTGGCATAGATCCATGGTTTTCAATGCATGGGCGTAACCCGCTATGACGTCACACACAGGTTAGAGCATAGACAACTTAAATTCATGAAAAACACGTTCTTTTTATAAAATATAGGCTTTTTTTTGCCAGAATCTCTTTCAAATTGACATTGTCATGCAATTTTGATATCCACTATTTTTTTTTTTTAAAACCCGTCATAAGGTCTTTAAAGGAATAGTTCACCGTTTTTACATACTGACATATGTTCTTACCTTACCTTAGACTAGTTAATACGTACCTGTCTGGTCTTTGTCCGTGCGCTCTGTCATGCAAACGGAGCAAAAGCGGGAGCACAACCGCAGCCTCCTCTGTATATTTTGTAGCACCAAAAGGTAGCTCCCGCTAGAAGCTACCAAACTCTTCCAAGTGTTCCCTATTAAATGTATATAGTTACGTGACGTGTTACACTGCAAAGTATAGTAACACAGAAATGTAACAGTCGATTTTCTCAGCGGATAAAACGGGTACTATATTGTGAGGCGTAGTAATCTGAGGAGCACTACGTCCGCGCACTAACTTCTCTCCGGAGACTTCTCTCTCGCTCACTTCCGTCAATAGAAGCAGCGTGACTTGTAGTACGGAGAGAAGTTAGTGCGCAGACGTAGCGCCCCTCAGATTACTACGCCTCACAATATAGTACCCGTTTTATCCGCTGAGAAAATCGACTGTTACATTTCTGTGTTACTATACTTTGCAGTGTAACACGTCACGTAACTATATACATTTAATAGGGAACACTTGGAAGAGTTTGGTAGCTTCTAGCGGGAGCTACCTTTTGGTGCTACAAAATATACAGAGGAGGCTGCGTTTGTGCTCCCGCTTTTGCTCCGTTTGCATGACAGAGCGCACGGACTAAGACCAGACAGGTACGTATTAACTAGTCTAAGGTAAGGTAAGAACATATGTCAGTATGTAAAAACTGTGAACTATTCCTTTAAGTCACAAGCCTTCATTGGGTAGGACTGACTGATTTTATTAACCATGCAACGGACCGATATGAGGTTAACGGCTGTATGCCATACAAATGTGAGAGGTCAATCGAGCTCCCGGGCAGCGCTTTGCCCAGGTCTGCTCCATGGTAATGAAATGCAAGCTCTCCTTTGGGTTAGACCTTTTAGTCTGCTTCAGTAGTTGAAACACATCTCCAGTCTGGTTCTTGTGCAGGAGCTGCTGGAGTCCCTGGACAAAGGGCCAGAGGAGCTGAAGAAGCAGCTGAGTGAAGCCCTGAGGAAGCTCACACTGCTGCAGGTGAACGAGACAAGGCTGACTCGACGTTACACCACCGTTCTGGAGCAGGAGCAGCATTTCAGGAAGGAAATTAGCCGACTGAGAGACGAGAGCACCACCATGCAGAGCAGCGTGATGCAGAGGATGGGCTCACTGCAGAGACACAAGGTGAGCACAAGCAGTGGGAATCTCTCCGGTCTGACTCATATGAAGTTATAGGTGCAAAGCATTTTTTATTCTTCATACTTGTGGTGGTTTTGGAGTTATTATTTCACATTTTAAAACATGAAATGGCAAAGTAAAAACATGGCAAACCCTTTGTGAACCCCTGGTGTTTGTTATCTAAAGCAGGAATTATTAGACTAATGCAATAGAAGAAACCCCCTATAGGAAAATTGGCTGGCTTGATTTCTACTCAGCCTCTTCCCCATTAAGGTTAACACTATGGTGATTGGTGATATGAATTTGTAATGTTCAAAAGCAGACATCAGGCACATTTTCTGCTGTTTCCAGGACACCGTGATCTTACATACAGCAGCTTTACATGTGAACACCCTCTTAGTAGACTCTGCTCTGTTCATGTGGTCCGTTTTCCCAGGACATGGCGGTGTACCGGATCGCAGCCTTACAGAAAGCCTTAGACGACAGCGTTCCTGCCTCAGAGCTACAGAAGGCCAACGCTCAGTTCACGGAGCTCACAGTGAAGTATAGAGACCTGCTGCAGAGGGACGGGCGCCTGGTGCAAAGGACCAACCGGCTGGAAGACCTGCAGGTGAACACGACCATAGACTGTATACAGACAGTGCTAACTCGCTCTGGCTCCTTTTGAAATTATGGTAAATACTTTCTGGACTATAAGGCACACCTGTGTATTGGCCACACCAGCAACATTTTAAAAGAAAGTCCACATGTAAACCGCACTTGAATATAAGCTGCAAGTTTTCATGTTGTGATGTAGCAGAAAGACGACTGTTTTAACTTGTTATGTAAGGGATAACGTATATTACGCAGGTCATTATCGGAAAATAAGTACCGACAGGGCGAAGCGGACCCCGACGCGCTTCCGCCCTGACTGTACTTATTTTCCGATAATGACCCGCGTAATATACGTTATCCCGCTTATTATACGGCTTTATGCCAACAGAACACACAACATAAACTTCAGTCTACTTTTAGGAATGCCAAAAGGTTTATTTAAAATAAGAAAGAAAATAAAATAGTTCCCAAAGGCTTTCCCGTGGCTATGCTAGCAACACTTAGGCTATCAACTTCCAAACTAGAACTCCCTGGAACTGCATGAAAACTGAACAAAGAATTCTGAACATCAGCTGTGAGTGACCCATACATAAACCTTACCTAAATCCATAATTCGATCCTCTGCAAATGTGTCATATAATGTGCCGGTATCTACTTCCGGATTTTTCGGGATTGCCTTTTCTCGCATTACATCAGTGTTTTTGTCATGAAAACGTAAACGGAAAATTCTGAAAACTTCCGTGCACTTGTATATGTATATGTATAATGTATTCTCCGATTAACATTTAATTGCGTTGATTGATTGGCATTTGCGTTTAATGAGCGTGGCTAGCTCCGGAGTGGCCGGAAATTCTTCCGGGTTTTTCATGTTTGCTTTTTGACGCAGATAAATAGTATTTTTGTCATGAAGACAAGAGCAGTAAATTCTGAAAATCTCCGTGCACGTGTGTGAAGAATGCATATGTATAAGTATTCTCCGATTAACATTTAGGTGTGTTGATTGATTGGTATTTGTGTTTATTGAGCGTGGCTAGCTCCGGAGTGGCTTGAACTACTTGCGGAGTTATCCACGCATCTGAAAGACAAGCAGAGAGTGCGTTGCCATGGGCAGCGGTCATTATTGTTTTGCGAGGTCCGTTATGGAAAATAATGACCGGTAGAACGTTTTGAAATTACAATCAAATCAATGGAGCGTTCTACTTCTGCTGTGAGGAGCCGTATAATAAATATAGATATATGATATATAATTTTATCAAATATTAAAATCAGATAATAGCTTCATCGTAAGCTTTCATGACTCATTCACCAGCAGCTGACCTCGACTGGGGATATTGTTGGATTGTGGGAGTGAATGAGATCTGTCCTGACTATCTATAGTCTCTGAATGTTGTAGGACTGTCTTAAGCCGCGTTTAGATCGGATCATGCGTCGGCTTTCAATGCAAAGTCAATGGTGACGCGCGTTCGAGCGTGGAAATGCATGTGCGTCTCGGAATGCACGCACGGACTGCTCAGTAGAGACGCACGGACTGCGCGGCAATGTCGCGGGGGAGGTGCAGGAGCGGAAATATTTCGTGCAGGAGATATTTTTTGCTGAGCGTTTCCTCGGACGGTCGTGCAGCGACCAATCAGAGAGCCACAAAGTGGTCATTAGCAGCACTCGTAAACAGCCAAAACATAAGCTACACCAGGACTAAACCAGGGTTGACAATTGGGGACATAGTGCTTGTTAACATGTGAGTTGTCATGCTCCCGTGACCTTATGCAACTGCTTCGCGCGTGTTTGCCGATGCGGAAGTACCGTTTAATAATAAAATAAACGTATGCCGCACCTCCGTGAACACATACTGCTGTTATATAACGTCTCTGGAAGGTCTCTGGACACAGACACGCTGCAGAGCTGCCTTATTGGAGAAGAACTTTACACAAAAAGCCGCTAGCTAGCCCGCCGGCTACTTCCGCCACTTCCGGTGCGCGCCACCGCTGGCCAGGACTTCTGGTCTGAAGTCCCCTGCGTCTGAAAATTAGAGAATGTGTGTCTGGTGAGCGAGGCTTCAGCATTCCAGCATTGGTGGTGTGAAAGCAGCTAAGCTGACACGTCTCTGCAACGTTGCGTGGCGCGTGGGCCGATCTTCATTCCCTCTCTCACCTTTGGTCATGAGCTTTGGGTTATGACCGAAAGGAGAAGATGGTGGATACAGTATCCATCCATCAATTTTCTACCCCTTAATCCATTTCTGGGTCGGGGGGTGGCCACCCAGATGCCACCCAGTACGCATAGCACCAGCCCCTCACTGATACTCCTGCAGGTGGTGAGTCCACAGGTGGATGGCTGCTCTAGGGCATAGCCTTGATCTTTCAGTGGGGGCTTCGGGCAAAGTGGGGTTAAGTGTCTTGCCCAAGGACACAACGACAGCAGTCATCAGTGCGAGTCGGTGGAGAAGGCCTTGGATGCAGTAAAGCAGTAAAAATTAGTTTCCTCCATAGAGTGGCGTGGTGCTCCCTAAAAGATAGGGTGAGGAGCTCAGTCACAAGGAAGGAGCTTGGAGTAGAGCCGCTGCATCTCCATGTCAAGAGGAACCAGTTGAGGTGGCTCGGGCATCTGTTCTGGATGCCTCCTGGACGCCTTCCTGGGGAGGAGACCTTGGAGATGACCCCGGGGAAGACCCAGGCCACGCTGGAGGGTCTATGTCTCTCAGCTGGCCTGGGAACGCCTTGGGGTCCCCCAGACGAGTTGGAGGAAGTGTGTGTGGATAGGGAAGTCTGGTTGTCTCTGCTTAGACTGCTGCTCCCGTGACCCGCAATAGATGGAGCGTAAGAAAATGGATAGATGGATGGACTCATTCACCAGTCTATTTGGACAATAAATGAGTGTCTAAAACTTGATGTAGTCAAAATGAAAATTTCCACAATAAAAACATGCATATTAGCCAAATTTCTGCGTAACCAGCAGGGTTCAAAGAACTAGAAAAAGGTTGTGGCCTATTGTCCGGATATTATGGGACACATAAGTAAACTCCTTTAACTCAGTGACTGTTTTTGTCACACCTTTTTGGGCTTTTCTCACCTTTTTGGCCTTAAAAAATCCGAGGTTATAGCGCTCTTATCCTGGCCTCTTGGCAACACTATTGCGGCGCCATGCAAAATCAAATCAGCTTCTTCCGATTTAAGGCTAAAACGATTGTGATGTCACACTCTGTTAGTCCACTCCTCATTTACAGTCTAAGCTAGTTAATAACTGGTCTTATGAGAATTACTACTGTGGTGTGAGCTAACACCACAACTGTGTAACTAATTTCTTGTTGGTCTCTTAAAGTTCTTTCTGATCGTTGTAAAAGATGGTGAAGTTGGGTGATAACAACAGTTTGCAAATGTTTTCTTCTTGTTCAGAATGAGAATGCGTCGCTCCAGGAGCAGATCTCGGCTCTGAACAAAGAACTGGAAATCAGCAAAGAGAAACTCAACACTTTGGAGCAGGCCTGGGACAGCAGCCACAGTGGAGGTCAATCATTGAGTAATGAGACCAGACCTGAAGCAGGTCTTAAGTGGGGACTAAAGCAGGTCTAAAGCAGGGAAAAAGAGGGGACTAAAGCAAGACTGAAGCAGGTCTAAATCAGGTATAAAGCAAGTTTAAAGCAAGAAATAAAGCGGGTCTAAAGCAGGACTAAACCAGGACTAAACCACAGACAGAGACTTAAGCACTGAGGGACTGAACCAGGGCTGACAGACAGTAAAGACAATGAAAGACCATATGAAGAACATCCACATTTATGAGTAAAAACAGTCCATGATTATACTTATACTATATAAACTGTATATTAAAGCTGGGGTTTGTAACGTTCAAATTAAAACAACAGAACTTTTGACCTATGTCAGATCTTTAAGAGAGGACCACCCTCACTCAGCCAATCACTTCACAACCCATAGAATCAAGCAACATATATTGTTTATAAAAGTTGAGTCGCCCAGCTTAACGAAGGAAGTCAGTTATGGTGTTCCTCAGGAGACGCCCTCGCTCTGGACAAAGCCGGGAAGGGGCAGCTCAACAGCGAGATGGTGTCGGCCGCCAGACGCATCACCACGCTGGAGATGAAGGAGCTGAACGAGCGCCAAAGAGCTGACCACGCCCACAGGATGTACGAACATACAAGGAGCTCCCTTGTCCAGGTGGAGGAGAGGAACGCTGAGCTCGAGGCCAAGTTCTCCCAGGTATTTTACGACATGAAGCCATAGCACTGACGTATGCACTTGGTTTTTGATAATTGATCATTTGTGTTTTTTAACATGTGTGAAAGTTTGGCAGGTTATTTTGACACGTGTTGGCGTTTTAGCATGGGAGATGAAAAGAACCTGCCTAAATAAAAGGGAGTGAGACCAGAGAGAGATTGGTGACACCAGAGATAGATCAGTGACACCAGTGAGATCCGTAAGACCTGAGAGACCAGAGAGTGAGAGACCAGAGAGTGAGAGACCAGAGAGTGAGAGACCAGAGAGTGAGAGACCAGAGAGTGAGAGACCAGAGAGTGAGAGACCAGCGAGTGAGGGACCAGAGAGTGAGGGACCAGAGAGTGAGGGACCAGAGAGTGAGGGACCAAAGAGTGAGGGACCAGAGAGTGAGGGACCAGAGAGTGAGGGACCAGAGAGTGAGAGACCAGAGAGTGAGAGACCAGAGAGTGAGAGACCAGAGAGTGAGAGACCAGAGAGTGAGAGACCAGAGAGTGAGAGACCAGAGAGTGAGAGACCAGAACGTGAGAGACCAGAACGTGAGAGACCAGAACGTGAGAGACCAGAACGTGAGAGACTAGAGAGTGAGAAATCAGAGCGTAAGAGACCAGAGCGTGATCAAAGATTGGGCAATTTTGGGCTAACAGTGTCAGAAAGTGCTAGCAGGAACCCCGGTCAAAAAAGGAGATATTTATGTGGTTCATTCTTATCAAAAGCTTCACTTGTGTTTTTTATTTCTTTTGTAACGTCACCCTTGGACAGATACAATTTTTGACAATTACTGCATCTTTTCTCAACACTTCAGCTTTGAATTATTATATTTTCTCACTCTAAAGACATAGCTCACTTTGGCGCCACAGAGTGTAATCTCCCCATTAAACTCTCTGTTTACAGGCAATTAATGAACCTAGCTGCCAATTGCTTTTTAAGTCTTTCCACTGAGACTTTTATTTGTTTAACTGCGTTCTTGGCGAATGGCGTCTCAGTGGCCAAAGCAGAGCCAAAGTCAGTGTAAGGCCATGTGTTTCCCACAACCTTTATCTCAAGGCCCTTATCTCCTTTATACAAGGACTGAATACCAACAATAATATGAATACAGCTTCAGATATGTGACGGGTATGAAGGGTCAGTGATCCGGCGTCAGACTAGACGGCAGCCATTCTACGTTGATTGCAGTTATTGCAGTAATATTTATGATCTTATGATGACAGTATTTTGCTCCAATGTCAAATATGCATTTTTGGTATTGATACCGCGGCAACTTTCTTGAATTATGTAAACCTGTGAACTCTTAAAGTGATTGTCTGGAGTTTGTCAGAAAGAGAGACAGAGAGGTACTTGATTTGAAAAAAACGACGCAAGCTCCCTCCCCCTTCCTTTCTGATTGGTCTACGCCTACGTTTCCGTAACACTTTGAAATGTTAATCAGAGAACACATTATACATATACATTATTAATACACATGCACGGAGGTTTTCAGAATTATTTGTGAACGTTTTAATGAAAAAAATAATGTTTTTATGCGCAAAAAAAGCGATCGCGGCAAACCAGGAAGTGCTATTATCATGAATTGCACATTATAGGACACATCTGCAGAGGATCTGGTTATGGATATAGGTTCAGTATATACATAAGTACCTCAGCACGGATGTTCAGAATTCTTTGTTCAGTTTTCATGTTGTTCCAGAGCCTAATAGAGGCTTGATTCGGAGGCTCCGCGAAAACAAACAACTGCGCATGCGCGCAGCTGCGAGCATCAGCGCCGATGATTGACAGCTCTTGGCATGACTCGATTGGTTAACCTCGACGGCACCGTGGATTCTGAACTATAGCTAAGAGCAGGGAAGGCGGGACTTGCCCGTAATATTAGAATTAATAAAATTAGTTATTTTATGTCAACATTTAAGGCCAGGAGGTCAATTTAGCACATTTCCTAAAATTTGTAATTAATTTAGAGTTACAGACTATCACTTTAAGGCGGGTTCACTGCTTCTTTTCTTTTTTAAGTTAATTTTGTTGTCCCTTATACTGAAGATCACTAAGGCCTCTGTCAGGAGCAGTGGTGTCACTGCAGCTCCCACAATGCTGTGCACAGAGGGGCTCGGGCCGCGTTCTGACCAATCAGCCGCTGGTGATCAGAGTGAAGCTAGAGCAGGAGAGCCAAATGAGCAGAGTTTGTTTCATTAAAGTGTGGATTTATAGAAAAAAAAGTTAATGATGACGATGGAAAATTCTCTGCTTCTCTGTCAACTGAGGTCGAGCTGTTTTAGTTTACCTTGAGTTCTATGGGACATTTTTCTGGGTAGCCCACGTGAATTTAGTCTGCATTACCGCCGGCACCCCCTGTGGCCATTGGTGGGTCAGCTCTAAGCTGGTAATACCCTATCCAGATATTATAATATATCCATAATTTGAACCCAACCTCCTTTCTTAGAAGTGAGAGTGCTAACCACTCAGCCACTGTACAGTTATTCATTTTTGAATAAATAGGATGAACAAACTCTACTGATGGGCTACTGGTCTGCTACTGATTTTTTTTCTTTTTAGGTGATTGAGGTGTTTATATTGTGATCGTGTCTTTGTAAATCCAAATATGAGCCCAAACAACTGACCGATCAAATGTCTTCATGGGGGAAATTACAGCTTGGCTTAGCAACCATCTTAGCAACACATCTGTCCCAAGCCCCGGCGATCCAAGATAGCGCCCTATTCAAATGAATGGTTGTGCTCAGTGGCGCTTTGTGAGGGCATGGGGGCTGAAAGATTAGCGGAAGTCGCCTGGAGCTCGCAAAGATCTATGGGAAACTCGCCTGTATTTGGGCATCGTCTGGTCCTCCCGGTTCTGCGCAGTGGAGGATCTCCCATAATGCGTTGCGCCAAACACGCGTGTGTGGGTCTCACACCGGGTCTCACGCACGTGCACAGAGGGGCTCGGCCGCGCTCTGACCAATCAGAGCAGTTCATCAGAGCGGGAGTTAGAGCAATAGCCAGACGAACAGAGTTGTAGCAGTAAAGTGTAGATTTAAAGAAAACCGAAGGATTTAAGAAGAAAAAAAGTTCAGGATGACAAGGGACACTAAAATCCCCACAAAATCCGACCTTTATGAAAGCTGTAGGTTCTGTGTCAGCTGAGGTTGAGCTGTTTTAATATGCATTGAGTTCTATGGGGAAAATTTCTGGGTAGCCCTCGTGAATTTAGTCTGCAGTACCGCGAGAATCCCCCGAGCCCATGAGTTATTCAGCTACAAGCTAGTAATACACTATCCAGTTAATATAATAGATCCATGATCTGATGTTATGGCGCGAATCTAACATCGTTGGAACAAATGTCCATGAAAGGAAAGTGGCTCCAGCTAGCTTATGTCAATATCTGTTACATCAAAATCAACACTATGGTGGTTTCACACTGGGTCAATGATGAATGAATACAATTGTTACCCAGGCTCCTCTTCCAGCTCTTTTCTGATGGCTCCTGTTCTGCTCGCAGCTGACCCAGATGAACGCAGAGCTGCAGAGGGCCGAGCGTGAGCTGAGAGACGAGCTTTCCAGCTGTGTCAGTAAAGCGGTGAGCGACGCCGACCGTGAGAGAGTGAGCGAGCTGGAGAAGAGCGAGGCACAGCTGCGGGAGGAGGTGTCCAGGTCAGGATCTACTCCCCACAAAATGCTTTACCATTGAGCTGCAGACAAGATGTTCAAAAGTGGACTATAGATGGAAAGACTGACTCATATCACAGTCAGTCTCATTATGAATGGATATAATTTAACTATTATTTATTCTGTGGGTAACGACAAAACAACTTTAGCACTGTTTTCACCAATCCTACTTGGCCCTACTCTACCCCACTCTTCACTGCCCTGATTGGAAGTGTTTCTGCTGGCCCTGCTTAATTGGTACCAGGTCCTTCTTTAGTCCCTCTAGTACCAGGCCAAGCTGGTACTACGTAACGCAAGCTGAAGTATTAGTACAGTAACTGCCAGAGTGCTGCTGGAAGCCATGGTTACCGGGTACTAGTTTGTTGGGGGTCGGTTGCTAGGATACGGTACCAAACACCAAAGCATAATGAAACCGCAACCAGGTAGAGCAAAGCCCTATTCACACAGGATTAGTATTACCTGTGGACCTCTTGTAATTTGTGTAGAGGACAGTACGGGCCAGAGAACTGTTGAGCAGTGACGTTGGCACATTAGGGCCAGGGTGGTCCCAGGCCCGCCCACTTTTTTGATTGGCCCAGGCCCAGGGCCTGAGAAGGCTTGCATGATTTTTCTCACCATTTGTTATGATTGATACTTTTATTCACTCTTCAAAAAACGCTTAACAATGACATTCAAACCAAAGCCTTAAAAAATGCATTAATAAATGATTAGATGTTCACACGCCTCCTCCTCGCCTCCACAGCAGCAGCAGCACGTGACCCTCATCTCTCTGCTGTGATTGGCTGTCTTCCTACTGCACCTAAATTAGCGAGGCGCCAAGCTCTACGAGTAGCTACTGTTTACTTTCAGTAAAGTCCGTCTGGGAGCGCTCTCTGAAAAGTGATAAGTGAAGCGAGTGAGTAATCAGAGAACATTATTATGGATCTATCTCCATTCAACACATTTACATATGTTCTAATCTGTCACTGCACTGCACTGAAATTCAGGCTGCACATAGACAGAGACAGAACCGACTCCATTTGAGAAACAGGGAGGTTTAAAGGCTGAAAAAATACTTTATTAAAAATACTATTATCCACTCTGAGTGGCAGTCAGACTCTTCTGTTCTGTATTGAATATTTTTTTGCTTCTGCAATGTCACTGATGGGCTTTTCCCTCTTAGATGCGTGTGTGTGCAATCGCGCTGTTCTTTTGGGGTCTTATAAAACATCCATGGGCTCAGCGCACAGAAAACTATGTCCTGCACAAAATAAAAACAGCGTCCTGTGCCGCACCAACGACGCAGCCATGGGTTTCTACAGTGTATGGACCACGGTGGATCAGCGCGGTCAGGCCCCATTCAGAGTCAGAGCCAAAAGCTCTCTTTCTGTGATGATGAGGTTCACTGTCCGAGGGTGCGGGAGAAGTGCCCAACGCAGAAGTTTGAAGCTGCGTTTGATCCAGAACAAACGCAACCTCACCCTGCACACCGCAAACCGCAAATGGGGACTCGGTCTGGCCGGGGACTCGCGAGCAGTGTCTCAGAAGCGCTACACCAGCTGTGTGTGTGTGTGCGTGGAGCTACACACGCGCACACACATGCGGGGAGACTTGACTCTGAAGAACAGGAGTCCTGCTTACGTCTCTCTTTGTCCAAAGTGCCTCCATCACTTTGCTGTGGTTTTATTGTTAGTGATGATCTTTTAAATGATGTTAAGTTTCAGTTCAGCTCAAAGGCCTGGAGTAAAGTTGGTTTTGTGGCAATTTGACTATTAAGATAATAATTGTATGTGATTTGTTTTATAATGCCATGTACAGTGGGGCAAAAAAGTATTCAGTCAGCCACCGATTGTGCAAGTTCTCCCACTTAAAATAATGACATAGGTCTGTAATTTTCATCATAGGTACACTTCAACTGTGAGAGACAGAATGTGAAAAAAATCCAGGAATTCACATTGTAGGATTTTTTAAGAATTTATTTGTAAATTATGGTGGAAAGTAAGTATTTGGTCACTTCAAACAAATAAGATCTCTGGCTCTCACAGACCTGTAACTTCTTCTTTAATAAGCTCTTCTGTCCTCCACTCGTTGCCTGTATTAATGGCACCTGTTTGAACTCGGTATCTGTATAAAAGATAGCCCAAATGTAGCCCACAACGATATTTCAACAACTGATAATCTCACTCGATCTGGGGCTCCACGCAAGATCTCACCCCGTGGGGTCAAAATGATCATGAGAACGGTGATCAAAAATCCCAGAACCACACGGGGGGACCTGGTGAATGACCTGCAGAGAGCTGGGACCAAAGTAACAAAGGTTACCATCAGTAACACACTACGACAACAGGGAATCAAATCCTGCAGTGCCAGACTGTCCCCTGCTGAAGCCAGTGCATGTCCAGGCCCGTCTGAAGTTTGCCAGAGAGCACATGGATGATACAGCAGAGGATTGGGAGAATGTCATGTGGTCAGATGAAACCAAAGTAGAACTGTTTGGTATAAACTCAACTCGTCGTGTTTGGAGGAAGAATTATACTGAGTTGCACACCATACCTACTGTGAAGCATAGGGGTGGAAACATCATGCTTTGCGGCTGTTTTTCTGCTAAGGGGACAGGACGACTGATCCGTGTTAAGGAAAGAGTGAATGGGGCCATGTATCGTGAGATTTTGAACCAAAACCTCCTTCCATTAAGTTGAATTTGTGTTATTGACCAAATACTTATTTTCCACCATAATTTACAAATAAATTCTTAAAAAATCCTACAATGTGAATTCCTGGATATTTTTTTCACATTCTGTCTCTCACAGTTGAAGTGTACCTATGATGAAAATTACAGACCTCTGTCATTATTTTAAGTGGGAGAACTTGCACAATTGGTGGCTGACTAAATACTTTTTTGCCCCACTGTATATATATTATTATGACTAAATATAATAATGTATACCATTTATTAAGACTCTAAAGGTTAAATCCTCTACTGCCAAATATATTCCTAAATCTACTTTAATTCACCATCGTTTATACTGTAGCTAATTAGCGCCTATCCACCACAGTCTATGCTATTCACTAAAAGCTATCAAACCGAGAGAGGCATGTCTGCTAGGTGCTATTGGATATCATATTGATTTTTCCTCTGGCAAAAGTTCGCCCGCCCACTTTTCTCCAGGCCCACCTTTTTCAAAATTTCTGCCTACGTCCCTGCCGTAGAGCAGTAATATCCACATGTATGTGTTTGTCCTCATGGTCTCTGTCGCTGCTGTGGTCAGACGCAAGACCATATGAAAGAAAAAAGCAATGTCCAGAATCACTGTCAAACCTGCCAGTGTGTGGAGGTGATTTAGAGCTAAGGACCATCAGCACAAACATGTTTCCCATGTCTTTGGCTGGGAGCCGCTAGCAAACATCCGCGAGGACCATTTGGGCTGTGTGACACGACTCGTGCACGTGCCGGCCGTCACGTGATGGTAGTGCAAATATAGTAATATACAGAGTTTGCTAATACCGTGTGAATGCGCTGCAAGTGTCACAGACGTGGGGCAGTAATTTTATAATTACCAGAGGTCCACAGGTAATACTAATCCCCTGTGAAGAGGGGGATTAGTAAAAGACATTGTAAAACATGTGACTTACAGAAGCTTTCTCTTGTTATGAATAGACTATTGACATATGTTTGTGGATGTGTGTGTGCAGACTGCAGGAGGTGTCTGATGTGGCCATGCTCCAGGCCTCAGCTCTGCAGAACAAACACCAGAGTAAAGAACGAGAGCTGGAGTCACAGAGAAGGCTGATCTTGGACCTCCAGGTAACGGAGCACAGAGAAGGCTGATCCTGGACCTGGAGCTGACAGCAGTCATTTTACAACCGATAACTGAAAATGAGAGGACCACAGTCACTCAGCTAATCAGCTCTGACCAAAAAGTCAATTAGTCACACATAGGGCTGGCTCTAGAGATGAAGTTGTAATGTTATGGTCTGATTTGTTCACTTTTTCTCTTTTACTAGACTCTTTCTGTTGTGACTATCAGTGATTCTAATGTGTGAAAAATGGTTTCCAAACATTGATAATGTTGGTTTTTCCCTCAGAGCCAGTCGGACGAGAAGTCTCTGATTGCCAAACTGCACCAGCACGTGGTGTCCCTGCAAATGAGCGAGGCATCGGCTGTGGGCCGGCTGCACTCAGCGCTGTCTTCTGTGAACAAACTGGAGCTGCAGAGGCTGCGTGCGGAGCAGAAGCAGGACCAGAGCAACCGTGCGCTCTTCCACGCTCGTCAGGAGGCCAGGAGCCGCTGCCAAAGCCTCCGTCAGACCATCCAGTCCCTCCGCCGGCAGTTCTCCGGAGCGCTGCCTCTCAAGCAGCACGAGAAGTTTGCAGAGGCCATGGTGCAGGTGAGAGATGTGGTCCGGGAATCATTCATCCATGTTCTCGTAGGAGAGGTGTGGTCTACGATTGTCCAGAGTTGTTTATTGGGTTCTCAAATGTGTCTGCACGCCTGCATCAATCCTAATTCAATCTGAGCTGGAGATTGAATTGAAAGGATTGATGCAGATGTGCGAGCTGGAGCCTGAGCCTGTCCGTCCGTGGGAGCAGATCCATCTATTATTATGGACCCCTTTTTCTGGACAGGGTTAGGTTCACTCTGCTCCCTATAGACCAATATCTCCTACTGTATGTGTTTGTTATTTTTGAAGTTCCTGTGCTCAAATGGTTTGATTCTCTATTCTGCTGTGGGCAAATTGACAACTTTGTAAAGTGAACATGGGGAGAGCAACCGTGTTATGGAGCAGCAGGAGAGGTTAGACAATTAACCTCATCAAACGTTTTGACTTACCTTTTAGCCAGTGAACACAATTGTGACATGATGATCTGGGGATTTGGGGGATCTGGTGATGAGCTGAGCTTCTGTGTGTAGATGCAGGAGGAGCGAGGGAAGGCGGCGGAGGAGAGGAGGCGGGCAGAGGAGCAGCACAGGACAGCCGAGAGCCGAGCACAGGAGCTGGAGCTGAAAATGAGAGGTCTAGAGGAGCTGGTGACCACGCTGAAGGACTCCAAGGGGGCCCAGAAGGTAACATGAGCGTGTGTGTGTGTGTGTGTGTGTGTGTGTGTGCCCAATCAGATGATCGATCAAAATAAGAATCACATTTTTAATTCCATTGTAACAGGAAGTCACAAACAAGGAATTATAGTAAAAATAGATATACGGCATGCATCTTTTCCTAACCCTTTATTAAAATTAGTATTATAAATAAGTGCACACTACGTACACAGACTAGACATTTATCAGTGCAGTAAAGTGACATTAGTATAAGGGGATCAACATAATGCAGGGGAATCTCAACCGCCTTAGCAACACGTTATGGCGTAAAGCTAACCTTGTCGGAACTAATTCCTATATAAGGAAATTGGCTCCAGCTAGTTTATGTTAAAATAGGCCTCTTACACATTAAAGATAACGCTATGGTGATGTCACACTTAGACAGTCCACTCCTAATGCATGGTTGAGGTGCAGGTAATAAGAGGTGTGTACTGTATGTGTTGTGTTGTGTTGCAGGTGATAGAGTGGCAGAAGCGCATGGAGGAGGCCCGTCTGCTGGAGCTGAGACGGAGCCGTGAGCTGCTGGTGCAGAAAGAAGAGACTGTTTTCCTCAAGCGCCTGGTGCAGGAGCAGGAGCGAGCCGTGCAGAGACTGGAGGAGGAGGTGGTGCAGCAGAACTCTGTGAGGATCTTGAGACACTCAATCAATTCAATTCATTTTATTTTTGTTTTTCCCTAAATCATAACAGCAGTTATTTGTGAGAACTTTTCAAAGTTGACGTGGGTGGGCAGTACAGGAGCTTGGTAGTTAAACGCTCTGCCTCCGTCTGTGCTTTTTGACACTTTAGGAACCAACAGAAGTCTGGCGTTTTGCCAGAATAGTGCTCGGTTTACACACACACACACACACACACCTTAAGATATTAAATAAAATAAAGGAGATGTGCTGTAACCACTGAGAATTAACTTTGATCTGAGGGAATTTACATCCAAATAATTTGAACAGAGCTCAAATTACAACAGTTTTTGAGGGCTCAACTGATGTTTCGTCCTCTCTGACCCAACCTGCATTGCCACTAGATCAGGAGCAGTGGTCCCCGTAGTACAGCGCCCAGGGACCCAGCTCCAGATGTTGAAAGGATCGGAACTGGAGGATTTTTTGCCTATTGAACATTATTTTAGTGGTAGGGGAAACCAGAGCAGACACGGGGAGAACATGGAAACTCTGAAAGGCCCAGTTCCAACTAGAATTCAAACCTTCTTTCAGAGAAGCAAGAGTGCTATCCACTCACCCACCGTGTCCCATACATCTCCCTGATTGTGTTGCTCATATTCTGAATCTCAGTGCTCTCTGTGTGTGTCAGCTCCTGGAGCAGAGGCAGCTGACCTGGGACCAGAGAGAGCTGGAGCTGGAGAAACAACTGGACCATTACGAGAAGCACCAGGAGGAGCTGCTCCAAGATGCACACAAGGTCCGTACCATCCTCACCCTCCACAGACTCCCCCACACTGCACTCTGGATAGTCACATTTATTATTCTTGTTTGTTTCAGATTGAGGACAGTGGCTTCTTACCAGACCCTTCTCAATCTATGGCTCACCAGCTTGAGTTTTCTCTGGACAAAATCAGAGAAAACTTAAAAACTATCAAAGATCTGCAGGCCATGTGCAAGAGCCTGGACGAGGTATGTGTATCTTTTAGACCAGTGTCTCCCAAAGTGGGGTCCGCGGCCCCCTGGTGGGCCGCGAGGGTACTGCAGGGGGGCCGCGGGAGGTCATAAAAAAAATAAAAAAAATAATATTATTTAATGTTAAATTTATAATGTTTTGTTTGTAATATTAAAATATTTGTGTTCATTATTTGACTTGAATAATCCACTGTAATCATTTTTGTATTACAATGTTTGTAGCAGAGGCTATTTCCCCAAAATAAAATAACCAGAAGAGCCTATTCTTAATGTTGTCTTCTTGGTTATTATTTTGGGGGGCCACTCAGACCCATCAGATTTTTAAGGGGGCCTCGGTGTTACTGAGTTTGGGAATGGCTGTTTTAGACATTTAGGACTTACTTGCTGCTGTCATAAAGGTGAGTGACCTGTAGAAAAGAAGCTGTGTTTACAACAAAAAACATCTGCAACTAATTTAGTTGTAAAATTCTGGTCTCTCTCTCTAGTCTCTCCCACTGGTCTCTCTGTCTGTAGTCTCTTTCTTGTCCGTCTGTATTTTCTCCCTGGTCTCTCTCTATGATCTGTTTTTTTTTTTGAGAGAATCACATTATAATGGACTACAAGTCTCATCCATGTGGATCAATCACTTTCCAACATATTTCTTAAAAGAACAAGTTTATAAAGGAAAAAGCAGCGCATGCAACAGCCCAAACTCTGACGCTGTGTGCTTTACTCACCCGAACACGCTGACGTTATCAATCAATCAATCAACGTTTATTTGTAGAGCGCCTTTCCTACACAAGGCAACGCAAAGCGCTTCACATCCCCTATCACATCATGCATAAATCAAACACATTAAGAGCACAAGATATATTAAAAACATTAAAAATAAAATCACAAAAATTAAAAACCTTTAAACATTAAAATCACAGATGGGACTAAAATCATAAATAGTCACAGTGCATTAAAAAGATTAAAGATAAAAACAAAGATGAAAAGATAAAATCATTCAGTTGTATATGCGCAGCTAAACAGAATTGTTTTGAGCCTAGATTTAAAAGATGCCAGAGTAGACGCCTGTCTCACATTCTCAGGAAGACTGTTCCAGACTCTAGCCGCATGAATCTGAAATGCAGTTTGCCCATGTCTAGTACCGACTCTGGGCACTAACAGGAGTCCAGTCCCTGTGCTCCTCAGAGTCCGGGTCGGTTCATATGGCACAAACATGTCATGGATGTACCTTGGCGCGAGACCATGGAGAGACTTGTACACAAGTAAAGCTGCTTTGAAGTCTATTCTCTGAGGAACAGGAAGCCAGTGCAGAGACCTGAGAACTGGACTAATGTGGTCGCACTTCCTAGTTCTGGTCAGGACTCGAGCTGCTGCATGTTGAATGTACTGCAGCTGTTTTACAGCCTGTTTGGAGAGACCTGTGAACAAGCCATTGCAATAGTCTAACCGACTGGAGACAAAAGCGTGTATAAGAGTCTCCAAGTCTGCCTTAGACACTATGTTTTTAATTTTAGCAATGTTTTTTAGGTGGTAATAAGCTGCTGATGTTACAGATTGTATGTGGCTTTTGAAATTTAAGTCTGAGTCCATTATCACTCCTAGATTTCTGACCTGATTTGAGGGTTGTAGAGAGAGAGCCTGGAGGTGACAAATAACGCTCTCTCTTTGTTTCTGGGGTCCGAAAACAATTTTTCAGTTTTGTCGGTGTTTAGTTGGAGAAAGTTATTTTGCATCCAATCACCGATTTGCTGGACACAGTGAAGGAGCGAGTCCACTGGTTCATGCTCTCCTGCTGTCAGGGACACATAGACCTGAGTATCGTCAGCGTAATTGTGATAAGAGACATTATTACTGTGAATCAACTGACCTAGAGGCAACATGTAAATATTAAACAGAAGAGGACCCAGGATTGACCCCTGTGGCACTCCGCAGGTCAGGGCCAAGTGGTCTGAGGTACAGTTTTCGATCTCCACAAAAAACTGTCACTCATTAGACTTGTGTGTAGTGTTAGAAACTTCTTCCCCTGGCCTAGAAAATAAAAAATGGGTTTATTGTGTCTATATTTGGTTGGATTCCTAGTTCTGCAAAATGTTTTTCATTTGCAGAAGGTGAAGGAGAAGGAGGCAGCTCTGTGGAGGAGCGAGCAGAGCGTGATCTCCAGAGACAGAGTCATCAATGAGCTGCGTCTCAGACTTCCTGCTTCAGCCCAGCGAGAGCAGCTGCTTGCAGACCTGAGCCAGGACCCGGCCCGGACCAGAGACCCGGCAGGACTCCAACTGGCCCAGCAGACCATCCGAGACCTGCAGAGACGACTGGACAAGAAGGAGGAGGTTGTCAAGAAGTATCAGAGGCAACTGGGGGAGGCACGGCAGGTATGGCTTGTCAAAGCATTATGGTGCTTTCAGACCGGATTATGCGTTGCGTCGGGTTTCAATGCAAAGTCTATGGTGGCGCGCGTTCGACCGTCACAACGCACGGACCTCTCGGCACGGACTGTTCAATAATGACGCACGGACTTGGCGGGAAAGTGAAAAGGGAGGAGCAGGAGCGAAAAATCCACGCCCACAGGAGATGGATTCTGCTCATCCTTTCCTTGGGACGTTCGTGCGAAAACCAATCAAAGTGCAGCAAAGTGGTCACGGGGACATTAGCGGACTGAGCGAGCAGACTGAAAATACTCGTAAACAGCCAAAACAGGACCCACACCAGACTTCACCAGAACTCAAACCAGGGCTGACAATGGGGACCTCTGTGCTTGTGAAAATATGCGTTGTCATGCTCCTGTGACCTTATGCAACTGCTTCGAGTGTGTTTGCTGATGCGGAAATTCCGTTTAATAATATGCAAAAAAACGTATGGCGCACCTCCGTGAACACATACTACTGTTATATGAAGCCCGTGGAATGTCTGTGAGCAAAGACACGCTGCAAAGCTGCATATTGGAGAAGATCTGTAGACAAGAAGCCGCTAGCATAGCTCTGTTAGCATTGGAGCCGGCCGGCTACTTCCGGTACTTTCGGCTCGCGTCAGGACGTTCTGGTGTGAAGACCTCTGCATCTGAAAACTAGAGAATGCGTGTCTGGTGAGCGGGGCTTCCGCGTTTCAGCCTTTAGCGGTCTGAAAGCCCCATAAATCATTCAAGTTTAAATGTAAATGGGACTAGTTACTTTTGTCATTTCATGTTTTAGAATTTGATCAAATACATTCAGTAGAAAAGATAGAATGAAATCAGAATGAACGGTGCAGGTGGAAATGCTGTCCACCTGTAACTCCCTATAAGGGAGACCAGAGAGACACCAGACATGAGAGACCAGAGAGTGGCCAAAGACCAGAGAGACCAGAGAATTATTGGGCAATAAAACTGCTCCAAGTGCAAGTCACTGTAGTAAAATGTCATCATACTGTTGAAGGACTGAGAGAGGAGCTTTTAAACAGAATGAGCCAAGTAGCTTGTTTGCTGAAGCAAGCAACTCGGCTTGTTTCCCCTGCAAATGAAGGCATTTGATTGGCCAATCCTTATGACTCATATCCGGATTTTCAAGTACAATATCATAATGCAAGCACCAGAATCACAGAGAGCATTAAAGAGTGTGACACAAACGGTTACTGAGCTAGAGGGGTTTACTTTTTAATGCCATTAGGAGACAGAGCAAGTTGGAGCAAACCTTCACCATGAGCACTTCCCTGTTTGTCTTCATTGAGCTAGCGGGTTAGCATTGTCCACAAATGTACAGTCTCTAGTCTAAATGTGTGCTTTATATTCACACTGATTCTTGTGTTGTGTGTGTGTTTAGGAACAGGAGGAGCTGATAAAGAGGCACCAGGATGAACTCAGGGCTCTACATGACAAACTGGACTCACAGACGGACAGCTCTTTGGACCAGTTCAAACTCAACGCACAAGTACAAACACTTTCATTCATCATAATATTAATAAATCTTTACGCATCATTGTTTTCATGATTCATCAATGAGCACTTCACTGTGAGGCTTCATAGTGCTAGCTCTGGTCACTCTCTTTGGTCGCTCTTTCTAGTCACGCTGTCTGGTCATGCTCTCTGGTCGCTCTCTCTCAGCTCTCTCTCTCTGCTCTCTCTCTCTGGTTATGCTCTCTGGTTGTTCTCTCTGGTCTCTCTCTCTGGTCGCTCTCTCTGGTCGCTCTCTCTGGTCTCTCTCTCTGGTCGATCTTTCTGGTCGCTCTCTCTGGTCGCTCTTTCTGGTCGCTCTCTCTGGTCGCTCTCTCTGGTCGCTCTCTCTGGTCGCTCTCTCTGGTCGCTCTTTCTGGTCGCTCTTTCTGGTCGCTCTCTCTGGTCGCTCTTTCTGGTCGCTCTCTCTGGTCGCTCTCTCTGGTCGCTCTCTCTGGTCCCTCTCTCTGTCTCGTTGCTGGTCCATGGTGCAAGCATGAGCCAGTGATCATTGACTGTTGACCTGAATGGGCAGACATTTTTGACTTGGTTCATGTGTGTGTTCTCCAGGAGCTGCTGAAGAAGCCCGCTCTCTCGCTTCAGAGCTCTAAACACTTGGAGCGTTTGGCTGAACTGGAGCAAACCACAGCGGAGCAGGAGCTTACTCTGTCCTCGCTTACAGAGAAGCTCCGGATCAGATCTGTGGAGCTGGAGAGAGCCCAGAGAGAGCTGCAGAGTGAGAGGACCAGGCAGGAGGAGTACAAGCACAGGTGTGTGTGTTTGTGACTGTGTGTGTGTGTGTGTGTTTGAGAGAGAGAGACTGTGTGTGTTTGTGACTGTGTGTTTGACAATCATCTGGACTGAAGGCATGAGGGGACATTGTTTGTGTGGTTCCAGGCTGGAGGCTCAGGTCGAAGCTCTAACCAATGAGGTGGAAGAACAAAAGGGTCACATGATGCAGATGGAGTTGGACCTGGTACAAGTCCGGACTGAGCTGCAGGTCCAGAAAGAAGCCAACGCACGGTCGCCCAGCAACAGCCTGAAGAACCTGGTGGAGCGACTCAAGGGACAGCTCTCACAAAAGGAGAAGCAGCTCAAGGTAACTAGCACAGAGACGCGCAAACACACACACACAAGCACACACACACACACACTTACCCACACATGCACATAAACCATTGGTGATCAAACAGTCCAAAATGGATCATCTTGAATCACTTGCACACTGTAATTTGTCCTAACCCAACGCAAATATGGGAGAATGTGACCTTGGGGTGAAAGCATACGGCCAATATCATTATTGTCTCAATTTTCAGTCCTTCTTTAGTCAAGGTAAGAGCTGCTCTGGTCCTGCTTTCCTAGTGTTTCTGGGACCTTGATTTGTGAAATGAACTAGATAAATAAAGTTGACTTACTACTACTGCTTACTGATTGGCTCCAGTGAGATTGCATGTAGTCCTGACTCACGGCTTCGTTTGTTCTGAACGGGGCTTCTGAGAACCATCAAACTTATACCTGGTCTTAAACGGGACTTTGCAGGGGCTATATTTTATTGATGTGTTCCTCCACATGTGTCCTCCAGAGTTTGAGCAAAGCTCTGCTGGCCCTCAGAGCTGAACTCACGTCTTCTGCAGAACAACATGTGATCTCTGCAGCCGCACAGAAAGAGGAGAGTCTGAACGTGCAGCAGCTGGTGGACCGCCACACCAAGGACCTCAGAGTAAGAGCTCAACTCACTTTAGTTTTGTAATGTTCCTAATCACAGCAGAAGCTGTCATGAAAGGCCTCACAGAAATCTTGATTCGCCAACAATGCATAAAAAAATTAAATACTTATAATTAGTAAATAAAATGGATGTGGTCTTTTGAACCAATGGGCAAAAAGGAAAAAAAACCTCTGGGAGAACCACATCCAGCACACCAGGACTTAGGCTGTAGATCCAGAACTGAGGCTTTAGATCCAGGACTGAGGCTGTAGATCCAGGACTGAGGCTGTAGATTCAGAACTGAGGCTTTAGATCCAGGACTGAGGCTGTAGATCCAGGACTGAGGCTGTAGATCCAGGACTCATGTAGGTCAGTACTACATTGAAAACACATAAGGACCCTCATAAGGACCCTGTTTTTATTGTAATTTCTGTGTTTTCTTGTGTTTTCTGCTTCAGTCTCAGGTGCAAGATCAGAGCGAGGAGCTGCAGCTGTTGAGAGAAAGTCTGAAGTCTTCACGAAACCGAGAGTCCAGCCTGAAAGAGGAGCTGGAGCGTTTGAAGCAGGACAATCAGAAGGTCCAGAAAACTCAGAGACGACTGGAGAAGGAGCGAGAGGAGAGAGAGAAGGATACCAAAGAGTTAAAACAACAGTGTAAACGCCTCAGCAACGCTCTGCAGGTGAAGGAACCAGTATACGTGTAAATTCCTTGGTAACCACCTTGGTCTGACATTGCTCCGTTGGGGCACAACTATGTCCAAACAATATCTGACTGGACCAATCAAATTGTCAGGGAAGGCTTTATACGATGATGGGCAGATGAGCAACAATAAAAGGTACTAGGCTACCACATCAGCTAATCTGCCTAAAATGGTTTAATCATAGGTAAATTACGCTGAAATGAGGAGTGTGGGAATGCACGTGTGTTTATCACATTGGACAATAAACACGACTCTCTATTCACACATGAAAAACTTGGCAATCAAGGATATTTTCATAGTCATATCATAAGATGTAGAAATCTATCAACAACAAGCTTAGCTCTGTAATGCTTATTCGCGTTTTTGTACTTGTTGGAGTTAACGGATTGGAGTGGAACTTTTCCCTGTCTGTTTTTTTCTGATGAGGCCTCGAATCAACATGTTTTTTCAGCCCGCCCTCCTTCCTCATACATTGAAAATGGGCATGTTACATTCCAGTCGTGTTATCAGGCAATGACAGGGCCGAGAAATGGAATTGTAATCCTTAACAGAGTAGTTCTATAATGATTTTCCTTTGTTATTTGTCTCAATAATTAGTAACGTGTTGGCAAATACTCTCTCAATCCTTAAGTTCTTTTTACAACACCGGCAAAAGTCATTAACACTCATCATCTACTTCTTCCAGCGTGCATACAGTTAAGTTCAATTTTATGTCTATTTTAGAATCAGCCCGAGTCGGACAGTAAAAGCCAAACCATTGAAAACCTTCAGAAGAAAGTCCGTAAGCTGGAGTTGGATCTGGACAGAAGAGAAAGCAGACCAGTGAAGGACGAGGCGGGAAAGGTCTGATATCTGCCAAAAGAGGTTCCCATGGTTGTCTCCTGTTTGTGTCCTTTAATGTGTTATAGTTTTAGGGCAAAGAGGAGGTGGTCCGATGGGAGGAGGGGAAGAAGTGGCAGACCAAACTGGAAAAAGTCAAATCAACGTTGAGAGAAAAAGAACGAGAAAACGAGTCTCTGAGCAAACAGCTGAGCACGCTGAAAGATCTGTACTCCAGGTCTGAATAATAGAGTCTGTAATAGAGTTCATGTCTCTAATTCCTGCTCTAAGGCTGTCTTTTCTGTCTCTCTGTTCAGACTGGAACAGGAGAAGGCCTCTCTGCTGAAGAAGCTGAAGTCTCGAGGTCTCACTGTGGACCAAGTGGTGGGCATCCAAACAGAGGAGAGAGAGGCCGAGCTACTGGAGCTGAAGCAGAGGAACCGAGAACTGGAGGCGACCATTGGCAACATCAGGTTACTGCTGCTTCTGCTACTACAATTACTGCTGCTACAACTACTACTGCTAGTACAACTACTACTATTACCACTGCTTTTTCTGCTGCCTCACGTCCCTAACAGTCACTACTTGATCTTGTGCTGAGGTCAGATTCCGAACATTGTGATAAGCATTTGTATTACGTTTCTCGCTCTGAGTTATCGAATGAAGTCGTGAGAGTACATGCAGAAGTGAGGACCTGTCTGATAACAGAAGACATGTATTCATGATCAGCGAGCTTTGTCTTCATGTGACCTCTGCAAAGTCATTCTTCAGCAGGACCATGACTCAAGTCTGCGCTTTCACACTGAGAGACGTCCTCGTAGTCGTCTAAAACGTCTTATGTTGCAACAGTTTTTGTAGTGGTAGAAAACGTCTAGTAGAAAAGTCTGGTATTAATATTTTTTTTTCTCTCAGTCTTATATCTCTTTGGTCTCTCTCTGATCTCTCTCTCTCTGACTCTGTCTCTCTCTGTCTCTGTCTTTCTATCTCTCTGTAAATTAAATCACATACATCTCAGTTACAGTTTTTTCCGCTAATGAAAATATACACTATGCAACCCTCAAGTTCCCAAAGAGAGGTTCTAGTATTAGATTAAAAACTTGGAAAGAGTTTGTGAAAACGGTTCTCTGTGAAGTGCAGTGCAAAACATGTGCTCAGAGAAGCCTCGGTCAATAGACTGTACATAGACGATGCTAACCGCTGCCGACAGATCGGTGCAGCGTGAGCAGCATTTAAACATGTTGTGTGTAAAGTAACACATTTTACTACAGTATTGAACTAAAGGCGATGACCAACAGCTGCAGACTTTGTATCTTTTGCAAACACAACATCATCCCACTGTCGTTTGTGGATCCACAGACAGCAGCAGGCCATGACCCGGGACGAGGCCGTGGACAGTCTGACACAGAGGAACCAGGTCCTGGAGGAGAGACTGCAGATGCTGGAGCTCCAAGACACGGTGTCCAGGCCCTCGGTGAGAAAGCAGCTGGAGGACAGACTGGAGTCTCACAAACTGCCTCGATATAATGTTTACTTTGTATCTCCAGTTTGGATTGTGAAATAATGTCTTAAGTAGAAGCTATTTGGATAAACATGTGTAAGATAAGATAATCCTTTTATGAGAAACAAACACACATCTGAGAAGAATGGGCCCACATGTACAGCTTTATACAGAGAGAGACCAGAGAGAAACCAGAGAGAGACCAGAAAGAGACCAGAGAGAGACCAGAGAGAGACCACAGAGTCACTATTTGACTCTTTGTGCAGAACTATTGGCTGAGTGAGGGTGGTCCACTCTTTTCACTTTTCTGATTGAGAGGGTTTTTAGAATTATTTCACATTCTAAAACAAAATGAAAGCATTATGACCTCAAATACATACTGTTTGTCCTGTAACGCCATTTTCTCTTTCATCTATTGTCTCCTTCCAACTATTTCTTTAACTGTTGTTTCTTTTCCCACCCTTTTATACACAAAAAATCCTCAAAATCCTAAAAGCCAAAACTCTCGTCTTCTAAAACTCCCCGCAAAATTCGCTCGGCCACTTTTGACATTTCAGACAACACTCAAAACATCCACCAAAGCCTCGTCGTCAGCCCCGAAGCTGCTTCCGATGAGGAGGATCATTTGGAAGTTAGCGATCTCAACATGCAGATTGGAACCGTAGAAGAGGAGAAAAGCAAACACGCAGAAGAAAAATCCCTCGAAAGCGGTGCGGAAGATTCAAAAAACGAGACGAAAGCTGCAAGAGTTGACGAAAATATAGAGACTTTGAATGAAGAGGAAATTGGCAATGTCGTTTTGGAAGGCCCGAAGAAAGCCGAAAAAAGCCTTGAGCGACAACACAGCGTGGATAAAGAAGAAGAAGACAAAATGGCCGACGTTAGTGGAGTTTTGGGTTCGGAAACCTCCCGAAAGGAAGACGAATACACCGAGTCAAAAGACCGGGTTTGTGAAGAGCAAAGAGAAGACACAGGTGGAGTTGGGAGTCCAAAGGTGGAGGCAGGGAAGAAGAAACGTCACAGCCGCAGACGAGGTTTTAGACATTTAAAGGTACCTGTGTGGTGGAGATGATAGAGACTGTTCTGTCGTAGAACCCTCAGAGTTCTTCTTTCCCCTAAAGCTGCTTGTGGTTGCACTGTTCTCCCAGTAAGATGTAGCTCTGTAGTTACATACCTCCCACACGTTGCTCCCGCCGCTCCAATGTGATGTGTGAGACCTGGGTCAGGGATTTTTATTACTTGCTATGTAAACTAAATGTACGGAATTTCTCTGGTAAAACCATGGAAATCTCTCTGGTCTCTCTCTCTCTCTGGTCTCTCCCTAATCTCTTTCTCTAGTCTCTCTGGTGTCGCTCCCTCTCTGGTTTCTATCTCTTTAGTCTTGCTCTCTCTTATTTTCTGCTTACGGTATAACCTCTCTGTGCATCTTTATTTTCCAGACTTCTGGCCGCGGCACAGTCACCCCGTCCCAACGAGACCATGACGTCCACAAGGAAAACCTCAAACTGGCCTCTGAAAACCTGGAGCTGAGGTTTCAACTGGAGCAAAATGGAAAAGATGTTCCACGGCTCAAAGTATGTAGCACAGTCGCCCACAAAACAGTGTCCGAGAGCCCTTTGATTGTAGCCTGGATTCCATCATAGACTCTAAAGTGTGCTCAGAGTGACGTTTTGCTCCAACTCGCTCTGCCTCCTTTTGGCTTGCGTGTAAAAGTAAACTCCTCTAGCTCATTAACCATTTGTGTCATCTTTGTAATCCAGATATGAGCCCAAACATCTGACCAATCAGGAGCCTTCTATTGTCAAATTCGGCTTTAGCACAGAGTAGCGAAAGCGCTCTTGCCTTTTCCATGTTAAGGCTCACACTATGGTGATATCAGTATTGGTTAGTCTGAGTGACCAGAGAGACAAAAGAGAGAGAGGGAGAGACCGGTGTGAGACCAAAGAGTGAGACCTGAGAAGGACCAAAGAGAGAGAGTGTGTTTGTGTGTAGGTGATATATGTATTTTATAATTATTAATAATGTTAATAATAGTAGTGATGATGATAATAGGAATTTTTAGAATATCAATTATTAATTAATTAATTATTATTCAATATCAATTATATTTGGAATTAACTATTTTAACTGCTGGAGATTTACTCAAGAGGCTGGGGGAGTGTAGTTGGTACTACATCCATAGGTAAATATTAACATGAATAAATGTCATATGAAGATCTATTAATAATGATCTACACTCCTAGTACCTTATTTTTTTAATCCAATTCTCTCCTTGTTATTATTGTATTATATATTTTTTATATGTATGTAATGTACATACATATAAATGGGTGGATTTTGTGGATTCTCCCACAAAATCCACCCGTCCCTCCTCTAACCCCATAAGTATTCCACCCCCCCCTCCTGCTCATTTAGCCCCCCTCCCCCCCCCCTAACTCAGCACCAAGAAACCCTCCACCTCCACTCCCCCCTCGTCCACCACCCAACTCAGCCTGCCCCTCCCCTAACCCATCACCAAAAACCCATCCACCTTCAACCCCTCCCCGTCCAACTCCCAAGAACCACCCGCCTCTCCATCCTCCTCCCCCGCCTTCCCCTACCCCTCTTTTCTCTAAACACTAGGATGCACAGGGTCTCTGCTTCGCAGCCACTGGCAGTCTAGTTAGAGGAGAGACCCGGCTGGGGCCCTGTCGTGAAGCCACCTGTGCCATTCCCTTAGTGATAACACAAAGAATACATAACAGAAAAACATCTGGAGTTAATCAGTCTAATCAGGAAAATCTAATTCTTGTTCCGTGTAAGAATCAGCCGACCACAACCGCTAATCCTGAAACTTTGAAACTTGCTATGCTAAATGTCAGATCTCTTTGTAACAAGTCTTTTTTAATCAATAATTTTATTTGTTCTTATAATCTAGATCTTATGTTCATGGCTGAAACATGGCTTGACCAAAATACAGAAAATGCAGTTTTAATAGAAGCATCACCACCAAATTTCAAATTTGAATCTGAAATACGGGAAAACAAAAAAGGAGGAGGCTTAGCTGCCATTTTCAGAGACCACTTTGTCTCCCATAGAATGTCTCTTGGGAAGTTTCCGTCTTTTGAATATGTGTCTTTTAAAATACAACAAAAACAATCTCCTCCAATACTTTTCGTTGTCCTATACAAGCCACCGCAGTCATGTCACAGTTTTATTGATAATTTTACAGAGTTGCTTTCAGTTGTATGCACAGATTTTGATAGTTTAGTTATTACAGGTGATTTTAATATTCATGTGGATAATGTTGATGACAGAAATGCTAAAGAGCTGAGTTCTCTTCTTGAATCTTTTGGTCTCACTCAGCATGTGAGTGGCCCCACCCACAGCAAAGGGCACACTCTAGACCTGTTAGTTACAAAGGGGGCGAACATATATAATGTAAACGTGGTCGATGTTGCGCTTTCGGATCATTTTTGTATATTTTTTGACATGTGTTTCACTAACAAACCACCAGTGGACTCTGCAACTGTACGAAGAAGACACATAAATGAAAATACGGGTGAACTATTTATGGGAATGATAAACTTTGAGAATGCATCGTATTCTACTGTAGATGAACTGTTTAACTCTGTCACCTCTAGTGTTTTGAAAGTTCTGGACACCATCGCTCCTGTGAAGGTTAAAATAGTGAAAAATAAGCAGAAGGCGCCGTGGGCTAAAGCAGACTCGGTCAGAGCACAAAAGAGAGAGTGCCGGAGGGCCGAGCGGAAGTGGCGCAAGTCCAACCTCCAGGTTGATTACAAGATCTTCAAAGATAAGTTGTGCGAGTTTAACCAGGTGCTACGTAGTACAAGAGAAAGGTATTTTTCTGAAATGATTGAAGGCTGCAGCAACAATCTGCGTGTTCTGTTTTCAACAGTTAATAGATTAACAAACCCCCCTGTTCAAATGCCATTAGAGCTAACTTCCAAACGTAAATGTAATGAGTTTGCACATTTTTTCAATGACAAGGTTCAAGGCATCAAAAAACGCCATTGTCTCCAATCCACAGATAACAATCCAACAGCCAGAAAGGCTCTTTGAGCTAACTTACTTTGCACCTGTAAATGATCAAACTGTCCAAGAGATAATCTCCAGTTTGAGCTCCTCCACATGCAGCCTGGATGTACTACCCACTAGATTTCTAAAGTCTGTTCTGAGCAGTCTGTTACCTTCACTCACACAGATAGTAAACATGTCCCTTGATTCTGGAATATTCCCAAAGGCCCTGAAAACTGCAGTCATCAGGCCCCTGCTAAAAAAGAGCAGTCTGGATGCTACGGTACTTAACAACTATTGTCCCATCTCAAATCTGCCATTTATGGGGAAAGTCCTTGAGAAAGTTGTCTACCTACAGCTTACTAGATTTCTTATAATCAACAACTCATTTGATATGTTTCAGTCCGGCTTTAGACCCCACCACAGCACTGAGACTGCTCTCGTTAAGGTTACAAACGATATCCGGCTGAACACTGACGCAGGCAAAGTCTCAATCCTAATCCTGTTAGATCTAAGTGCTGCCTTTGATACTGTCGACCATGAGATCCTCTTACAGAGACTAGAGGACTGGGTTGGCGTCGCTGGCACCGCCCTAAGTTGGTTTAGGTCTTACCTTGAAGACAGGAAGTACTTTGTGGAGATTGGAAACTGTGTCTCAGATCATATGGCCCTGACCTGTGGAGTACCACAGGGGTCGATCCTGGGACCTCTTCTGTTCAATCTCTACATGCTGCCGTTAGGTCAGTTAATACGCAGAAACAAAGTTTCCTATCATAACTATGCAGACGACACTCAGATCTATGTCTCACTGACTGCAGGAGAACATGGACCAGTGGACTCACTCCTTCACTGTATCCAACAGATCAGTGAGTGGATGCAAAACAACTTCCTTCAGCTAAACGCAGACAAAACTGAAATGATTGTCTTTGGTCCCCAGAAACAAAGAGAGAGCGTCATCTGTCACCTACAGTCTCTCTCCCTAAAACCTTCTAACAAGGTCAGAAATCTAGGGGTAATACTGGACTCAGACTTAAATTTTAATAGCCACATCAAATCAGTAACATCAGCAGCTTTTTACCATCTAAAAAACATTGCCAGGATCAAAAACATAGTGTCTAAAGCAGACTTGGAGATTCTTATCCATGCATTTGTCTCCAGTAGGTTAGACTACTGCAATGGCCTGCTCACAGGTCTGTCCAAACAGGCTGTAAAACAGCTGCAGTACATTCAAAATGCAGCAGCTCGAGTCCTGACTAGAACCAGGAAGTACGACCACATTAGTCCGGTCCTCAGGTCCCTGCACTGGCTTCCTGTGGCTCAGAGAATAGACTTTAAAACAGCTCTGCTTGTGTACAAATCTCTCCATGGCCTCGCACCAAAATATATTAGTGACATGTTAGTCCCATATGAACCAGCCCGGACTCTGAGGAGCACAGGGACTGGACTCCTGTTAGTGCCCAGAGTCAGAACTAAACATGGGGAGGCTGCTTTTCAGATTCATGCTGCTAAAATCTGGAACAATCTTCCTGAAGATGTGAGACAGGCCTCCTCTCTGACAATGTTTAAAACCAGGTTAAAAACGGTGCTGTTTAGCTGTGCATACAACTGAGGGATTTTATATTTTTATCTTTCGTTTTAATGTTCTGTAATTATTTATGATTTTAATGCTATCTTGTTCAGCACTTTGAGTTGCCTTGTGTATGAATTGTGCTATACAAATAAACTTGCCTTGCCTTGCCTTGCCTTACCCCAGCTTTAATTAATTTGCATTCTAAAATATGAAAATCACAAAATTAACTCAAATGCATAATGTTTGCCCTTTAACGCCTATTTCTCTTTGATCTCTTTTCTCTGTCTTGTGTTCCAACTTTAGCTTTAACTTTAACCTATTTTGTGACATAAATCCCTAATGTTAAAAGCCAAAACTCAAAATCTGTTTTGTTAGACTCTTTCATCTTTGGGCTCATCAGCATTAAAGCTAACTCTATAGAGACGTCAGCATCGGTCGGTCCGCTCTTAATATACGCTCTATACACACTTTCTGCTTCAGTTAGAACAGAAAGGAGATACGGGAAGGCCCTTCTGAAGTCTCACTGCTGATCCTGGCCTCCCGTGCAGACAAATTCTCTCCATGTGATGAATGTGCTGAGACCAGAGTGAGATGAGCTGTTCTTCTGATCACAAACCACACAACGAAGTGAAAGGCCGCATTATATAATGTCCTTGTGTTTGGTCCAAGCACCAAAGTCGGGAATACATTTAGATTCAGACCTTAGAGGACAAACTGTGCTTTGGCTTGAAATTACACTGATCCTTCACCAGAACACCTTTCAAGGCCTCACTGTTGTGCAGTATTTTTATGGTCTCTCTCTGGTCTCTCTGATCTTTGTCTGGTCTCTGGTCTCCTACTGGTCTCTCTCTCTCTGGTCGCACTCTGGTCTCTTTCTGGTCCGTCTTTCTGTTCTTTCTCTCTGGTCTTTGTCTGGTCTCAGGTCTCTTTCTGGTCTATCTCTCTCCGGTCTCTCTCTATGGTCTCTCGCTCTCTGGTCGCACTCTGCTCTCTTTCTGGTCCGTCTTTCTGTTCTCTCTCTCTGATCTTTGTCTAGTCCCTGGTCTCCTGCTGGTCTCTCTCTTCGGTCTCTCTGTTCTCTCTCTCTGGTTTCTCCCATATCTCCTCCTAGCCTTCTGAGTCGAGTTTGCATGTTCCCTGGGAGCCTGGGTTTCTTCCAGGTGCTCCGGTTTCCCTACAAAAGGTACAACCCTCCAGCTCTGGTCCTGACAGATGCTCTTGTGGCAATGAAGGATGGGTCAAATGCGGTGGACACATTTACGGTGGCAATAAAGTCAACTTTAAGAAAACCTAAATTAGTTTGATGTGTTTCAGGAGCAGGTGTCGGATCTGAAGGCGATGTGCAGCGCTTTGAAGAAGGACAAGACTGAGGTGGAGAAGAGGCTGGCCCACGTCCGCGGAGTGAGTCTCACCATACGAGCTACACATCTGTGCTGTCCTCGCCTTGTGGTCCTGTCTCTGCACGGCGAGGCAACAGCGCTCCAATATGCAGACTTTATTTCTTTTTGCTGATTTGCTCAGATTAACTGTGAAACTGTAATACCAAAAAGGTGGCGTCAGCTACGGCATACACATTGGCTCTCTGTTACATTTTATGTTTAAACATAAAATACACAAATGACTCTCAAAACATTCATAGATCTACAAATTCACACACACACATACACACATTGTCAGGGGCAACAACGTTTTGTGGCAAGTTTAATTCAATTCAAAGTCTTCAAATCAATGTGATTCAGGAATGTGTGTACTGTTCTGAATCACAGCAGCAGTCGTCTTGGAGGGCTTCATAAAGTTGTGGATTCGTCAAAGACAGATCAGAGAATCAGTTCTAACACTGAAAATGCAAAAATAACAAAGCTAATAGGAGCCAAATGTCCATAGGGAGCGGGATCGAAATGACACAATAGCACCTATTGGCCATTATACAAACGTTATAATTATGGCTTTCAAAATTATTGCGTTAATTCACGTTAATTACCGTTTTCATTAACGCGTTAAAAATAATTAACGCATGTCCGAATGACCCGCCCATTTATAATAATATCACTCAGAATGCCGCGGACACGTGCGTGTGTGATGGTGACAGCGGTAACGTGGTCATATAATACACGCACAGGGGCCATTCTCTGATGTTGTGTGACACACGGAGGAGAGGAGGAGACACGCTGAAATGCAACCAAACTCGCAAAATTAAAGCCGGGGTTCCCTTTCATTAACAGCTCTTGTTGGTTGTACCCAAAAGTAGAAGGTTGTGAGCAAGTCAAACAGATTTAAGTACATTTGGTATGAATAACAATGTGTCATTACATTTGAAAATCTCATTTAACTTCAATTGGAGTGGAATTGAAATAGAATGTTAAAAATGCGATTAATCAACTAAAAAAAAAAAAATAGTTTGAGGGTTATGAGTTAGAACTACAGAATTACATTTACGTCTCTGGAATTTTGCTTTTGTACATTCTTTATATGTGATTACCTTGTTTTCGGTGCGTGTCAGTCTGGTTCCAGCGGTAAGACGGTGCCGGAGCTGGAGAAGACGATCGGTTTGATGAAGAAAGTGGTAGAGCGCGTTCAGAGGGAAAACGAAAGCTTGAAAAAGTCCTCGGGCTCCGCTCCGGGGCATCAGGAGAAGGTCAGAGGCCTGGAGCAGCAGTGCCTCCAGCTCAAGGTGTGGAACTGTCAGTGCCTCATTCCCACTGAGCAAAACCCCAGAGAGACACGGGCTGGTGTGTCAGAACCACTTGGCATCTAACGCGGCTTAGTCTCTTTGCCGAGGCCACGTTCAGCTGCCAAACAACAGAACTTATAATTCAAGCCACAACATTGTGTGTCTGTCCTGGTCTCATTCTTCTTGTGTGTCTGTCCTGGTCTCATTCTTCTTGTGTATCTGTCCTGGTCTCATTCTTCTTGTGCGTCTGTCCTGGACATATTCTTCTTGTGTGTCCGTCCTGGATTTATTCTTTTTTAATTTATGTGTGGCTGTCTTGCAGGAGGAGGTTGAGAAGCTGAAGTCAGACAGTGAGGCTCAGCTCGCCTCTAAACTCGAAGCGAAAACCAAAGGATTGGAGAAGATCGTCATGGAGAACGAGCGGCTGAGGAGAGAGAACAAGAGGGTGTGTGTGTTCATGTTCACTGTGTGTGCGTGTGTGTGTTCATGTTCACTGTGTGTGTGTTCATGTTCACTGTGTGTGCATGTGTGTGTGTGTGTGTGTGTGCTCATGATGTGTATGTTGTGTGTGTTTTCAGGAGGCCGAAGAGGTGGAGCGGCTCAGAGCAGCACAGACCAGTTTGGAGCTGACTGTGGAGAGACTAGAGTCAGACCTGGACCAGGCCAGAACCAGACTGAGATCTGCCCCTGATCATGGAACTTCATCTGAAGGAGACCAGGCCAAGAGCAAGACCTCAGTGATCAGCAGGTGTGTGAGGAACCAGGTCTGAACCAGGACTAAAGCAGGGTCTAAAGCAGGGGCTAAAGCAGGGGCTTAAGCAGGGACTTAAGCAGGGGCTAAAGCAGGGACTAAAGAAGGGACTAAAGCAGGGTCTAAAGCAGGGGCTTAAGCAGGGACTTAAGCAGGGACTAAAGAAGGGACTAAAGCAGGGACTAAAGCAGGGTCTAAAGCAGGGGCTTAAGCAGGGACTTAAGCAGGGACTAAAGCAGGGTCTAAAGCAGGGTCTAAAGCAGGGTCTAAAGCAGGGGCTAAAGCAGGGACTAAAGAAGGGACTAAAGCAGGGACTGAAGCAGGACTAAAGCAGGGACTAAAGCAGGGTCTAAAGCAGGGACTGAAGCAGGACTAAAGCAGGGACTAAAGCAGGGACTGAAGAAGGGACTAAAGCAGGGTCTAAAGCAGGGTCTAAAGCAGGGACTGAAGAAGGGACTAAAGCAGGGACTAAAGCAGGGTCTAAAGCAGGGACTGAAGAAGGGACTAAAGCAGGGTCTAAAGCAGGATCTAAAACAGGGACTGAAGCAGGACTAAAGCAGGATCTAAAACAGGGACTGAAGCAGGACTAAAGCAGAGACTGAAGCAGGACTAAAGCAGGACTGAACCAGGGTCTAAAGAAGGACTAAAGTGTGGATTAAAGCAGGACCAAAGTAGGACCAAAGCAGGACCAAAGCAGGACCAAAGCAGGACCAAAAGGACCAAGCAGGACCAAAGCAGGACCAAAGCAGGACCAAAGCAGGACCAAAGCAGGACCAAAGCAGGACCAAAGCAGGACCAAAGCAGGACCAAAGCAGGACCAAAGCAGGACCAAAGCAGGACCAAAGCAGGACCAAAGCAGGACCAAAGCAGGACCAAAGCAGGACCAAAGCAGGACCAAAGCAGAACCAAAGCAGAACCAAAGCAGGACCAAAGCAGGACCAAAGCAGGACTAAAGCGGAGTTCCGGTGAGGTAGAACTAAGCGCTCCTTGAGGCTGTGAAACACTCTTGGGGAAATGTTTGGTAGATGTCTGGAGAAAACATTATCTTATCAATCGAGACGACACACATTACTCTGTGCCACGTGCAGTGCAGAAAATACATTACTTCTAATTGGACAAGAACATTTTTACAGAGTAACTGGATGTAGAATCGGAGTAGAAGATATCTCTGATCATAACTCAATCTATTTAACTGTAAACCTGGAGAATAGGCCAAAAAGCACAGTTTGGAGTCTAAATGTCGGGCTGCTTAACAACCAACTCACTGTTGACAATATTAAACAAGAGATAAAAACATTTATTGAGGATAATGACAATGTTCAGGTTAATCCATCAATATCATGGAATCCATTAAATGCATTCCTGAGGGGAACAATAACAGCCAAAGCTGCCTTGCAGAAGACAAACTATTAGATAAATTGAACTGAAGGACCAAGAACACCAATTCAAATGAAACAAAAACAAAGTCCCAAAAAGAAATTAGATTGGAGCTTCCTTGTATTGGAGAGACACAAAACAACATTACAACAGAAATAAAGGCAATTATAAGTAGTAGTGATGGTTTCCCCAAAGAGTGGTACAGAAAGTTTAAGGAAGAGTTGTCCCCCGTCCATCTCAGAGCAATTAACTCTCTCCACAAACAAAGTCAAACCCCTCCCTTTTGGAAAGAAGCAATAAATACTTAAATCCCAAACAACATTACATCAATGTTGAATGTGGATTACAAATGTGTTGATTCTTACAAAAAGAGCTGAAACTTTCATGACTGGCTTTGTGAAAAAAAATCTCAAGATTGTATCAGATGAAGATTGCATATAATTCACACTTTATCCAAATACACCTTGAAAGCTGCTTTAATTAGCCTCAATGCTGAAGAGGCTTTCGATCGGGTGAATTGGGAATCAGCCCCACTCTTTTGCCCTTTATCTCGAGCCTCTAGCCCAGGCCATAGGGCAGGCTGAGGACCTGAAAGGCATTAGGATCAATGATAGAGATGATCCTATTAATGATGTGCTATTGATCATAAAAGACATAAACACCTCCTTCTCTTAATGAATAAGATAACGCATTTACCTTTCATGCTGGATATAAATGAAACATCTACAGTATAAAACCCAAATTCTTTTCTTCAATCATAAATCCTCGCAAACTGTGAAGAAATACAACATAAAGTGGGATAGTGAAGTACCTAGGAATGTCACACCTGTACGAGGCTCATTTTCATTTTTAATCCAATTCATGAAAACATAAAATCAGAAATTCAGATTAACAATCATAGACTGAGATCGAATAATAATCCAGATTTATTTGGGAAGGAAAGAAAGCACGAATAAGAATGATGCAACATTGTCAAAGAGAAGTGGAAGAAGCAAATGGCCAGTACCATTTCAGACCAGGATTGGTACGGAACCTGTGAGCTGCCTCAGTCTTCTACCACAGCTCCAAAGTGGAAAGATTTCAATTGGAAAACCTGTATTTGTTTTATTACACCCCATATAAAAGCAGACAGCTTGCTAACCAGCAGATGTGTTGGAGACGTGCTTCTGCTGATGCAAACCATAAAGATCAGTACCTGGCTAAAATAACAAGAAGATGGCTTAAACCTGAGCCCCCAGCCGGACTGAGGGGACAGATATTGTGCTGGAAATGTATTTAATGGAAAAGACAGACAAAGAGGACAAATTTGAGGGAAAAATGGGATAAATGGAAGATATGCATTTTTGGAAATCTCAGGACTTGCACAAGGCGTGAGTTGTGACTGCTACATTGGAATGTGGGTTAGAATTAGCACAAAGTTTGCTCTGGTCAAATTGTGAACATTGTTGACCTGTTTCTTACATTTGTACATTTTTCTTTGTGAAATAAAAGTGATATATGTACAAAATAAAAAATATATAAACAGGACCAAAGCAGGACATTTCAATGCAGGAACCGACCAAGACTTGAATGAAACCTCAGACAAATGCACAGAAGACCAAAGAAGGCTGAAATCTCGTGTTAGAACGAGATTGCGATGGGACCAGACTCAGCAGGGGGCAGTGTCGCCGTCATCAACAGTTAATGTGTTTCATGTTCAGGATGTTTGCGAATAAGATGCAGGAGCTGGAGACGCAGCTGTCGCACAAATCCAGCGCTTTGTCCGAAGTCAAAGAGAAACTGAAAGAATCGAAGCAGCGAGAGGAGGAGGAGCAGCGGCTCGTGAGGAGACTGGAGGAGCAGGTCCCTACACACACTAACACTTTCACAATTCTAGATCTCGGGGAACTCCCAGACCCGTCATTTTGACTGCTCCCAATCAAACCAATCGAATTCTGAGAAACTCCCCCAAATAACATGTACGTGTAGAAAACATGAAAATGGTCCGAGTCATTACAGTCCCAAAACTAAAAGCCGTTGATATGACTGCTCTGGGAGTTCTAGTGTGAATGTGTGTGGACCAGGGGCCTCTGATCTTGTGGATCCCTGGCTCCTGTCTCTGTGCCGCTGTGGTGACTGTTTCTCTTTTGCAGGTGGAGCTGCTGAAGAGCCTCCCCTCCGGAGCCAAGACCGACTCTGGGCTCATGAAGGAGTTCCAGGCGCTGAGGTCTGGACTCTGGACTCATGATTCCAAATGTAACATCTGCACAAGTTTGATCTTTGATTCAAATCTTTGATTTTCAGGCTGATCAACTCTGAGCTGCAGCAAGAACTCTCTGACCTGAAACGACAGATCACAGACGACAAGACGGAGACGGGGAAATCCACAAAGGACGGTAAGAGAGACGCCCAGACTTCCCCCTCCACACACTTTCTGCAGCTCCTCCAGGGGAATCCTGAGGCGTTCCCAGACCAGCTGAGAGACAGTCCTCTCCTGGTCCTCTCCTGGTCCTCTCCTGGTCTTTTCCTGGTCCTCTCCCGGTCTTCTCCTCCTGGTCTTCTCCCGGTCTTCTCCCGGTCTTCTCCTGAACTTCTTCCGGTCTTCTCCCGGTCCGACAACAGCAAGAGACTTAAGTGATTTAGATTCATAAAGAGCGAGACCGGAGAGCGAGACCGGAGAGCGAGACCGGAGAGCGAGACCGGAGAGCGAGACCGGAGAGCGAGACCGGAGAGCGAGACCGGAGAGCGAGACCGGAGAGCGAGACCGGAGAGCGAGACCGGAGAGCGAGACCGGAGAGCGAGACCGGAGAGCGAGACCGGAGAGCGACATGTGCTGACAAAGTTGTGTTCTCTCCTCAGAGCTGCGGCGGCTCACGTCTCAGCTTCAGTCCTCGGAGTCGGAGCGCTCGCGGCTGCAGAAGGAGCTGCGCAGGTTCGACGAGACGTTCTTTGAGGAATTGGAGGATTTAAAATACAACTACAACACGGAGCTGAAGAGGAACATCCTGCTGGAGGAGCAGCTCAGGGGTCTGTGCGAGAGGTACGGCGAGGAGCTGCCCAACGTCTCCACCAGCTGAAGCTAAAGGTACTGATGACCAAACACACCATCGCAGCAGACTCGGGTCGACAGCCATGAACCATGACCTCTGCTTTGGACTAGTTCAGTGAATGTGTCTTTGCACTTTTCATAAATGTTTTTGAATCGGAAATAAAAGAAATGTTTACAGTTCTCCCTTGCGGCCTTGCATGCTTTTTCTATCTCTCTGGTCTCTGTCTGTTCTCTGTCTGGTCACTCTCTCTGGTCACTCTCTCTGGTCTTTCTCTTTATCTCTCTCTGGTCTCTCTCTGGTCTCTCTCTGGTCTCTCTCTGGTCTCTCTCTGGTCTTCCTCTGGTCTCTCTCTGTTCTCTCTCCCTTTGATCTCTCTCCCTCTGGTCTTTCTCTGTGGTCTCCCTCCCTCTGGTCTCCCTCTCTGGTGTCTCTCTACATAGTCATCATACTGTCTCATACATTTTCCTCTGAAGTCCATTTCTTCATCAGTTCCTCATGTTTGATTGTGTTTAATAGACCGACAAGGACACTGTGGTATCGGTATCAGATCCCAAAAATGCTAATGTGTCATTCTTAGTCCTGTTCTTTGAATATCACTCAATATTTCTTTTAAACAATGCATTCAAATATGTTTGTGTCATTTTAAATGTTATTCCTCAGGCAGCTTTTACAGTGTGTACATGTTTGCAATAAGAACCTTGCTGTAAAGTTGTAAATAAAGTTTTCCACATTTGATTGAGTTTGTTAATTGTATTTTTGTCCCACTGGGTTAAGAGTTTTTCCTTGCCGAGGCCTACTTTATGACTCTCACTGATGACTGCTGTCGTTGTGTCCTTGGGCAAGACACTTAACCCCACTTTGCCTGAAGCCCCCGCTGAATAATAAAGGCTCCTGTAGACTCATCACCTGCAGGGGGATCAGTGAGGGGCTGGTGCTCTGTGACTGGTTGCAGCTCCGACTGCCACCCCCCTGACCCAGAAAGGGATTAATGGGAAGTAATTGGATGGATGGGTCATCCACCGCTTTTAGAAGAATGGCTCTGTTATTTATCATTGCAATTCCTGTGTTTGAGCTGATGGAATAGACGATGCATTGGTTTTATATAGTGCTTTTTGGGACACTCAAAGCCCTGGGTCACACTGACAGAAGCAAGGCAAACAGTAGGTGCCATTGGCCCCTCTGACCACCATCAACACACACACCAGACTCACTCTAGGCATTGTGGGTGAAGTGTCTTGCCTAAAACTCAATGGCAGTTGGGAACTTTACAGCTACAGCTATTCCACTGTGACACCTGGTGTTCACAAAGGTCTCCCATCATAGTGCTAACCAGGCCCTGCTTAGCTTCAGAGGTCTGACGGGATCTAGCTTTCACTTTACAGTCTATGGCTTTCACCTGCAGGTATAGCCATACTGAGACAGCTTTGTAAAGTCCGAGACATTAGGGCTACATAAAAAACACATTTAATTGAATTATTCACAAAAAACAGGCTTTATACCAACAGACTTTTGGCTTTGAAAACTGTTCTTTTTTAAATTGTTTACTTTTCATGTTGTGTGAAATAGTCGTAAACTATAGAAACGCACTGACACGCAGGGGCAGTTGAATTGGACGAGTACAGGTTATATTTATACAGAGCCTTTTAGTCACAAAGCTCTTTACAATACTCTGGAATCTCTCTGCAGGGATCAGTGCCACTCGTGCATAAATGGAAAGACAATTACACATTTTGTTAATTAAAAGTAGCAATAAATGTTTAATACATAATTAAATGTCAAATTAAGAAACAAAAAACATTTGAATAAATTATGAACATTTAATTATTTCCAACTGTTCCATTATTGATGTAACGTGTAATCATATATCCAACTGTGGCTCACACTTGTTCTGTAAATGTTAATTATTTATTATTAACACGTTTGTATAAAGTTTTAGTTTGAGCGAGAGCAACAAAAAAAGCAGGTGATCAGCGGGAAACAGCGCCGTCTGCAGGTCGAGGTGGGAATGTGACAAACATCCCAAAGGATCGAAGCAAAACAGTGAGTGTGAAAACTCCATGTTCCAACATTGTTCCTCATCAGTCACAGACCTCGAGTTGTGTTTGGATCCATCTGTGCCAATATCAGAAACTTCTGCAACATTGTACCACTATAACATGACTTTTTTAATAAAGTAAATTTCTAGAAATTAATAATTATTTCATTAGTCAGGGCTGCCCTATAGCCCCCCCACCACCCGGCCTCCTCTCTGATCCCTCTGCAGTGGAGTGGGTGAGAACCACAGGAAGATGGCTTGCTACAATCAGTGGTGCCACAGCCTTGGTTATGTTTTCGCAGTCGGGGGAGCTTCATGCAATAGTAGGGGGGTGGTTAAGTGACTTGCCAAAAAGGAGACAACGACAGCAAGACAATAGTGGGGAGCAGTTGGAGTACATCCGTTGATGGGGCTTCGATCCCATGACCGTCCGGCCCAAAGTACAAACTGAGATCTACCTGTCGCCCTCTACATAAATAATAGTTTAGGTCAGATTTTCTGATTAACATTACTTAGTTTACCCGTCACCATGTCTGAGCGTATTGTTATCTCCCTCTGGGGTTGGGGTAAGATTACAGGTCAGATATTTTTTCCCCCTACAGACTTTCCATTTATCTTTCCATGCAAGATTAAATATTTCACTTTTTAAAACATTGAAATTGACAAATTGACAACAGTCAAGTATTATTCATTACCATGACAAATAATGTGGCGTAATAGAAGAAGGAGGCAGGGGGAGGGGCGATGAGAACATGGCGGGTATAGTGAAGAACAGAACTGCACGTCCATTTATTGAAACACATTGGTCTCCATTCAGCAGCTAGCTCTGGTTGATAAAAGTATGATCTCAATCTTTCACAGCTTAAATATCCAAAGACGTTTTTTGTCAAAGATACCTTCACAAAAGTCCTGTGCGAAATGTTGTCTTTAGGCCACCGTTTCGCACCAACCCTAGTCGGGCCCTATTGCCCGAGAACCATTCTTTTATCCCTTCTTTAGTCTCTTGGTTCTATTTGGGTGGCAGAAGCTAGTACACTAAATTGTAAGTGACAGTGATTGGCAGAGTGCCAGCGTGATGCTAGAAGCCATGGTATACCAGAGGAAAAGGAATATCTACATCAGATATGGGTAGTGAATAGGATACCGGCACCCACATAGCTACTAAAGCCAGAATGGGAGCGCAGCCATGAGGTAGTAGTAGAGTCGAGAGAGTAGAGCCTGCCGGTGGAAAAAAAAAGGGAAAAAAAAAAAACAAAAAAAAAAAAGGAAACAAAGAAAAAAAAAAAAAAAGGAAAAAAAAAGAAAAAGGGTTTTTGTTGACCCGAGGAACGCTTGTGTCGTCTGGCTCTACGTGTCCAAAGTATCAGGTCCCTGGAGGCCTCTCAAAGCGGGACGTCCCGTTCAGTATTGGACAGAGACGAGAACAGGTCCGTTGGTTGTGGTCATCCTGGTCCATAGTTGGAACGCAGACGCTCGCGGAACGCGCGGGAGCCATGAGCACAGGAGCGTGGTGTCACTCCATCAGGCCACCAGGTTTAGCCCCAGCGTGGTTGTCTGTGGAAGCTCAAACACAGGGACAACGTTTAAACAAGAGCTTAACACTAGTGCTAGAGCTGTTTTTAACTAAAAACTGTGTGGGTTTCAGAGTTACGCACCCTAGCTTTAAAATGGGGCTGAATGCAGGCAGCAGTTATGTGAGTGGTATCTGTAATTGTGTGTTCTCTACCTTGAGCAGTGTCCCATCGCGGCCCAGTATTGCCACACACAATGCCTTCCACTCGACCTTCAGGACCGGACTGGCACCAGGACCTGGGGTTATCTGCAGGTTCAGAGGAGGAGGGAGGGACCAGGGGTGATCGGCCGCGTTGATGAGACCAGGCAGTGGCACAGGCCGCATTCTTACAAGCCCAGACCTTTGGGCGTCAGTGATAACAAATGTAGGCCAACAAAGAGAACCAGAACGAGGGACAACAAAGTAGACAGAGGAGAGATGACAAATAGTTTTCACATCCATGAAATTTTTGGCCACTGTCATAGTCATTTAGATCAGGGACCCGCCCTGACTCGAGCCAATTCAGCTCTCAGATCAAAGTAGGGCGAGTCAAGATAAAAGAATCACATTGTATATCTGATGAGACATAAGGGTAATTAGACTTGACTTTTATAAGAGATTGTCAGACAAACTACATGTGATTATCTAAGAAAGACCAAGGTTCGTAGTACCGTGTGAGTAAGAGGAAAAAGCTAGTATCATTTTTGAAGGTAATGTGTACCACCGACAAATCAGTTATGTAGCATCGAAGTCAATAGTGAAAAACCACCACAAACAAGAAGAAAAACCATGGATATTTTTTCCATAGAGTAAAAAATTCACTGAACCATATTAGTGATGTCATAAATAAGAAATGGAGGCCTCACCGTTACGGAGTTGCCAGTTTTTCACATTTGGTCTCCCGATCAGCTCCAGAGGTGTATGCTGCCCAGCAGCTACGGTCCCAGGGGCAACAGCGGTGAGCTGGCAGCTCCACACCTGGCAGGCCACAGGGGAGCTACTTGCAGGCTGAGGAGGTTATCTATGGAATTGGGAGTGATGATGGTAAAGGAGTGAGGAGTCATGAGCGGCACCGAGGCTCATTAGTTCCACCACAGAAAGAGTGCCACAGCTACTCTGCATTACTGTCAGACTGTACAAGGGACCCAGCCCTGAAACACACACACATGAACAATATCATTTTTATACAAGACAAGATTAGCACAAAGATGCTTTACATTTAGTGAGACCGCTGTAAAGCCACCATCCACACTCTCTCAAGCAGAACTTATGTACAAGTGATTTAAGTTGCGTATTGAGAAAAAATGGAAAAGTCACCTGGAGGAAAGGAAACCCATTAAGCCCCCCCCCCCCCCCCCCAGGTACGTAGAAATGAACCCAAGAATTTTTAACTAGTATGTTGTTTTTTAAGATATGTTGTATGCTGGTAAGAAAAGAAGAGAAAAACAATCTTTGTCCTGGGTTAAAGTATACCTCCAGACCTGTGTCTGAATGCAGTTTGCGTTATAGTTCTCCCTCTGTTGTACCAGAGATGTGTGTTGTCTGTGATGTTTGTTTTGTGTCGTGTTAGTACCTGGGATGAGTTGCCCGTTCTCGTCTGGGACCAGCCTCTCGTTCTCTCGCTGGACTCCAAGAGCTGGGATCCAGGACTCAGGGACTGGTTTTAAAGTCCTGGTCCCACGAGGTCCCAGTAGAACCCTTGCCACAGACACACAAACACACGTCGGTCAGTCTGGTTCCCTCGCACTACGTGCAGAACCTGTCGGCTGCTCTGTGGTCTGTTTTTCATGACCTCTGACCTTTTGCCGCTGCGATGAACCTGCTTGATGTCTCTTGAACCCTTCTCCGCCTGATTGTTTGGCATATCTCGTGCAGGCGAATCCCAGACGAGCCACGAGGCACGCGCTCACCTGAGAGACCAGCGGAAGGCGGAGGAAACTCAGAAGCAATACCAGGACTCTTATATTCACTAAGACAGTACAGAAGACAGACACAATGCAAAGGTCAAATGAACGCAAGTAAGAGGAAGTCGCTCAAGAACACAAGATTTGCTACCAACTATCATTCATCCCTCGTCTGCTTTCTACTTTCTTTCTACTGCTTTCTCTAGTGAACTCTCTTCTCAGGGAGTCTCTCTCTCTGGGTCTCTCTCTCTCTGCGGTCGGTCTTGGGAAGGGTTTTATAAAGCTTTGCCTCACCTATTCTTGGGCAAGTTCCTGAAAAAATGTCGGGGCTGCCAATGCATGAAACTACATGTTATGTAGTGAACCCTCTAGAGAGGCTCAATTATGTTATAACATGAAAACCTGTAGAAAAAAAATCCTCATTTAAGACCATGGTCAGACCAAACCTGAGTCTAACCTCGGAGCAGAGACACATAGCAGCAGGTGCCATCCACTTTCTCTGTGGCGAGAGCAGACTCCACGTCCGCGTCCACAGCAATGGAATTCAGCGTCTCTTGTGGCAACCACCTGATAGGACTGAGAAGAGAGGCCGAAAGAAGCATGGGTACGTAACTTTCAAACCACACAGATTAAAAACAATATCACAAGTTCCTGGTTCTAGAAATTCCATCCATCCATCCATGCATCCATCCATCCATCCATTTCTCTCCCCTTAATCCATTTCTGGTCGGGGGGGGGGGGTGCGCAGTCAGAGATGCCACCCAAGTCACATAGCACCAGCCCCTCACTGATTATCCTGCAGGTGGTGAGTCCACAGGAGGACAGCTGCTCTGTACAGTGTGACCATAGCCTTGATCTTTCAGCGGGGGGCTTTCGGGCCAAAGTGGGGTTAAGTGTCTTGCCCAAGGACACAACGAGAGCAGACATCAGTGGGAGTCAGTGGGACTAAAAATTCATCACTACTAAATGTGTTTTTGTCCTCTGTCACAACTTAACCTCAGCTTTTGTGATCTCTCACAGGCCTCTCCCTCTCTGGTCTCTCCTTATATTTGCATTTTTATTTGGATGAGACGGTGCATGTGCGTATTCATGAAGAGGAGGAGTTGTAAATACCCACTGAGATCGTAGCTAATGTACCCAATTGGCTGCATCTGTTGTCCCACAAGACCCATAGTCACACTCACACATTCACTCTCTGGTCTCTCCCTCTGGTCTTTTCTAATCAGAAACACACATTACAATGTCTTAACTTTGATGATTAGTTTCATGGGTTATAAATTTATAATTTAAGACATTTTAGGTTGTAAAGCTCTATTCCACTTAAAACAAAAAAGTAGCAGTTATATTTTTTTCTCGTTTATTAAAATTTCTCCGAAAGCTTGCAAATGACTAACCAATAATTCATTTGAAGATAGTCCCACCCAAGTCAATTCCACTATCTACTTCCGTTTCCCATAACTTTTTATAATTACCGCCCAAAAGTACCACTTTGTGTTTCACACTTGAATGACGCTAACTTATATTAATTGTGTCCACAGTTTTAGTTTTAGATACATACAAGGAATGAGTGAATATTTACAGTTTACAGACGCGAACGCAGCCAGCCGAACTGTTTTTAGCATTTTTCAGGCATCTGTATAGCATCCTCCGTTTCGCTCTTTAGCAATTAGCTCCACAAGCCATCGCGTATCTGGACTTTCCTCCTTAATGTAGTGGTGAAAACAAGGGCATTTTCAGCTGGCACGGAAACCAGAGAATCCGCAACTTCCCCGCGGTTAGATCTCTCCAAAGCCCACGGAGGAAAATGTTTATAATTCAAAGAAAACAGGATTATTATTAAAAAGTGATTGGCGTTGTTTGCTAAGCAGCATGTGTTGAGGAATGGTTTGCGTCAAATTCACACACACACGAGTTCTTCTTGTCCTTCTATACAATAACCTTGCAGCCTACTCAAAAGAGCATTCAAATTATATATAGATATATTTATGAAACTCATAATATCCAAACTGGACCAAACCTGGGGGCAATCTCTAACAGACTATTTTAGAAGCCAGAAGCAAGGACGGCTGTTATCTGAACATGGATGTAGCCGACAGGATGAACAGAGACCATGTGTCAAATGCCATGGTTCATTATGGATGTCATTACTTTACTTAATATTAATTCTACTTCTTTCGGGGTGGTTTCCCTGTTCAGTAAGTACCCAGTAAATGTAAAGTATCGTAATGGGGATATTATCTTTTTTTCCCAACATGACAAACTAACATGGCTCGCATTCAATGTATCGTTCACAGATTTTAAAACTGTTGCTTTAATTAATATTCAATAATTCACTACAGGAATACATTATGTGTCCAATCATACATGTCTTTGTCCAATAAACATGCTAACTGACATTGGTGCTTTTTTCGGGGGTCGTGGCCACCTGAGCGCTTGTCTCCACCTCTGCCTTGGGAGGGCAGAGATGATTGTGGCCCCGGGAGGATGATGCCATGAGGAAACCATTGGAGGATGAAGATGAGGAAGGAGGAAGAAGATTGGGAGGAAGGAAGAGAGGGAGACATCATTCCTGCGTGGAAGAGATTTCTATCTGTTGCCCGGCGGAAGTGCCCGTGGACCACCAGTGTTCTTTGGTAACTACACTTTGATGAAGAGGCAATGCCAAACAAACCACCGACATGTAAGTCGTCATAAATCCATTCGCAGTGTGCAGATGACACACCAAAGAAATACAGTACAAGTGTTAGGAGCCAAAATTAGTATTATTGTTTTTATCAACAGATTGTGGAGCCTTGTTATCCTGGTCTTTTATATTAGTGACATGGCAACCCGCTAATTTGCCCAGCCAGCTCTGGGAAACCAAGATGGACGCATTATTAAAGTGGACACAGCCCGGGTATGAAGCCCCCACTCGCCAGAGGAAGAGGGAGACCAGAACCTTGATCCTCAGAACTATCATCCATGCTGACTGGTCCTGGGCAGGATGGGATTCAGCACAGTCTAAACCCGTCCGCTATGCCCTCACGCACTGCCACTCTCATGTTTATACCTGCATCCTCGCAAACTGTGAAGAAATACAACATAAAGTGGGATAGTGAAGTACCTAGGAATGTCACACCTGTACGAGGCTCATTTTCATTTTTAATCCAATTCATGAAAACATAAAATCAGAAATTCAGATTAACAATCATAGACTGAGATCGAATAATAATCCAGATTTATTTGGGAAGGAAAGAAAGCACGAATAAGAATGATGCAACATTGTCAAAGAGAAGTGGAAGAAGCAAATGGCCAGTACCATTTCAGACCAGGATTGGTACGGAACCTCGTGAGCTGCCTCAGTCTTCTACCACAGCTCCAAAGTGGAAAGATTTCAATTGGAAAACCTGTATTTGTTTTATTACACCCCATATAAAAGCAGACAGCTTGCTAACCAGCAGATGTGTTGGAGACGTGCTTCTGCTGATGCAAACCATAAAGATCAGTACCTGGCTAAAATAACAAGAAGATGGCTTAAACCTGAGCCCCCAGCCGGACTGAGGGGACAGATATTGTGCTGGAAATGTATTTAATGGAAAAGACAGACAAAGAGGACAAATTTGAGGGAAAAATGGGATAAATGGAAGATATGCATTTTTGGAAATCTCAGGACTTGCACAAGGCGTGAGTTGTGACTGCTACATTGGAATGTGGGTTAGAATTAGCACAAAGTTTGCTCTGGTCAAATTGTGAACATTGTTGACCTGTTTCTTACATTTGTACATTTTTCTTTGTGAAATAAAAGTGATATATGTACAAAATAAAAAATATATAAACAGGACCAAAGCAGGACATTTCAATGCAGGAACCGACCAAGACTTGAATGAAACCTCAGACAAATGCACAGAAGACCAAAGAAGGCTGAAATCTCGTGTTAGAACGAGATTGCGATGGGACCAGACTCAGCAGGGGGCAGTGTCGCCGTCATCAACAGTTAATGTGTTTCATGTTCAGGATGTTTGCGAATAAGATGCAGGAGCTGGAGACGCAGCTGTCGCACAAATCCAGCGCTTTGTCCGAAGTCAAAGAGAAACTGAAAGAATCGAAGCAGCGAGAGGAGGAGGAGCAGCGGCTCGTGAGGAGACTGGAGGAGCAGGTCCCTACACACACTAACACTTTCACAATTCTAGATCTCGGGGAACTCCCAGACCCGTCATTTTGACTGCTCCCAATCAAACCAATCGAATTCTGAGAAACTCCCCCAAATAACATGTACGTGTAGAAAACATGAAAATGGTCCGAGTCATTACAGTCCCAAAACTAAAAGCCGTTGATATGACTGCTCTGGGAGTTCTAGTGTGAATGTGTGTGGACCAGGGGCCTCTGATCTTGTGGATCCCTGGCTCCTGTCTCTGTGCCGCTGTGGTGACTGTTTCTCTTTTGCAGGTGGAGCTGCTGAAGAGCCTCCCCTCCGGAGCCAAGACCGACTCTGGGCTCATGAAGGAGTTCCAGGCGCTGAGGTCTGGACTCTGGACTCATGATTCCAAATGTAACATCTGCACAAGTTTGATCTTTGATTCAAATCTTTGATTTTCAGGCTGATCAACTCTGAGCTGCAGCAAGAACTCTCTGACCTGAAACGACAGATCACAGACGACAAGACGGAGACGGGGAAATCCACAAAGGACGGTAAGAGAGACGCCCAGACTTCCCCCTCCACACACTTTCTGCAGCTCCTCCAGGGGAATCCTGAGGCGTTCCCAGACCAGCTGAGAGACAGTCCTCTCCTGGTCCTCTCCTGGTCTTTTCCTGGTCCTCTCCCGGTCTTCTCCTCCTGGTCTTCTCCCGGTCTTCTCCCGGTCTTCTCCTGAACTTCTTCCGGTCTTCTCCCGGTCCGACAACAGCAAGAGACTTAAGTGATTTAGATTCATAAAGAGCGAGACCGGAGAGCGAGACCGGAGAGCGAGACCGGAGAGCGAGACCGGAGAGCGAGACCGGAGAGCGAGACCGGAGAGCGAGACCGGAGAGCGAGACCGGAGAGCGAGACCGGAGAGCGAGACCGGAGAGCGAGACCGGAGAGCGAGACCGGAGAGCGACATGTGCTGACAAAGTTGTGTTCTCTCCTCAGAGCTGCGGCGGCTCACGTCTCAGCTTCAGTCCTCGGAGTCGGAGCGCTCGCGGCTGCAGAAGGAGCTGCGCAGGTTCGACGAGACGTTCTTTGAGGAATTGGAGGATTTAAAATACAACTACAACACGGAGCTGAAGAGGAACATCCTGCTGGAGGAGCAGCTCAGGGGTCTGTGCGAGAGGTACGGCGAGGAGCTGCCCAACGTCTCCACCAGCTGAAGCTAAAGGTACTGATGACCAAACACACCATCGCAGCAGACTCGGGTCGACAGCCATGAACCATGACCTCTGCTTTGGACTAGTTCAGTGAATGTGTCTTTGCACTTTTCATAAATGTTTTTGAATCGGAAATAAAAGAAATGTTTACAGTTCTCCCTTGCGGCCTTGCATGCTTTTTCTATCTCTCTGGTCTCTGTCTGTTCTCTGTCTGGTCACTCTCTCTGGTCACTCTCTCTGGTCTTTCTCTTTTATCTCTCTCTGGTCTCTCTCTGGTCTCTCTCTGGTCTCTCTCTGGTCTCTCTCTGGTCTTCCTCTGGTCTCTCTCTGTTCTCTCTCCCTTTGATCTCTCTCCCTCTGGTCTTTCTCTGTGGTCTCCCTCCCTCTGGTCTCCCTCTCTGGTGTCTCTCTACATAGTCATCATACTGTCTCATACATTTTTCCTCTGAAGTCCATTTCTTCATCAGTTCCTCATGTTTGATTGTGTTTAATAGACCGACAAGGACACTGTGGTATCGGTATCAGATCCCAAAAATGCTAATGTGTCATTCTTAGTCCTGTTCTTTGAATATCACTCAATATTTCTTTTAAACAATGCATTCAAATATGTTTGTGTCATTTTAAATGTTATTCCTCAGGCAGCTTTTACAGTGTGTACATGTTTGCAATAAGAACCTTGCTGTAAAGTTGTAAATAAAGTTTTCCACATTTGATTGAGTTTGTTAATTGTATTTTTGTCCCACTGGGTTAAGAGTTTTTCCTTGCCGAGGCCTACTTTATGACTCTCACTGATGACTGCTGTCGTTGTGTCCCTGGGCAAGACACTTAACCCCACTTTGCCTGAAGCCCCCGCTGAATAATAAAGGCTCCTGTAGACTCATCACCTGCAGGGGGATCAGTGAGGGGCTGGTGCTCTGTGACTGGTTGCAGCTCCGACTGCCACCCCCCTGACCCAGAAAGGGATTAATGGGAAGTAATTGGATGGATGGGTCATCCACCGCTTTTAGAAGAATGGCTCTGTTATTTATCATTGCAATTCCTGTGTTTGAGCTGATGGAATAGACGATGCATTGGTTTTATATAGTGCTTTTTGGGACACTCAAAGCCCTGGGTCACACTGACAGAAGCAAGGCAAACAGTAGGTGCCATTGGCCCCTCTGACCACCATCAACACACACACCAGACTCACTCTAGGCATTGTGGGGAAGTGTCTTGCCTAAAAACTCAATGGCAGTTGGGAACTTTACAGCTACAGCTATTCCACTGTGACACCTGGTGTTCACAAAGGTCTCCCATCATAGTGCTAACCAGGCCCTGCTTAGCTTCAGAGGTCTGACGGGATCTAGCTTTCACTTTACAGTCTATGGCTTTCACCTGCAGGTATAGCCATACTGAGACAGCTTTGTAAAGTCCGAGACATTAGGGCTACATAAAAAACACATTTAATTGAATTATTCACAAAAAACAGGCTTTATACCAACAGACTTTTGGCTTTGAAAACTGTTCTTTTTTAAATTGTTTACTTTTCATGTTGTGTGAAATAGTCGTAAACTATAGAAACGCACTGACACGCAGGGGCAGTTGAATTGGACGAGTACAGGTTATATTTATACAGAGCCTTTTAGTCACAAAGCTCTTTACAATACTCTGGGAATCTCTCTGCAGGGATCAGTGCCACTCGTGCATAAATGGAAAGACAATTACACATTTTGTTAATTAAAAGTAGCAATAAATGTTTAATACATAATTAAATGTCAAATTAAGAAACAAAAAACATTTGAATAAATTATCAACATTTAATTATTTCCAACTGTTCCATTATTGATGTAACGTGTAATCATATATCCAACTGTGGCTCACACTTGTTCTGTAAATGTTAATTATTTATTATTAACACGTTGTATAAAGTTTTAGTTTGAGCGAGAGCAACAAAAAAGCAGGTGATCAGCGGGAAACAGCGCCGTCTGCAGGTCGAGGTGGGAATGTGACAAACATCCCAAAGGATCGAAGCAAAACAGTGAGTGTGAAAACTCCATGTTCCAACATTGTTCCTCATCAGTCACAGACCTCGAGTTGTGTTTGGATCCATCTGTGCCAATATCAGAAACTTCTGCAACATTGTACCACTATAACATGACTTTTTTATAAAGTAATTTCTATAAATTATTAATTATTTCATTAGTCAGGGCTCATAGCACCGGCCCCTCTCTGATCCTCTGCAGGTGGTGAGTCCACAGGAAGATGGCTGCTACATCAGTGGTGCCACAGCCTTGGTGTTTCAGCGGGAGCTTCATGCAATGTGGGGTTAAGTGTCTTGCCAAAGGACAACGACAGCAGACATTAGTGGGAGCAGTTGGAGTACATCCCGTGATGGGCTCGAACCCATGACCGTCCGGCTCAAAGTACAAACTGAGCTACTGTCGCCTCTCATAAATTAGTTTTGGTCAGTTTTCTGATTAAATTACTTTGTTTCCCGTCACATGTCTGTGTTTGTAGCTCCCTCTGGTGGTAAGTTACAGGTCAGTATTTTTTCCCTACAGACTTTCCATTTATCTTTCCATGAAGATAATATTTCACTTTTTAAAACATGAAATGACAAAGAAAAGTCATTATTATTAATGACCAAAAATTGTGCGTAATAGAAGAAGAGGCGGGGGATGTGAACATGGAGTGAAGAAATGCACGTCCATTTATTGAAACACATTGGTCTCATTCAGCAGCTGCTTGTTGTAAAAGTATGATCTCTATTTCACAGCTTAAATATCAAAGACGTTTGTCAAGATCCTTCCACAAAAGTCCTGTGAGAAATGTGTCTTTAGCCCCGTTTCCACCAACCCTAGTCGGCTTTGCCCGAGAACCTTCTTTTATCCCTTCTTTAGTCTCTTGGTTCTATTTGGGCCGAGCTAGTACTAAATTGTAAGTGACAGTGATTGGCCAGAGTGATGCTAGAAGCCATGGTTACCAAGGAATTTCATCAGATACTGGGTTGTTAGGATACGGCACCAGATACTAAAGCATAATGGGAGCGCAGCCAGGTAGAGTAGAGTAGAGTAGAGCCTCGCCGGTGGAAAAAGGGTTTTTGTTGCCCGAGGAACCCTTTGGTCGTCTGGTCTACGTGTCAAAGTTCAGGTCCTGGAGCCTCTCAAAGCGGCGTCCGTTCAGTTTGGACAGAGACGAGAACAGGTCGTGGTTGTGGTCATCCTGGTCCATGTGAACGCAGACGGAGCGCGAGCCCAGGAGCGTGTCTCCATCAGGCCACCGTAGCCCCAGGTGGTGTCTGTGCAGCTGCAAACACAGGGACAACGTTAACAAGAGCTAAACTAGTGCTAGAGCTGTTTTTAACTAAAACTGTGTGGTTTCAGAGTTACGCACCCTAGCTTTAAATGGGCTGAATGCAGCAGTTTGTGAGTTCTGTAATTGTGTTCTTACCTTGAGCAGTGTCCCATCGCGACAGTGCCACACAATGCCTTCCACTCGACCTTCAGGACCGGACTGGAACCAGGACCTGAGGTTCTGCAGGTTCAGAGGAGGAGGGAGGACCAGGGGGATCGAGCCGTGAGAGACCAGGCAGTGGACAGGCCGCTTCTTACAGCCCAGACCTTTGGGACGTCAGTGATAACAAATGTAGCCACAAAGAGACCAGAACGAGACAACAAAGAGACCAGAGAGATGACAATAGTTTTCACATCATGAATTTTTGGCCACTGTCATATCTTTAGATCAGGACCGCCCTCACTCAGCCAATTAGCTCTCAGTTCAAAGAGTCAGATAAAAGATCACATGTTTTCTGATGAGATAAGGGCTAGTCTGTCTTTTATAAGATTGTCAGACAAACTACATGTTTATTATGAAAGACAAAGGTTAGTACCGTGAGTAAGAAAAAGCTGTAGCATGATGTAATGTGTTCCACCACAAATCAAGTTAGTAATCCATGGATATTTTTTCCATAGAGTAAAAATTCCTGAACCATATTTATGATGTCATAAATAAGAAATGGGGCCTCACCGTACGGGTTGCCGTTCACATTGGTCCCGATCAGCTCCAGGGTGTGCTCCAGCAGCTCAGTCAGGGGCACAGCAGTGAGCTGCAGCTCCACCTGCAGGCCACAGGGAGCACTGCAGGCTGAGGAGTTATTATGGGAAGTGGGAGTGAGGAGCAGAGCGGCTCCGAGCTCATAGTCCACCACAGAAGAGTGCCAGCAGTACTGCTTACTGTCAGACTGTACAGGGACCCAGCCTGAAACACACACATTAACAATTCATTTATACAGACAAGATTACACAAAGAGCTTTACATTTAGTGAGACGTGTAAAGCCACCATCCTCACTCTCTCTGAACTTTTGTACATGTGTTTAGTGGTATTGGAAATGGAGCACCTGGAGGAAACCCATTAAGCCCCCCCCCCCCCCCAGGACGTAGAATTGAACCCAAGAATTTTTACAGTATGTGTTTTTTAGATATGTTGTATGCTGGTAAGAAATGAAGAGAAAAAAATTTTGTCCTGGGTTAAAGTATACCTCCAGACCTTTCTGAATGCAGTTTGCGTGTTCTCCCTCTGTTGTACCAGAGATGTGTGTTGTCTGTTGTGTTTTGTGTCGTGTTGTACCTGGGATGTGCCCGTTCTCGTCTGGGACCAGCCTCTCGTTCTCTCGCTGGACTCCATGAGCTGGGATCCAGGACTCTGGGACTGGTTTAAAGTCCTGGTCCACGGTCCAGTAGAACCCTGCCTCAGACACACAAACACACGTTCAGTCTGTTCCCTCGCACTCGTGCAGAACCGTCGGCTGCTCTGTGGTCTGTTTCATGACCTCTGACCTTTGCCGCTGCGATGAACCTGCTGATGTCTCTTGAACCGCTTCTCCGCCTGTTTGTTTGGCTTTCGGTCCAGACGAGCCCAGAGGCACGGCTCACCTGAGGACAGCGGAGGAGGAGGAACTCAGAAGCTAAACCAGGCTTATTTCATAGACTGTACAGAGACAGACAATGCTAAGGTCAATGAACGCTAGTAGAGAAGTGCTCATGAACAAAGATTTGCTCCAACTATCTTTATCCCTCGTCTGCTTTCTTCTTTCTTTCTCTGTGAACTCTCTCTCTGGTGTCTCTCTCTCTGGTCTCTCTCTCTCTGCGGTCTCTGATGGTAAAGCTGCCCACTATTCTTGGCAAGTTCCTGAAAATGTCTGGGCTGCCTTGCATGAACTACATGTTTGTGATCCCTCTAGAGAGGCTCAATTATGTTATAACATGAAAACCTGTAGAAAAAAATCCTCATTTAAGACCATGGTCAGACCAAACCTGAGTCTAACCTCGGAGCAGAGACACATAGCAGCAGGTGCCATCCACTTTCTCTGTGGCGAGAGCAGACTCCACGTCCGCGTCCACAGCAATGGAATTCAGCGTCTCTGTGGCAACCACCTGATAGGACTGAGAAGAGAGGCCGATAGAAGCATGGGTACGTAACTTTCAAACCACACAGATTAAAAACAATATCACAAGTTCCTGGTTCTAGAAATTCCATCCATCCATCCATGCATCCATCCATCCATCCATTTTCTTCCCCTTAATCCATTTCTGGGTCGGGGGGGTGGCAGTCAGAGATGCCACCCAAGTCACATAGCACCAGCCCCTCACTGATTATCCTGCAGGTGGTGAGTCCACAGGAGGACAGCTGCTCTGTCAGTGTGACCATAGCCTTGATCTTTCAGCGGGGGCTTCGGGCAAAGTGGGGTTAAGTGTCTTGCCCAAGGACACAACGAGAGCAGACATCAGTGGGAGTCAGTGGGACTAAAAATTCATCACTACTAAATGTGTTTTTGTCCTCTGTCACAACTTAACCTCAGCTTTTTGTGATCTCTCAGGCCTCTCCCTCTCTGGTCTCTCCTTATATTTGCATTTTTATTTGGATGAGACGGTGCATGTGCGTATTCATGAAGAGGAGGAGTTGTAAATACACTAGATCGTAGCTATGTACCCAATTGGCTGCATCTGTTGTCCCACAAGACCCATAGTCACACTCACACATTCACTCTCTGGTCTCTCCCTCTGGTCTTTCTAATCAGAAAAAAATTACAATGTATACTTGTTGATTAGTTTATGGGTTATAAATTTATATTTTAAGACATTTGGTGTTAGCTCTTTAACACTTAAAACAAAAAGTAGCAGTATATTTTTTTCCGTATTAAACATTTCTCGAAGCTGCAAATGAATATACAATAATTCACTTTGAAGTAAGTCCCCACCCAAGTCATTTCCACTTCTACTTCGTTTCCCATAATCTTTTATAATTACCCCCAAGTACCACTTTGTGTTTCACATGAATGCCTAACTTATATATTGTGTCCACAGTTTTAGTTTAGATACATCACAAGGAAGACGTGAATATTTACAGTCTACAGACGCGACGCAGCCGAATGTTTTTAGCATTTTTAGCATCTGTTAGCATCCTCCGTTAGCTTTAGCAATTAGCTCCCACCTGACCATCGCGTTTTCTGGACTTTTCCTCCTTTATGTCCGTGGTGAAAACACAGGGCATTTTCTGCTGCACGGAACCGAGACTCCGCATCTTCCCCGCGGGTAGAATCTCTCCAAAGCCACGGAGAAAATGTTTAATTCAAAGAAACAGGATTAAAAAGAGATTGGCGTGTTTGCAGCAGCATGTGTGTGGAATGGTTGCGTCCAAATTCACAACACACGAGCTTCCTTCTTGTCCCTTCTTTACAATAACCTTGCAGCTAATCAAAAGAGCATTCAAATTATATATAGATATATTTATGAAATCATAATATCCAACTGACCAAACCTGGGGCTATCTCTAACAGTCTATTTTAGAAGCAAGGAAGGATGTTTTCTGAACATGGATGTAGCCGCAGAGAACATGTGTCAAATGCCATGGTCTTATGATGTCATACTTTACTTTATATTACTTCTACTTCTTCGGGGTGGTCTCTGTTCAGTAAGTACCCAGTAACGTAATGGGATAATAGTTTTTTCCCAACTTGAAAAACTAACATGCTCGCTTCAAATGTTATCGTCACAGATTAAAACTGTGCTTTAATAATTTTAAATAATTCACTTCAGAATACATTATGTGTCATCATAACATGTCTTTGTCAAATTAAACATGCTAACTGAACATTGGTGCTTTTTCGGGTCGTTGCCACCTGTGCTGCTGTCCTCCACCTCTGCCTTGGGTGGGAGATGATGTGGCCCCGGAGGATGATGCAGAGGACAACATGGAGGAGGAAGATGAAGGGAAGGAGGAAGAAGATTGGGAGGAAGGAAGATGAGGGAGACATCTTCCCTGCAGTGGAGAGATCTTCTATCTGTCTGCCCGGAGGAAGTGCACGTGGACCACCAGTGTCTTTGGTTTACCACTTTGTATGAAGAGGCCAATCCAAACAAAACCACAGACATGTCAGTCAGTCATAAATCCATTCGCAGGTGCAGATGAACACAAAGAAATACAGTACAAGTGTGGAGCAAAATTAGTATTATTGTAAAACAGATGTGGAGCTTGTTATCCTGTCTTTTATTAGTGACATGGCAACGCTATTTGCCCCAGCCAGCTCTGGAAACCCAACAGATGGACGATAAAGTGGACACAGCCCCGGTATGAAGCCCCACTCGCCAGAAGAGGGAGACCAGAACCTTGATCTCTGCAGCTCATCCATGCTGCTGGTCCTGGAGGATGGGATTCAGCCACAGTCTAAACCAGTCCCGGCTTTGCCCCACAGCACTGGCACTCTCAGGTTTATCCTGCAGATGTATAGTTTTAAGTTGTATCGTTTATCGTTGTTTTTTCACATGTTCACGAATAAAGGCTTAAATGGCTTGTCTTGGCCTATAATCATATTTGATTTGATTTCACAAAACAACTTGAGTTAGGTAAAGTATACTTTACACATTTATTTATTTGTTATTTGTTAGAGAATGATTATTAATATTAATGGAACAACAATTCAATGTATTAAGTCCATTATCTTTTCAGTTTTATACGAGTGTAGTGTTTGTGTTCTTTTGATTGATACACACTGACACAGCCTAATTCTTGGTTTTTTAATGATTATCAAAAGAGAAAAGAATAGTTTTAGTCCTCCAGTAAGGTCGTTACATTTGAGAATAGCACCATCTTGACAAACCCTTTTATGTTTATAACAAATATAAGTGTTAAACTATTTATGCGGTGCTACAGTTGATTTCAGAGAACCTAAATAAGCAAACTCATGTCTTTGCGTTCCCCAAACAGCTCTGACCTCCAACAGTGCTGGTGGAGAACTATTGGACACACCTATTGAGGACTGTGCTTAATACATCCTTGTGGTTAGCCATAATTCTAAATTCCGTATATAGGATTTTTTTCTTTGGTTATCGCTGAATGAAACATGAGTCTGTGAGCTTTAAATCACTGATGTGTTTCACAAACGACTCCAAATATTCTTTCATTTGGTCTGTAACCTCTCCTTAGTGTGTATGAAATGTTTCTTTGTAGATTATCAAGCTCATGTGATGTAATCTTTACAGCTTCAAAAACAAAAATATTTGTGTTTTCACTTCAATATTTATGAAGTTATTATCTGAAAAGACCAGAAGATGCTGAGAGCAGGTTTGTGCACACAGACAATGAACAGCAGCTGACAGTCACACACTTTTAATGTACAGTATTTAAACCCATTTTCTTAGACAGCAGGGCCCTTTGTAATAATCAAAGGGTCCACCTTTTTTAATGTTGGAAAGTTGGTGAAAATGTAAAATTGGCTCAATTTACATGTTTATTGTTTAATTGGTTGGGACAGTACATGTCAATGAACACATCACTCCGGATTGTAGCAATGGGCAAATTTTCATCCGTTGTCCCACATTCACACTCACAAACACACACTCAATGTTATTTTTTGTTCAAATATGGATGCTATGGCTCTGTAGTCTGACCTTTATGACTGATCAGGAATTCTGACCCAAAACACTGACATGAAGACCAAGACTAACGTACAAGTATTAACAGACTCAAAGATTTATTGTCAAGTTTCTCATCTTTGATTATGGAGTGGGGGGTGGGGAGTGAGGGGTGGGAGCCCAGGGAGGTAAGGAAGGGAGTTTAGCTTCCTGATGGCCTGGTGGAGATAACGGTTCTTAGGTCGTCTGGATCTGTCCCGTGGATTTCCCAGTCTCCTCCTGAAGGCATGACTTTGACAAAGTGCTGGAGGCTCCTGCAGCAGAGCTGGCTCCGTGCTCCGCAGTGATGGAGCTGGGCAGGATGCTCTCCAGTCTCTCTGTACAAGTTGCACATAACAGAGACTAGGACTCTGCCACTTCACAACTTGCACTGGTCAAACTGGTCTGGGTCCAAGGCTGGTGGGAGAACAGACTTGATGTGGTCCAGACGAGCCGCTCGAAGCACGTCATAAGAAGTGAGTGAGTGCGACTGGGCCGTAGTCATCGCAGCTGGATCGATGATGGCGTCTTTGAGGTGCATTGGGACAACAGCTGCAGAGATGAGTTAAACGTGTCAATGTGAAGACTTCAGAGGTCATCAGCACAACCTTTGAGTACACACCTTGTATTTAGTCTGTATCTGGACATTTGAGTTTGTTGATCCTACTCAGAGATCTTCTCTCACTTTCTGAAGACAGCTTCAGCATCTGGTCTTCTGGAGGAGGGGGGGAGGGGGGGGACTTTTGTACCAGGGTTTTGAGTGTCTCTGTTGAGAGCAAAATTCATTTAGTGCATTCAGCAGCATTTGGCACAACTACATCAGCTGTATAAACATTTTAGATACCTGCTCTCTGATAAGGCTTCTCTCCTTCATCGTTGACTGAGTGTCTCCATCTGGGACTGAGAGTTGCTCCACCAGAGCTTGGTCCTGCACAGACGAACATTCACACACTCCTTAAACTGAATTAAAAATGTCTTTTTTCATTATAAATATGATTAAAAATTGTGAACTTACTGAAATCTGATGGATCTTTGCCAAATGTGAGGCTGTGGACTGTTAAGTTCCTGTGGAAACAAACAGATAATACAGGTTAGACATCATTTCTGCACAACACTAGAGATAGTTTGAACTAGAGCTGACCTGTCTTCACATGTGGACCCAGCACCAGCCTGATTTCCTCCCCTCATTCTTTCTATGAAAGGATGTTATACATCTGCAAACAAGAACTCCCTCAAAGTAAGTTCTGTCGTCCTGCACATACATGCTGTGAATGTTTGTAATACACCTGTAAACGTTACAAGGTCTTTTTACCTCAAAGGTTCATTAAAACAATAGTTTTCTGTTTCCATCAAGAGCCATGTCCGGGACACGTGGAGGTTCTGTCCGTTACATGGTCCACCATCGGCCACTCACTGAAACACTGATAAAAGGTGTCGCTGCGTACATTAGCCTTCTGTGGATGAAACAAACATGTATTCATGTGAAAATCAGTAAATCCAAACACAAAGAAGTTACAAGGTTAATTACCCTTCCATCACGTTGCATTTTCAGGTCAAATCCAAATGTCTTTCATTCTTTCAGCGCATGAGGAAGAGCAAGTCCAAAAACAGCAGTCGAGAAGATGAAAGTGTGCATCACACGTTAAAAACAATTTAAAGGTTTCATCTTGGATCAAAGCTGAAGATGATAAAAGCCAGAGTTGGAAAAAATGTTCACCTGTTTGTCAAAATAAAATCCAAAGTGACATCGAGGCTGACACAGGGTCGTACCTATGGGTCGTACCTATGGGTGGTCTATGGGTGGTACCTATGGGTGGTACCTATGGGTGGTACCTATGGGTGGTACCTATGGGTCGTACCTATGGGTCGTACCTATGGGTCGTACCTATGGGTGGTACCTATGGGTGGTACCTATGGGTGGTACCTATGGGTCGTACCTATGGGTCGTACCTATGGGTGGTACCTATGGGTCGTACCTATGGGTCGTACCTATGGGTGGTACCTATGGGTCGTACCTATGGGTGGTACCTATGGGTGGTACCTATGGGTCGTACCTATGGGTGGTACCTATGGGTGGTACCTATGGGTCGTACCTATGGGTGGTACCTATGGGTGGTACCTATGGGTCGTACCTATGGGTCGTACCTATGGGTCGTACCTATGGGTCGTACCTATGGGTGGTACCTATGGGTGGTACCTATGGGTGGTACCTATGGGTCGTACCTATGGGTGGTACCTATTGGTCGTACCTATGGGTGGTACCTATGGGTCGTACCTATGGGTCGTACCTATGGGTCGTACCTATGGGTGGTATGAGCTGAAGTGGGCCATGACTAAAAATATGTCCAATAGTTCTGGCATGCGCCTCCTGTACTGCGACCCCGCTCCCATCTCTGTGTGGAGTGAGAGACAAATGCCCAAAATTAACAATTGTAAACCGCTTTGAGACTCAGATCTGCAGTGAAAAGGCGGTATATAAATAAAAAACTTACTTACTTACTATGTGGTGAGGGCTCAGTGTTGCCAAACTCTGTCTCCTTCGTTCAGACAGAAAAGGTGGAGCTCAAAGCGAGGCTCAGACTCACAGTCGTCTGTTTTAAAGTGGTTTTTATTCCACACTTTGTCAGTTTTGGAAGAAGTTAAAGATGGTTCTTTTTGCAAAGAAGTGGGAGCAGAGACAAACAGAACAGTGCATGTGATCATTTACCTGTGACATGAAAACAAGGATATCAGCCTCCACCACCTCCACCTCCTCCTCCTCCACCACCTCCTCCTCTTTCTCTTCCTCCACCTCCACCTCCTCCTCCACGTCCTCCTCCTCCTCCTCCTCCTCCACCTCCTCCTCCACCTCCTCTTCCTCCTCCTCCTCCTCATCCTCCTCTCCACCTCCTCTTCTTCCTCCTCCTCCTCTTTCTCTACTCTCCTCCTCCAACTCCTCCTCCTCCTCCTTATCCTCCACCTCTTCTTCCTCCTCCTCCGCCTGTTCCTCATCCTCCTCCTCTTTCTCTACCCTCCTTCTCCAACTCCTCCTCCATCTCCTCCTCCTCCACCTCCTCCTCCTCGTCCTTCTCCACCTCCTCCACCTCCTCCTCCTCCACTCTCTGACCACACAGTGAGAAAACACATTCAATAAAACTGAATCTTGTACAAATAGAACAGACTTCTGTACCTGTGCTGTATAATCTTTGTTTCAGTGAATTTCAATGTTTTACACTTTTTTCTTTCTAAAAAAACTCTGAAACAATAAATAAATGAGTGATTCCTTAAAGTGATGTGACTTTCATTCATCAACACTCACCTTGTTTCCCAGAACAGCAAAGACACCTGCAACAGAAGCTAAGCACCACAAAACAATCCACACAATATTATCAGAAACATTGTTGTTTTTTTGTTTTTTTAAAGAGGATCAAACGTGAATCCAAAAAATGTAAAACACAAACAACAATAACAAACAAAACTTATGTAAATATATATATATATTTTTTGGTTTTTATCAAAGAGGATCAAACGTGAATCCAAAAAATGTAAAACACAAACAACAATAACAAACTGAACTTATATTTTTTTGTTTTGTTTTTCTAAAGGGGATCAAACGTGATCCAAAAACAGTAGAAAATAGATAAATGATACTTGACCCTTCACCGAGACACAGCTCCTGAGGATCCAGCTCTGCTCCTGCTCCTCCAAAGAGACAAAGACAGAAAGGATCAGTTCTTAAAAATAGAAGGAGTACTTGTGTGTTATCGGTGGAACAGGCCTCTGCGGCTCACATGACCTTCTCTGCTCCTTCCAGGGCAGCTCCCGCTCCTTCAGGTACGCCTCCATCTGCACCACCCAGTCCGGGACAGGTCCAGGGAACAGCGGGGCAGGCTCCGGCTGCGGGACAACAGGGGCTGGGTTAACGCGGAAGAGGCTAGCAGCGTGAGGAGGAGCAGGAGGAGGAGGAGAAGACTTTCGTTTGCGCTTACGAAAGAGAGGGGGAGACACAGGGGGAGGAAGGAGATGGAGAGGCCTGGGAGGAGGAGGAGCAGAAGAGCGGGGAGCAGGAGGAGCAGAGGGGCGGGCAGCAGGAGGAGCAGAGGGGCGGGGAGCAGGAGGAGCAGAGGAAGACTTAGCAGGAGCAGCAGCCAGGCGCCAAGTAGGAGGAGCAGAGAAGCGCCAAGCAGGAGGAGCAGAGGAGCGCCAAGCGAGAGGAACAGAGGTAAGCTTTCGTTGCTTACGAATAGAGGCAGAGGAAAGCTTAGAGCGCTTGGCAGGAGGACCAGGAGGAGCAGAGGAAGGCTTAGCAGGAGGAGCAGGGAGAGCAGAGGAAGGCCTAGGAGGAGGAGCAGAGGGGCGCGAAGCAGGAGGAGCAGAGGAAGGGTTAGCAGGAGGAGGAGGAGCAGAAGGAGGAGGAGCAGAAGGACGAGGGAGGAGAGAAGAAGAGGAGTAGTGAGAGATCCTCCCAGAAAGAGGAAACTTGGCAGAGCTGCCAGGCATCGTGAGAGAGAGACTTAGCTTAAGAGTCCTCAGCAGGAGGTCAGGAGGCCTGATGGACTCCTCAGCAGGAGGTCAGGAGGCCTGATGGACTCCTCAGCAGGAGGTCAGGAGGCCTGATGGACTCCTCAGCAGGAGGTCAGGAGGCCTGATGGACTCCTCAGCAGGAGGTCAGGAGGCCTGATGGACTCCTCAGCAGGAGGTCAGGAGGCCTGAGAGAGAAGGAGAACAAGGATCTGTGGAGGAGGAACAGAACAGGTCAAACATCACTAAAAACTGCTGCTTCATTTCAAAGTTTATAGATTTAGTTCTATGGAGATAAATGACATATTTTGCATTATTTGTGTTTTGGGAAAAGTGTAAAACAATAAAGATGTGATGAGACCAGTGGGGGCGGGTCCCGGCTCAAAAGTGGCCAAAATGATGTGCGCTGACATGCTGCAATACCACCCGGGCCGATGGGGGTGGACCCGGAATAAGAATTAGCCAATGCTAACATATAGCATTGGCAGACCTCTGGAAAACGTCTTTACAGGATGGTCCAAAAGTTGGCTCTTGGCCCAAAGCTCCGTTCCACATGTGTGTCAATGCTGAGGGGGGTGGATTTTTTTGGTCCACTCTAGTTTACTTGCTGTGAATTTTTGAAGTCTCTCGTTCAAATGAATGGAGCTGTACCGGCTGACGCATGCGCAGATGCATTTTTTCACACTTTCCTTGTTGGCGGAACCACTCGCGGCCATTTTGGATAGCTCCAGTAGAGCACATTTTTGGCCCATTAGTTAGAACGGTGGAGATAGGCGTGACTATGTCCGTTAATATTTACAGTCTATGGATGAGACCAATAATTGTTCTACTTCACTGTCGTCACATTTATTCATTCTTTCATTTTTATCGTCTTTATTCAAAAAGTGGAGGGTTTCAATCCCAGCAGCCCCTCACTGATCCTCCTGTGGTAAAGTGTCTTGCCCTGGGACACAACCACAGCAGGCGTCCGTGGGAGTGGATGGAGTACGTTTTTTGGCGGGATCCAAACCTCGACCATTAGGCCCCAAGACCAACGCTAGACCAAGTTTTCAATAGATTTCTTTTCTTTTGTTATAAATATGAAACATAGTTTGTCTCTGCAGAGAAAGTCTAAAGTAAATGATAAGTAAACATTGTTTCTTTTGTATCGAAAGAGCGAGGCATGAGTTAGAAGACTGTATCTGCAGAGTTTATTGTTTTGTGTTCAGAAAGTCTCACTTGTGGATGTGCTCAAGAACAATTTGGACTGAATATGGCTGAGTAAATCTTCTAAATAACTTATTTAAAATCACAGGGATCCTAATGTCCATGCACAGAGTCAAACTGAACTGCTGAAATGTGACAGCAGTAGATACGTCACTGCTGCGTCTGATGAAGACGTCTTTCTGTGGGTTCGTCCTCCACATGTTTAAGGCACAGGTTTCAGGCTTGAGGACTTTGATTTCTTACTTATTATAATTATTATCTGTAAAACCTGCTTTAGACACGGGTCAAAGTTACCTGTGCTGCTGATTTGCCACTGTCTGTGTGTGAGTGACACGGGAGAAGAACAAATGGAAAATCTCACGTTTTTTCCTCAGAAAAGTCTGGTAGTTGTGGTCAGGAGTGGGTCAGCAGCAGTCTGGGTGGAAATGGTCTGCAGTGATGTCTCCTGGAGAAAGAAATCGTCGAGTGAAGTTTTGCAAAATCAGTTTGTGTCTCAGCCAAAGTTTTGCACGGATGCAGTGATTCAAAAGATGCACTGGCCCTAGCAACGCCACCTAGCAACAAGAGGCAGGTGCGCGTGCTCATCATGCACGAGCCGCAGTGATTCTAAATCTCCTTATACATTATATTTTGGATATTTTAAGGTTACGCGTTTCCACATGCACATATGACGCTAGGATAATGGCTCCCTCTGCTGGTGGGCCTCTGCGGACGCTACCATGGACAGCTCAGTCATCACATGCAACAAGACACGTTTAGAAACAATACATTTGTTTGAAATTGTATTATTAGGACACTTTGGGTCTAAGATTTACTTTCTTCTTTCCAGCACACTGAACAAATAGGCAAGTAAAATGTTAATTTGAAGCAATTCATAGGTTCATATTTATTAGCAAGCAACAGTTAGACTATTATCTTCGTGAATAAACTTAACATTAACTGGAAAAAAGTGTTTGAAGAACTAGCATGCATTAAAACTGCAAGTTTGTTGCTACAATTCTCTGGATTAGAATTTATATTAAAGAATTCACAGTAAATGTTGCTCATTTGTTCAGTGTTTTTAACTAATGTGTTGTTTACGACTCAGTGCAGTAAGTTACTCCCTCATGGAGACATGCTGGCTTCACATGTTATTGTCTGCAGGGCTGCAGGGATGGGCTCTGATTGGCCGATTGAGGGCGATCTCTTTTTCACTTGTCACGTATTGACAAAATATATGATAAAAGCAAACTGTGGTGGATTTTATTGTATAGTTTAATCTTTTGTGTTTTGCAAGTTACCCCAGATTTTGTTCATTGGAAAGACAATGTGTCGCACTGACACATTTTAATGGAATAATGGTCATATCTAAACTCATTACTGAATTAAAACAAACACGTTTTCTAAAGTCAGGGAACTCTCTTCATTATTATGTAAAGTTTCCCTGAAAGCTTGAAAGGGTTGCTTTTCACTGTCCACGCACACTGTCACTTGTCTGGGCACTTGAATTTATCTTGACTTGCATTTCCAGAGCAGGAAGCGGCTCTGCTGAGCAGCTGCAGGGACAGTGGTTCTCATGGATGTAATACTTTGGTGTAATAGACCTGTACCATGTTCAGGTCCAAAAAACTGACGGCTTTTGCACACTCTAAAATTAAAACAAATTTTCTTAGAAAGCAGGACCCCTTTTAAATAATCGAGGCTTTCCCATCTTTTTTCATGATGGAAAGTTGGTGAAAATGTGTAATAACCTTAATGTTAATTTCTTCTGCCGAGACTGCGGAAGAAGAAAATGGATGGTTTGAAAGCTAGATTCTGCAGCTTTAAATTATAGAAACACCACACAACATTATAGAAAGACAAATTCCTTTTATATCAAATACAATCAAAAGTAAAAAAAATGTAAAGACTTAAAGAGGGACACAAACACTGGTCTCTCTCTGGTCTCTTTCTGGTCTCTCTCTGGTCTCTCTCTGATCTCTTTCTGGTCTCTTTCTGGTCTCTCTCTCCTCTCGCTCTGGTCTCTCTCTACATGATGTTGGCCCCGCTCCAGGAGGAAGTGAGAGAAATTGGAATACAGACCTGAATGTTACAGATTTTAAAAGAGCAATATGTTAAAATTTGCACCTCACCCCATCAGCTCTCTCCCTGACTCAGGTCTGCTGAATGCAGACGAATCCAGCTCGGACCATAACAACTGAATAGACAAAAGTTTTGTCAGCGACAAATCTATAACCTACACCTTTATCTCAAAGACATCCCCGATAGAAATACTGGTTTTATTCCTTGTGTTGTCATTAATTATTTTAGAATCATAACAAGACCTTTTTTAGGACAGTGGCCATATGTTACTTTACCAGTGAGATGAGCTCGAGGCTGTGAGTTCTGGCAACTGGTATTTATTTTATTTTATTTATTGATTGATTTATTTGATAGGGACAAGTGTACACAATCAACCTGTGAAACACTACAACATTTATAGCCAAGGCTAGTTTGCAATGTCCGTCCCTAGGAAGGCTTTTAACACAATTAAACCACATTTTACATGATAAAATTGACATTATACAATAGCTGATGTTCTCCAACTCATTGATGCTCACACACCTGGTTTGTTTTAAAAAAAATAAATTTATTTAAAAAATTTTAGCTGAGGGCTTAAAGAGTTCCAGAGCTTTGCCCCCTGCACCGAGAAGACCGACTGTCCGAATGTGGTTCTCCTGAGGGGCACTTTTACATTCCCGTTAGAGGAGCCCGGATCTCAGAGGAACTATGAGAGCACTCAGGACAGCAGGGGCTCGCTGTCTGTGTATCTCACAGGTATAGTAACATAAACATTTAGCAGAACTAAAAAAGGTCATTAATGACAAAACAAGGACTAAAACAAGGAGGGATGTCTTTATGAAAAAGTTGATGGTATAGATTTGTTGTTGACAAAACTCTTGTCTATTCAGTTATTATTATTACGGTCCCAGCTGGATTCATCTGCATATCTGGCAACCTGAGTCAGGGAGAGTGGGAGAGGTCGCTGTACTACTTTTGGCCAGATTTTTACATACTGTTCCTTTAAGTTAGGAATTTCTCTGAGGAGTTTGGTGATTTTATCTGCTGGCGAGAAAACTAAACCCAAACTAAAAGTAGAGTAGAGAGTGGTTCTGGTCCCGGCACATTGGATCCCACGGCGGATGAACTGGTTGAATGTCTCTGACCCATTCTAGTCCTTTTCATTCTTGCTGTGATTGCGTGGTTGGGTCCAGAGCGTAGAGTGCCGTCTCGCTGCTGATGGTGAACCTCTTCTGCAGCTCCAGCTCCAGCTCCAGCTCTGCACTGGTCTGCTCCCAGGTCTCCTCGTGGTCAGAGGGAGGGGCCCGAGTCCAAATGCAGCACTCAGACCTGAACGGGTAAACAGCAGGAAGGAAGTCAGTAGAAATGTAGACGCATGGAGAATCAACCTGGGGTGACAATGGGAAAGATTGGCGTGTTTTTTGGACCCGTGAGAGCTTCTCGCCACGGGGTAATGTGTCAAAACGAGACTATGACTTTCAGAAACTGCAGCATCCAAGACTTCAGGGAGTCATAATATAAAGGACGACTAAGGTTGCGTTCACTATTCAGTCCTCACTTGAGTCCTGGATCTACAGCCTCAGTCCTGGATCTACAGCCTCAGTCCTGGATCTAAAGCCTCAGTCCTGGATCGACAGCCTCAGTCCTGGATCTACAGCCTCAGTCCTGGATCTAAAGCCTCAGTCCTGGATCGACAGCCTCAGTCCTGGATCTGCAGCCTCAGTCCCTGAATCTAAAGCCTCATTCATAGATCTACAGCCTCAGTCCAGGATTTACAGCCTCATTTTGGATCTAAGCCTCAGTCCTGGATCTACAGCCTCAGTCCTGGATCTACAGCCTCAGTCCTGGATCTACAGCCTCAGTCCTGGATCTACAGCCTTAGTCCTGGATCTACAGCCTCAGTTCATGCCGATAAAGGAGAGACTGGGGACTTTTCTGGACAGTGGTCATCCTGCTCCCTGTGAACTAATGGCTTCTATGTGTTTGTTATTATTGCATTACCTGTGTTCAATTTGTTTGATTCTCTGATATGTTGCTGTTTGATTGGATTGTACAGAAAAAACATTAGAACTTACATTTTGTAGTAGCACAGAGCTCCCACTGTTGACAAGATCACCGAGATGACACTGATGGCGACCAGAACTGTGGACACTGAAAAAGTGAACCATTAGAATCCAACACAATCGTACGATGGAGCGTGTAGACATGAAACTTACCTCTTTGCCTCGGAGTTCTTCCAGTCCCAGAACTCGTCGTGAGTCCATGAGGAACACTTGTTGGCTCTTTGTGATCTGGAGTTGATGATGATCCAACAGGAGAAGAAGAAAGAATCGAACCGAAAACAGGTTTTGTGGAAAAGTGTGCCAAATAATGACCAGAAGAAGAAGACGTTTTTGTTTTGAGAGTGGAGTGGACCCTGTTGGGTGATGGAGACGGGGCTTTAGTTGCTGTTGGAAAATTAGTAGTAGTAGTAGTAGTAGTAGTAGTAGTAGTAGTAGTAGTAAAGGCAGAAAAAGTAGTAGGAATAGTTGTAGTAATGGCAGGAGGAGTTGTAGTAGCAGTGGTAGTAGTGGCTGTAGAAGTAGTGGATGGAAGGGCAGCCGTCTTTGCTTCCATTGAATCTGAAAACAAGGAAAACTAGAAGGTCAAAAGACTTGTCCCTTTTCTTTAGGCTACAGTACATTTGGAGAACCCATTGAATACACTCATCTCTATTAAACATATATATCCATGGGTTACAAAAAGATAATTATTACAAATATTACAATGTACTGTATGTGTAAATAAGCTTCAAAATCAAGGCAATTCGTTCCTGTGTAAGCATATAATGTGCTTCTTTTGAATGTGCTGGAAAACGGCTGCAAGTCCTAAGTAACTCTGAAACAATTGTTTTTTTGTGCTTTCTAGGCAAGGCAAGGCAAGTTTATTTGTATAGCACAATTCAAACACAAGGCAACTCAAAGTGCTGAACAAGATAGCATTAGAATCATAAATAATCACAGAACATTAAAACGAAAAATAAAAATATAAAATCCCTCAGTTTTTATTAGTATTGCTTTTTTCTACCTGGGATGTTGGTGCAGTACAGTGTTCATTGTTCTACACTGGTCCAGACCAGAGCAGAGAGGAGACAAGACAAGTTTCGGATCAGGTGAAAATCCACTGGAGGAATGCGAACTTTTTGAAAAATGCTAATGAAGCATTTCGATTTTTACTTTGGACTAGAGCAAAGAAGATGGTCCGAATCAAGCAGCTCCTCCACCTTGTGACCTGTCCTGCTCCACCCAGCGGCTACTCCACATCTGCTGCTGTGACGAGTCCTGCTCCATCTCTCTATCTCTCCATCAATCTTTGATCTGGTCTCTTTCTCTGATCTCTCTCTCTCTCTCTCTGTGATCTCTCTCTCTCTCTCTGGTCTCTCTCCCTAGTTTCTCTCTCTTTTCACTCTCTGGTCTCTCTTTACGGTCTCCCACTCGGGACTCTCTCTCTCTCTCTCTCTCTCTCTCTCTGGTGTCTCTCTCTTTTCACTCTCTGGTCTCTCTTTACGGTCTCCCACTCGGGACTCTCTCTCTCTCTCTCTCTCTCTCTCTCTGGTGTCTCTCTCTTTTCACTCTCTGGTCTCTCTTTACGGTCTCCCACTCGGATCTCTCTCTCTCTCTCTGGTGTCTCTCGCTCTGGTATCTGCATGATGTTGTTCTGTAAAAAGGACAACATATTCTGATGTCTGAAAAAAGGACAACATATTCTGATGTCTGTTTCCATTTCTGGAAACTGTAACATTTAAAATAGTGACTACGTTGGTCTTTGTACCTGTGTCGTTGAAGCACCAGGCGGCAAACTTCCGCTGGCTTGCTGCTCTCCATTTGACCACGCCCACTGACCCACTGCCACAGGTGGAGACGGAGGAGCGCCGAGGGATCGCAGCCACGTTCTCTGCCAGCCAGCCGAAACTGCACACATGTTCTGAGCTCTTAGTGTGTAGAGTGTGTACCCAACCGCAGGGACCAGAGGAGATCTTTGTGTAGGTGTGCTCAATACGTCGATCGCGATCTACCAGTCGATTGCAAAGGTAGTATCGGTAGATCGCATTACATTTAAAAAATTATCCGTTTATGCATTTGCGTGTAGACGGAGATAACCGGAATTTTGCGTTTTCGCATGCCAAACGTACAATAAGCATGGATCTTACTGCCTTAAAAACTGTTCGCAGCAGCGGACGACCTCCAAATCAGAGAGCAGCAAAGTGATCACGGGGACTCATGCTCGAAAACAACCAAAACAGGAGCTAAACCAGGATCAAACCAGGACTGAGGATGGGGCTCAGTGCTCATGAACATATGTCTTCACCCTGAGTTTCTACTATGACTGTAAGTGCCGCTACTGAAGTACCTGGGTCTTCCCCAGGGGCCCCTCCCGGTGGGACGTGCCCGGAACACCTGCCCAGGGAGTCATCCAGGAGGCATCCAGAACAGACTGACGGCATCCCTTACTACCGGTGTCCACCAGCATGGCAACCATTAATAATAATACATTTTTATTTCTGGTCTGACCTGCAAGTCTCAAGCCCCGCCGCCAGGGCCGTTTCTAGCTGGGCCCCCGTTGCCATGGAGAGGTTGTGAGCAAGACACGCCTCCTTCGCCGAGGTGAAGTTGAACCAGTACAGACCCCCTGGACCGGTGAGCAAGATCACTCCAGAGACCGGAGCAGAAGCTGCAGAGGAGAGGCAGAATCGTCCATGTTATAGCCCTGATAGCTTACCCACGGTCTGAGCAGAGCCTGCAGGGCCTGCGGGGCCTGGGATGTGACGTTTACAGTGAGGTACGTGAAAGGGCAGAGCTCAAAGCGATGCGGAGGGACTGAATGTGGCTGTGGAGCTTGTCTCTTTTGACACATCACAAGGACTCTCTTGGATTGTTGGTCCCAAAATTAGGTGAATGTGGCAGTTAATGCTGAGGTACGTAACTTTTTTGCCTTGTGTAATACAACAGCACCTTGATCTTGTTAGAAAACATGTTTTCTTTGTGTGTAAGAAAGAGCTATTTGAGTCACTACTTGATCTATTTATCTATCTTTGGACCACAGGTTGGAGACCCCTGGACTAGAGAGAGACCAGAGAGAGTGAGACTAGAGAGAGTGAGACTAGAGAGAGTGAGACTAGGGAGATAGACCAGAGAGATTGGCTGAGTGAACAATTTAACGAGTATCTCTGGTCTCTCTCTCTGGTCTTTCTCTGGTCAGAATTTACATATTCCAGGTTTAATTAAAAAATCTACTTTTTGCTGGTAGAATTAGGGAGTGCACTGCAGATAGTTACAAATACACTTTTCTTCTAAGTTCAATGATACAGGCATGAAGGGGTTATCCATGCTTCTAAGTTCAATATTACAGGCATGAAGTGGTTAGCCATGCTTCAAAGTTCAATAATACAGGCATGGAGTGGTTAGCCATGCTTCTAAGTTCAATAATACAGGCATGAAGTGGTTAGCCATGCTTCAAAGTTCAATAATACAGGCATGGAGTGGTTGGCTGTGGTTCTAAGTTCAGTAATACAGATGTGAAGTAGTGAACCATCCTTCTCAGTTTACAACCTTGTCAATTGTTCAATTATTTGTGGTTTGAAAGTTACGTCCCTGAGCTTTAAGTAAGAATACTCCGTTTGGAAGAGTATTTTTCCAAACCTTGCGTGCGGCTGTGGTCCAGAGCCGAGCAGGAAGCAGCCAGGACCAGGAACCTGAGGACTCCAAACACGGTCCGCCGGAGACAAATATCCAGACGACAATAACGTCTGTTTCTCATGACGGTTTTTAAACAAACAAAGACAAAAATATAAATGAAAAATAAACAAATAAAAACAAGTGAGACTCACAAAGACAGAGAGAGAGAGAGGTTCTGGTTCAGTCTCAGGAAAAAGCAGAGACAGAAACTCACAGAGCAGCGAAGAGGAAACGGCAGATAACAGACAGGACACAGAGGATAAGCCCTGCTCCCACCAGCTCTACTCAGCTCTACTCTACGTTACTCTAATTTACCCTACTAGGCTCTACTCAGCTCTACACTCTACTTTACTCTACTTTACTCTACTCTACTTTACTCTAATTTACTCTACTAGGCTGTACTCAGTGCTACTCTACTTTACTCTACTCTGCTTTACTCTTGTTTACTTTATTTTACTCTATAGGCTCTACTTGGCTCTACTCTACTTCACTCTACTCAGCTCTACTCAGTTCTACTCTACTAGGCTCTACTCAGCTTTAATATACAAGAGAGAGACCAGAGAAAGACCAAAGAGAAAGACCAAAGAAAGACCAGAGAGAGACCAAAGAGAGACCAGAGAGAAACCAGAGAGAGACAAGAAAAAGACCAAAAAGAGACAATGGAGTAACTAATGAGACAAGAGAGAGACCGGAGAGAGAGAGACCAGTAGGAGAGACAAGAGGAAACGACCAGAAAGAGACAAGAGAGGGATCAGAGAGGGACCAGAGGGAAAAGCCTTGTCTAAAGTTACTATTACATCTGACCTAAAAGTGCTGTTATTTTTGACCTGTGAGATAAAAATATGGTTTTAATTACATTTTATTACGACGTCTTTTGTTTCACAGTGAAAACAAGATAACCCTCACATTCCTCCGCTGCTGTGGTACTTTTAATGTATTGTTTTCCCGTTTGGTGTCAACTGTTGTCGCGGAAACTAATGAGTTGTGGAAGTCCCAGGGCAGAGGAAGTGTGTCTCTCCGTGGCCTTTGTAGAATCTGCTGCGGAGGCAAAAAAAAATGATTAAAAAAAATGCAGAAAGAGACCAGGGCGACCATAGAGACACCAGAGAGAAACCAGAGAGAGACCAGAAAGAGACCTGCGAGAGAACAGAGACAGACCAGAGAGACCAGAAAGAAAGACCATAGAGAGAGAGACCAGAGAGAGACCTGAGGGAGAACAGACAGAGACTAGGGAGAGACCAGAGAGACCATGGAACGAGAACAGGGGGACACAGAAAGAACAGATATACCAGGGAGGGAGACCGGAGAGAGAGACCAGGGAGAGACTAAAGGGACTAGGGAGAGGGACTAGAGCAGGGGTCTTCAACCTTTTTTAGTGTAAAGAGTTACTCCTTTTTGCAGTCATTAAAACAATCTATCTAATTAAGACAAGAGAGAACACATGTGGGAAAGTGGACTTTTACAAGGACTTTTAACTGCTTTTATTGTGTGTTTGTGTGTGTGTTTTTATTTCGTTGTATTCATTTTAAACTACCTTTCCTAGGACACTTCCATTATCCATTGCCATTTTAAAGGATCTCTTTTGAATATATTTTATCAAATTTGTATCCCCTTTTTGTCTTATGGATCACACTCCCCTCAGTAGACACTTTTATACCTGCGACACACAGAGTTATGCAGGGTAATACAGTGCTATAATAGTATATAACCCTATCAATATAACAGATATGGGATGAATCAAATGTCTTCATACAGGATCATGTGTCACATTTTAAATCGTTTGGGGAGCTACCTGAAAGAGGCTCGAGAGCTACTGGTAGCTCCTGAGCCACAGGTTGGAGACCCCTGGACGAGAGAGAGACCAGAGAGGGAGACTAGGGAGAGACCGACTAGAGGGAGACCAGAGAGAGAGAGAGAGAGATCAGAGAGAAACCAGAGAAGGAGAGACTAGAAACTTTTGAATGCGCTGGGAAAAGGCAGCAAGTCGAAGCTCTGAAACAGTTGTTTTGTGCTTTTGAATTTTTATTTTTATTTATTTTTTCTACTTGGGATGTTGCTGCAGTACAGTGTTTATAGTTTTGCACTGGTCCGGACCAGAGCAGAGAGGATTCATGGTCCGAACCAAGTGGATCAGATGAAAATCCACTGGAGGAATGCTAACTTTTTGAAAAATGATATTGAAGCATTTAGCATTTTACTTTGGATTAGAGCAGAGAAAATGGTCCGAACCAAGCGGCTACTCCACCATTTCACCTGTCCTGCTCCACCCAGAGGCTACTCCACCTCAGCTGCTGTGACCTGAAGGACTACTGCTGATTATTACTATTTTTTAATTGATCAATTTTAATATTTATTTTTGCTGCTACTGGACACCTGCATTTCTTCTATGGGGATCAATAAAGTATGTATCTATCTATCTAAAGGGAGCCCAAAAAGGGAGAGACTAGAGAGAGACCAGACAGGGAGACTAGAGTGAGAGAAAGAGAAAGAGGGAAACTAGGGAGAAAGAAACCAGAGAGAGAGAGAGACTATAGAGAGACCAGGGAGTGAGACAATGTAAGACAATTTATTTAAGAAAGCTTTTAGTTGATTGGGTTCTCACTGATGTCACTTTTAAGTACATAAAATGTGTAATGTGTGTAAGTGTATTTTATATTGTTTGTATTTGCCCACTGTCCTGTACAGCACTTTGTGATTTTTATCTGTGAAAAGCGCTTTATAAATAAACTTTACTTACTTACTTACTTACAAGGGAGAGAGTGACCAGAGAGGGTCCAGAGAGTGAGACAAGGGAGAGAGTGACTAGAGAGGGTCCAGAGAGTGAGACAAGGGAGAGAGTGACTAGAGAGGGTCCAGAGAGTGAGACAAGGGAGAGAGAGACCTACTCTAAGAGCAGGTCTTCCAGTGCGTCCACATGTTTTGTCTCCATAGCAGCTGTGTGCAGGTATGAGCTCACGTTTCTCATCAATAATGGACGTGTAAAAATCTCCTGCTCCTCTGCTCCTCATCGCAGACGGGCTCAAGGTAAGGTTTTATATACAATATGTTCTTCGAAGTGACTTTTATTTATTTTGTCGTTTTACTTAGTGCGTAGTAAATAGTGCCTTTTTGCAGTCTAAATTCAGGTACCTCAGCTTTAAAACAGGACTCAAAGTTAAAGAGAGGAATAAGATGCCAGAGAGAGACCAGAGGGAGACCGGAGAAAGACCAGAGAGACAAGAGAGGGATCAAAGTGAGACCAAGAGAGACACCAGAGAAAGACTACTGTAGAGGGAGACCGGAGAGAGCTCCACCAAAGGGAAACCAGAGAGAGAACAGAGAGAGACTAGAGAGAGACCAGAGAGAGACCAGAGAGAGAGACCATCAAAGGGAGACCGTAGACAGACCAGAGAGGGACCAGAAAGAGAGACCAGAGAAAGACCAGAGGGAGTAACCATACACATGCATGTTTTCAGTCCTACGTTGTGGCTGCATCTTATTGTATGTAATCTTTAGTGTGAGTCACTATAAAACTTTTTGGGCTGAGAGCTGATTGGCTGAGTGAGTGTGGTCTCTCTCTTTTATCTGAAAAAGCTGATCTAAAGATGTGACAGAGGTAAACACATGATGAAACAAGAAAACTAGTGACAGAGCTAATAGATTTTATAACATGTTAAGGTTATCATGCTGTGGTTTGAAAGTTGAAGTTGAATGTTCTCCAGCTTTAATAAACGTGCGACAAAACTAAATCTTGATTGTGCTGCAGATGTCGCTCAGAGCCAAGTCCCACTCAGACCTGCCGTCTCTGGGGAAGTCTCTGGACGACCCGCTGCTGTCCACCCTGTCCCTGAGCTCCTCCAGCATGGGCCGACCCAAAGTCCAGACTGGGCTGCTCCCGGGGTCTCTGCCTGGGTCTCTTCCACACCCAGGGAACACAAACGGCTCAAACGTGCGGAGGCCGGTGCGCGCAGTGAGGCCGGTCAGTGCCGTTGCTCCCACTGGGTCTTTCCTGCAGATGAACCACCTGCAGGGGGAGCTAGTGCGCAAGAGGAAGGTGAGGTTGCTTTAAAGGACACGTATTAGGAAGTACTACTGCTATGGCTGATACTGCGCTCCCGGCTCGAAAGGGTCCATGAGCACGTACGCTGACATGCTTGTATTTCGACTCCTTGCCTGTGGGGGTGTACCCGGAAACAGAATTATCCAGTGTATTCTTATTGCGTCCAGTTTCTTCTCAAAAATGGCTTCACAGTCTCCTCAAAAAGTTGGCTCTTGGCTCAACAATAGGTCTCAGATGCAAGTCAATGCTGTATTTTTTTTTTTGGACCAGTCTCGTTTAGCCGCTGTGGTCTTTAGAATGCACTCGTTTTAATGAATCGGGCTAGTTCCGGCTGACGTATGGCACATTAGTTTCAACAGCAGACATACTGTAGGCGTCACTACGTTGGATAATATTTACTGTCTATGATGTGTATTTTGCGTAGATGCCTTTATCAGTAGTTTTACTTTCAAAACTTGTTTGGACCATGAGCCAAAGTAAATCATTAGTTTGTGACTTACTGACAACAGCAATAAAATAATGCTGATTCTTCACTTAGTCACTTCATGTTTTAGGATTGGAAATAAAATCCATTCAGTAGAAAATATATGGTGAGACAAGTATGAACTGGTCTCTCTCTGGTCTCGCTCTCTGGTCTCGCTCTCTGGTCTCGCTCTCTGGTCTCGCTCTCTGGTCTCGCTCTCTGGTCTCGCTCTCTGGTCTCGCTCTCTGGTCTCGCTCTCTAGTCTCGCTCTCTGGTCTCGCTCTCTGGTCTCGCTCTCTGATCTCGCTCTCTGATGTGGCCCTCTAGTCTCGCTCTCTGGTCTCGCTCTCTGGTCTCGCTCTCTGGTCTCGCTCTCTGGTCTCGCTCTCTGGTCTCGCTCTCTGGTCTCGCTCTCTAGTCTCGCTCTCTGGTCTCGCTCTCTGGTCTCGCTCTCTGATCTCGCTCTCTGATGTGGCCCTCTAGTCTCGCTCTCTGGTCTCGCTCTCTGGTCTCGCTCTCTGGTCTCTCTCTTTGTCTCTCTCCCTTTTCTCTCTCTCTCTGATCTCGCTCTCTCTGATCTCGCTCTCTCTGGTTGCTCTCTCTGTTCTGGCTCTCTGTTCTGGCTCTCTGTTCTCACTCTCTGGTCTCGCTCTCTGGTCTCTCTCTGTCTGATTTCTGGTCTCTCTCTTTGGTTACTGATCTGGTCCTTGTGCTGTACCAGGAGGTGGAGGACCTGAAGAGGGAGAACAAGCATCTGTCAAACGAGATTCACATGGAACGAATCATGATGAGGAACGAGAACGAGCTGAGTATGAGGAACCTCAGGAACCTGAACCAGGACATGCAGAACCAGCTCAAGGAGGTCAACTAGTACTACTGCTACTGCTACTGTTGCTACTGATATTGCTACTTCTGCTCAGACTACTACTACTACTACTACTACTATAGTACTGTTACAACTACGCACTCCTACTACTGCTGCTGCTACTAGAACTATTACACTGCTGTTGATGGTTGGGGCGTTGATGCGCAGTGTGTTCGGTGTCTCACTTCCGTCATCACCGTGTGGAGAGAATGGAACATTGTAAAGCACTTTGGGGGACCCTGGTCTGTAAAAATGCACTATATAAATAAAGTACTTACTCACTTACTTCTACGATAGTATTGTTACAGCTATAACTAGCTACTGCTAAAGCTACTACAAATAACATGTCTCTGCAGCTGAAGCAGAAGCTGCAGCTGAGCCAGCAGAGGGCAGCCCTGAGCTCACGGGCAGCAGAAGAGGCAGGGATGGCTCGAGCAGACGCAGACAAGAAGCGAGCAGCGGCTGACAACCGAGCTCTGGTGTCGGAGAGCGAACTCAGCGCCTCGGACGCAGAGAGACGAGAGCTGCGGCAACAGCTGCAGCAGCTCCACAAAGAGGTGACAGTTCACTGAGAACCGAACTCTAAAAGAGCTCCCACTCGTCTGTATCCAGTCCCTCCGTATCACTCTGAGCTCTGCCACTTCACGCTACCTTAATGTAAACAAGAGCACACAGCAGAGCAGTGGTTCCGACGTGTAGCCCCTCTCACTCAGGCTGTGGATCCAGGACTGAGGCTTTGGATCCAGGACTGAGGCTTTGGATCCAGGACTGAGGCTGTAGATCTATGGCGGAGGCTGTAGATCCAGGACCGAGGCTGTAGATCCAGGACCGAGGCTGTAGATCCAGGACTGAGGCTGTAGATCTATGGCGGAGGCTGTAGATCCAGGACCGAGGCTGTAGATCCAGGACCGAGGCTGTAGATCCAATTCTGGGTTCAATGTTTTGTGTAGAGTGCATGATGCAGCTGTTCTTTTTAAGATAGTTTTATTTAAATGGTGCAAAGTCTGTCAATGTTTGAAAGTCCCACTGGAGAGGGGTCCTAAAGGATGAGGATGAGGGATGGAATACTGGGTATTTACTACTTTTTGGATTTCAGGACTGATCTCTTCTCTTTTCCTCTCCCCCCTCCTCTTTCAACTTTTCTTCTCATCTCATATTCACGGAGCTTGAGGATCTGAGTAACTCATTATCAAAAGGCCGGTTTGCTACAGCTCGAGTGAATGAAAGCTCAGTGCTGAGTGTGAAAGCAGAGACCCTCGAGTAACAGAAGCTGAGCTGATGATGACCTGATGTCACACATGACTAGGATTACTCACACCAGGAAGATTACTCATCAGTAACTGCTGGTTTGAGGAGAGAGGACTGGACGATAAGCAAAACACTTATAACAACTGTTTTCTTTTCAAAACAGCTATACTACTACTACAAGTACCATTTCTGCTACTACTACTGGGGCCACTACTTCTACTGCTGCCCCTGCTCTTACTGCTACTACTGTGTGTTGTAAACGTGGGGTGGCAGTCTTCAGTGAAAAGCCTTTAGCAATGCACTCAAAAGGGAAAAAGACTCGTTGAGCCTCCACTTACTTTATTGATAGAACAATGCCAGGTCTTCATATGAAATGACATACAGACATTATTTCAACCTACCACTGTTAGCGTAAGTGGAGAGAGAGACAAAATGCCGTGTGGCCTCCTGCAAACAGCATACATAAGTGTATATGCAAACCGCGCCGTGCCATGGCGTAATATGGTGCTACAAACTCACTTACCGTTACATAGTCCCCCCCGTGAGAAAAAGTCTGTCCACAGCCGTACACAACTGCGATGCAATTTAAAACCAAACACAAAAGTATCCTATACATAGACATACAAATGAAGTCGGGACACACATGGCGAAGACAATTAGACCAATCAATCACTTTCACAAAACAAAAAACCCATAAATGTACAGTTATTTCTCTTTTTTTTTTTTTAAGATGCCAGGAAAACATAAACCTACTCTCGTAACCATCAATGAACACATGCGAGCAAACAATCTACAACCATTGTAAATACATACAGTATAAAAGTCCAGAAAAACAAAACAAAAAAGTCAGAACAGAAAGAGCGCACTTTAGAACCATTTTGTCTGTGTGAAATGCATTAGTCCATTTCTTGTCACACCAGCCTGATGTTTATTCTGGGTCACGTCTGGGTCTGAGATTGTAATGTCCTGGGGCCTGGGTCAGATAGGGACAGCAGGGAGGGGCAGTTGTTTTGTGCTTTTGAATTTTTATTTTTTATTTATTTTTTCTACTTGGGATGTTGCTGCAGTACAGTGTTTATAGTTTTGCACTGGTCCGGACCAGAGCAGAGAGGATTCATGGTCCGAACCAAGTGGATCAGATGAAAATCCACTGGAGGAATGCTAACTTTTTGAAAAATGATATTGAAGCATTTAGCATTTTACTTTGGATTAGAGCAGAGAAAATGGTCCGAACCAAGCGGCTACTCCACCATTTCACCTGTCCTGCTCCACCCAGAGGCTACTCCACCTCAGCTGCTGTGACCTGAAGGACTACTGCTGATTATTACTATTTTTTAATTGATCAATTTTAATATTTATTTTTGCTGCTACTGGACACCTGCATTTCTTCTATGGGGATCAATAAAGTATGTATCTATCTATCTAAAGGGAGCCCAAAAAGGGAGAGACTAGAGAGAGACCAGACAGGGAGACTAGAGTGAGAGAAAGAGAAAGAGGGAAACTAGGGAGAAAGAAACCAGAGAGAGAGAGAGACTATAGAGAGACCAGGGAGTGAGACAATGTAAGACAATTTATTTAAGAAAGCTTTTAGTTGATTGGGTTCTCACTGATGTCACTTTTAAGTACATAAAATGTGTAATGTGTGTAAGTGTATTTTATATTGTTTGTATTTGCCCACTGTCCTGTACAGCACTTTGTGATTTTTATCTGTGAAAAGCGCTTTATAAATAAACTTTACTTACTTACTTACTTACAAGGGAGAGAGTGACCAGAGAGGGTCCAGAGAGTGAGACAAGGGAGAGAGTGACTAGAGAGGGTCCAGAGAGTGAGACAAGGGAGAGAGAGACCTACTCTAAGAGCAGGTCTTCCAGTGCGTCCACATGTTTTGTCTCCATAGCAGCTGTGTGCAGGTATGAGCTCACGTTTCTCATCAATAATGGACGTGTAAAAATCTCCTGCTCCTCTGCTCCTCATCGCAGACGGGCTCAAGGTAAGGTTTTATATACAATATGTTCTTCGAAGTGACTTTTATTTATTTTGTCGTTTTACTTAGTGCGTAGTAAATAGTGCCTTTTTGCAGTCTAAATTCAGGTACCTCAGCTTTAAAACAGGACTCAAAGTTAAAGAGAGGAATAAGATGCCAGAGAGAGACCAGAGGGAGACCGGAGAAAGACCAGAGAGACAAGAGAGGGATCAAAGTGAGACCAAGAGAGACACCAGAGAAAGACTACTGTAGAGGGAGACCGGAGAGAGCTCCACCAAAGGGAAACCAGAGAGAGAACAGAGAGAGACTAGAGAGAGACCAGAGAGAGACCAGAGAGAGAGACCATCAAAGGGAGACCGTAGACAGACCAGAGAGGGACCAGAAAGAGAGACCAGAGAAAGACCAGAGGGAGTAACCATACACATGCATGTTTTCAGTCCTACGTTGTGGCTGCATCTTATTGTATGTAATCTTTAGTGTGAGTCACTATAAAACTTTTTGGGCTGAGAGCTGATTGGCTGAGTGAGTGTGGTCTCTCTCTTTTATCTGAAAAAGCTGATCTAAAGATGTGACAGAGGTAAACACATGATGAAACAAGAAAACTAGTGACAGAGCTAATAGATTTTATAACATGTTAAGGTTATCATGCTGTGGTTTGAAAGTTGAAGTTGAATGTTCTCCAGCTTTAATAAACGTGCGACAAAACTAAATCTTGATTGTGCTGCAGATGTCGCTCAGAGCCAAGTCCCACTCAGACCTGCCGTCTCTGGGGAAGTCTCTGGACGACCCGCTGCTGTCCACCCTGTCCCTGAGCTCCTCCAGCATGGGCCGACCCAAAGTCCAGACTGGGCTGCTCCCGGGGTCTCTGCCTGGGTCTCTTCCACACCCAGGGAACACAAACGGCTCAAACGTGCGGAGGCCGGTGCGCGCAGTGAGGCCGGTCAGTGCCGTTGCTCCCACTGGGTCTTTCCTGCAGATGAACCACCTGCAGGGGGAGCTAGTGCGCAAGAGGAAGGTGAGGTTGCTTTAAAGGACACGTATTAGGAAGTACTACTGCTATGGCTGATACTGCGCTCCCGGCTCGAAAGGGTCCATGAGCACGTACGCTGACATGCTTGTATTTCGACTCCTTGCCTGTGGGGGTGTACCCGGAAACAGAATTATCCAGTGTATTCTTATTGCGTCCAGTTTCTTCTCAAAAATGGCTTCACAGTCTCCTCAAAAAGTTGGCTCTTGGCTCAACAATAGGTCTCAGATGCAAGTCAATGCTGTATTTTTTTTTTTGGACCAGTCTCGTTTAGCCGCTGTGGTCTTTAGAATGCACTCGTTTTAATGAATCGGGCTAGTTCCGGCTGACGTATGGCACATTAGTTTCAACAGCAGACATACTGTAGGCGTCACTACGTTGGATAATATTTACTGTCTATTGTGTATTTGCGTAGATGCCTTTATCAGTAGTTTTACTTTCAAAACTTGTTTGGACCATGAGCCAAAGTAAATCATTAGTTTGTGACTTACTGACAACAGCAATAAAATAATGCTGATTCTTCACTTAGTCACTTCATGTTTTAGGATTGGAAATAAAATCCATTCAGTAGAAAATATATGGTGAGACAAGTATGAACTGGTCTCTCTCTGGTCTCGCTCTCTGGTCTCGCTCTCTGGTCTCGCTCTCTGGTCTCGCTCTCTGGTCTCGCTCTCTGGTCTCGCTCTCTAGTCTCGCTCTCTGGTCTCGCTCTCTGGTCTCGCTCTCTGATCTCGCTCTCTGATGTGGCCCTCTAGTCTCGCTCTCTGGTCTCGCTCTCTGGTCTCGCTCTCTGGTCTCGCTCTCTGGTCTCGCTCTCTGGTCTCGCTCTCTGGTCTCGCTCTCTAGTCTCGCTCTCTGGTCTCGCTCTCTGGTCTCGCTCTCTGATCTCGCTCTCTGATGTGGCCCTCTAGTCTCGCTCTCTGGTCTCGCTCTCTGGTCTCTCTCTTTGTCTCTCTCCCTTTTCTCTCTCTCTCTGATCTCGCTCTCTCTGATCTCGCTCTCTCTGGTTGCTCTCTCTGTTCTGGCTCTCTGTTCTGGCTCTCTGTTCTCACTCTCTGGTCTCGCTCTCTGGTCTCTCTCTGTCTGATTTCTGGTCTCTCTCTTTGGTTACTGATCTGGTCCTTGTGCTGTACCAGGAGGTGGAGGACCTGAAGAGGGAGAACAAGCATCTGTCAAACGAGATTCACATGGAACGAATCATGATGAGGAACGAGAACGAGCTGAGTATGAGGAACCTCAGGAACCTGAACCAGGACATGCAGAACCAGCTCAAGGAGGTCAACTAGTACTACTGCTACTGCTACTGTTGCTACTGATATTGCTACTTCTGCTCAGACTACTACTACTACTACTACTACTATAGTACTGTTACAACTACGCACTCCTACTACTGCTGCTGCTACTAGAACTATTACACTGCTGTTGATGGTTGGGGCGTTGATGCGCAGTGTGTTCGGTGTCTCACTTCCGTCATCACCGTGTGGAGAGAATGGAACATTGTAAAGCACTTTGGGGGACCCTGGTCTGTAAAAATGCACTATATAAATAAAGTACTTACTCACTTACTTCTACGATAGTATTGTTACAGCTATAACTAGCTACTGCTAAAGCTACTACAAATAATAATAACACATCTACTCCTTCTGCTTCTACTACTACTACTACTACTACTACTACTACTACTACTACTACTACTACTACTACTACTACTACTACTACTACTACTACTACTACTACTACTACTACTACTACTAGAGCTACAGCTCCTGACCTTTTCTTCCTTTTTACATGTTTGTTCATAAACATGTCTCTGCAGCTGAAGCAGAAGCTGCAGCTGAGCCAGCAGAGGGCAGCCCTGAGCTCACGGGCAGCAGAAGAGGCAGGGATGGCTCGAGCAGACGCAGACAAGAAGCGAGCAGCGGCTGACAACCGAGCTCTGGTGTCGGAGAGCGAACTCAGCGCCTCGGACGCAGAGAGACGAGAGCTGCGGCAACAGCTGCAGCAGCTCCACAAAGAGGTGACAGTTCACTGAGAACCGAACTCTAAAAGAGCTCCCACTCGTCTGTATCCAGTCCCTCCGTATCACTCTGAGCTCTGCCACTTCACGCTACCTTAATGTAAACAAGAGCACACAGCAGAGCAGTGGTTCCGACGTGTAGCCCCTCTCACTCAGGCTGTGGATCCAGGACTGAGGCTTTGGATCCAGGACTGAGGCTTTGGATCCAGGACTGAGGCTGTAGATCTATGGCGGAGGCTGTAGATCCAGGACCGAGGCTGTAGATCCAGGACCGAGGCTGTAGATCCAGGACTGAGGCTGTAGATCTATGGCGGAGGCTGTAGATCCAGGACCGAGGCTGTAGATCCAGGACCGAGGCTGTAGATCCAATTCTGGGTTCAATGTTTTGTGTAGAGTGCATGATGCAGCTGTTCTTTTTAAGATAGTTTTATTTAAATGGTGCAAAGTCTGTCAATGTTTGAAAGTCCCACTGGAGAGGGGTCCTAAAGGATGAGGATGAGGGATGGAATACTGGGTATTTACTACTTTTTGGATTTCAGGACTGATCTCTTCTCTTTTCCTCTCCCCCCTCCTCTTTCAACTTTTCTTCTCATCTCATATTCACGGAGCTTGAGGATCTGAGTAACTCATTATCAAAAGGCCGGTTTGCTACAGCTCGAGTGAATGAAAGCTCAGTGCTGAGTGTGAAAGCAGAGACCCTCGAGTAACAGAAGCTGAGCTGATGATGACCTGATGTCACACATGACTAGGATTACTCACACCAGGAAGATTACTCATCAGTAACTGCTGGTTTGAGGAGAGAGGACTGGACGATAAGCAAAACACTTATAACAACTGTTTTCTTTTCAAAACAGCTATACTACTACTACAAGTACCATTTCTGCTACTACTACTGGGGCCACTACTTCTACTGCTGCCCCTGCTCTTACTGCTACTACTGTGTGTTGTAACGTGGGGTGGCTGTCTTCAGGTGAAAAGCCTTTAGCAATGCACTCAAAAAGGGGAAAAAGACTCGTTGAGCTCCACTTACTTTATTGATAGAACAATGCCAGGTCTTCATATAATGCCATACATGACAGTTATTTCACCCGTACCACTTGTTACGTAGAGTTGGAGAGAGAGACAAAATGCGTGTGCCTCTTGCTAACAGCATACATACAGTGTATATGCAAACAGCAACGTGCAGTGGCGTAATATGGTGCTACAACCTAACTGACCGTTACATAGTCCCCCCCGGTGAGAAAAAGGCTGTCCACAGCCGTACACAACTGCAGATGCAATTTAAAACCAAACACAAAAGTATCCTATACATAGACATACAATTGAAGTCGGGACACACAGGGCGAAGACAATGTAGACCAATCAATCACTTTCAGCAAAACAAAAAAACATAAATGTACAGTGGATTTCTCTTTTTTTTTTTTTTTAAGATGCCAGGAAACATAAACCTTACTTCTGCAAACATCAATGAACACAGGCGAGCAAACAATCTACACCATTGTAATACTAAACAGTATAAAAGTCCAGAAAAACAAAAACAAAAAAGTCAGAACAGAAAGAGCTCACTTTAGATCCATTTTGTCTGTGTGAAATGCATTAGTCCATTTCTTGTCACACCAGCCTGATGTTATTCTGGGGTCACGTCTGGGTCTGAGATTGTAATGTCCTGGGCCTGGGTCAGAGAGGGACTCAGGGGAGGGGCAGTCCATAGGAACAGAGTCAATGTCCTGCAAAACAAAAGGTAACGCACTCAAGGCAGTTTCATTGTCCGCCTGCTGGGTGTGAGTCATGTGGGGGGCAATATCAATGTCCAAAACCTCATCGCCCCCACAGACGGCAGGAGGAGAAACAGGGTGGCCTTTGGTGGAGAGAGAGTCCCACGTGTGAAACGGTTGCATATTCACAACATGATAAACACCAGCATTAGCACCAGAGTCCATCCTAGTGAGTCTGTAGTTCACGTCGCTAAGTTTCTGCGAAATCTGTAGCGGTCCTTCAAATAGGGGTGCTAGTTTAGCAGTAAAGCTGGACTGAGCGTCTGATCGAGGGTGGGTTTTAACTCTGACGAGATCACCAACATTAAAGGTGGCATGACGACGCCTTAAGTCATAGTAGTGCTTCTGCCTGTCATGACTATGGTCAAGAGCAGCCCTTGCATGACCATGGGCTTCCTGTAAGGAGGCTCTAAGAGTCTCAGGGTAAGGAACACCTGGCTCATCAACACCGTCACTAGAAGGTTGCGTGATAAGGTCAAGTGGGGTGTCTAGCTCACGGCCATAAAGCATCATGGAGGGACTATGTCCCGTGCTATCATGAGGCGCTGTACGCAGGGCAAAACAAATGTGTGGGAGGTACTTGTCCCATGAAGTGTGTTTGTCTCCTACGTAAGCACGTATGGCAGTTTTCAGAGTCCGGTTGACACGCTCTGTAGCGTTAGTCTGAGGGTGATATGCTGTAGTAAGTCTGTGTACAGAGCCTAAGGCAGAGACGACGTGTTCAAACAGCTCTCACACTCACAAAAGGAGACCCTCTGTCAGAAATAAGATAGGCAGGTGCACCATGTCTAGCAAAAATGTCAGTAACAAATTTACTAGCAGCCACATGTGATGTGGCTTCTCTTACAGCACTCGCCTCTACCCATTTGGAGAAGTAGTCCACAAACACAATCAAATACATATTACCAGCTGCAGTACGGGGAAGAGGGCCGACAAAGTCCACACCTACGTACTCCCAGGGTTTTTGTGGAACAATTGGGACCATAAGACCAGCTGGTTTTCTTTGACTAGGCTTAGTAAGCTGGCAGACTGAGCATGAAGTTACATAACGTTTCACATCAGCCGCCATTTTTGGCCAGAAAAACCTGAGACGTAGTCTCGCTAAGGTCTTTGAAACACCAAGATGACCTGCAGTGGGGTGGTCATGATAATAGTTAAGTAAGGTTCCCCTCATAGTAGTAGGCGCAAACAGCTTGAGCTCTTTTAAAGGGTGCATAGTACATTGAGCTTTTGAAACCTTACAGTACAGGAGAGAATCATAAGCAACATACTGTGGCAGATTAACATTGTCCACATTGTTTTGTGAGTCTGTCTCAATGTCCCTTAACAACGGCCCAGTGACCGGGTCATCAAGCTGCAGCTGCCTGATTTGAGAGCGATCTGCTAGCAGAACAAGGGGCAGGGCACGAATGTCCAAACTGCCAATAACAGCATGCTCCGGCAAGAGATCTATGGGAGAGTCACAAGTTGAGGCCAATGGATTTCGAGACAGCGCATCTGGCACTTTGTTGCGTATGCCAGGTTTGTGCACTATGGTGAAGTCAAAATCCTGAAGTCGGAGTGACCAGCGGGCAAGCCTGCCTGTCGGATTCTGACGAGACATGAGCCACTTGAGACTATTATGGTCAGTGTAAATAGTTACATGCATACCTTCAACATATGGCCGAAAATGCTCAAGGGCCCAAATGACAGCAAGGCACTCCTTTTCTGAAGTGCTATAGGGCAGCTCGGCTTTGTGAATAGAGCGGCTAGCAAAAGCCACTATATTCTCACGACCCTTGTCATCTTTTTGCATTAAAGCTGCACCGAGACCGATGTCACAAGCATCCGTGTGAATGAAAAAGGGACGCGCAAAGTCTGGGAATGACAAAACAGGGGCTGATGTGACACGCTGAATCAAAATGTCCATAGCTTTTTGACAGTTGTCGTCCCACTGGAAAGTCGCATCCTTTCTTGTGAGCGCATGTAGAGGCTCAGCATGCCGAGCATAATCCTGGATAAAGCGGCGGTAGTATCCAGTCAGGCCAAGGAACTGCCGGACATGTTTCACGGTAGTTGGGGTGTTGAATTCCGTCACTGCCTTGATCTTGTCCGGGTCCGGTTTAATACCCGAAGATGTGATGCGGTAGCCGAGGAAATTGAGTTCTTCGAGACAGAACTGGCACTTTCTGAGCTTAAGCGACAGGCCAGCAGATTGGAGTCTGGTAAGCACCTCCTCGAGGTCTGCCAGATGCTGTTCAAAGGTGGGAGATGCAATAACAATGTCGTCAAGGTAAACAGCACATGTTTTGTAAATGAGACCAGCGAGTACAGAGTTCATAAGTCTCTGGAAAGTCGCGGGAGCATTGCAAAGCCCAAAGGGTAACACTCTAAACTGGAAAAGACCACAATGTGAGATAAAGGCAGTCTTTACTCTAGACTCTTCTGCAACTGCGACCTGCCAATAACCTCGCGCTAGGTCGAGTGTTGTGATGTATTTACCCCTTGCTAGAAAGTCCAGTGTGACTCATCCACACGAGGTAAAGGATATGAGTCTTTTTCTGTTATCTGGTTGAGACCTCTAAAATCAACACAAAATCTTGGGTCTCTGGCTTCTCTGTTAACAATGACCACAGGAGCTGCCCACGGACTAGTGGAAGGCTCAATGATATTGTCCTGTAACATTTGTTGTACTTGTTCCTCTATCACCCGTTTCTTAGCAGGTGATGTACGATAAGGCGGGAGATTCACAGGTTTGGCATCCCCTGTTTCAATGACATGTTCAGTAAGTGATGTTCGACCAAGGTGACCATCAAACATCGGTCCAAACTTGGCGAGCATCTTGAGAAGAGCATTTTTGTCGTCTTCAGTTAAGCTGGCCTCTGACATTTTGGTTTTAAGGTCGGAGGTCAGTGTGTCCATTGACATAATATTTACAGTTGTACCTGTGAAATCCGCTGGACTGTCCTCCTCATCCATGAGCGGGCAGGGGGCATCGTCTACAAACACTGTTCTTGTGGGAATATGAATGGAGATAGAGGCTCTAGTCATGAAATCCATTCCCAAAATGAACGGAGTAGACAGTTCTGGGATGACAGCAAAACGCTGGTAATAGTTTTTGTTCATGAATCCAACATTAAGCCAAGTGACACCATCTGGAATGCAAGGAGCGTTGTTAGCAAGATTAACTGGTGGGCCCTTCCACTCACTCGTCTTAGCGGGATAAGTGCCATTAACTTGAATAAGATCTGCTCTAATGGCTGAGAGAGAAGCTCCTGTGTCAAGAGTAGCTTCAACGGGAGTGCCATTAAAGTTCAATTTTGTTCTGAGAGGAGTATTCCAGTGTACTAACGAAAAATTGTCCTCCAAGTGTCCCAAAACTGGTCCGTCTTGTGGTGGTTGAGGCTCGCTTAGTGCCTGGAGGGAGGGTGGCGGGTAGTTTCCCGGCTGCCTGTCTTGAGGTGGGGCAGGGGTGCTACTGTTTTCACAGTTTGGCTGGCCCAAGTATGGGGGACCAGGCGGTTGAAATGACTGCGCACTAGGCCCCGCAGACGCAGCAGCAGTCTCATTTGTAGGGGATGAATTATTACAGTTAGGACAGGTGCGTGTGGTGAACCCTGGCAATGAGCATTTGAAACAGTGGGGTTCTGATTTGTAGTGTTCCTTGTAACGAGAAGTCTGCGGCCCACTTGGTCCAAGCACTGAGTGGAGCTCATGAGCACGAAGCAGGAGGTCCATTACCGAAGTCACATGAGCACCATAAAGTGCAACTCTGTATTTTTCAAGTGAATGTTTTCTAATCAGTTCAATCTGCTCTCTTTCAGGAGGAGGACTTTTCAGTTTGTTGTACTCACTCAGCATATGGGCGACAAAAGTTGGCAGGGGCTCATCTTGAGCCTGGATACGATCCAACAGTCCTCTCAGAATGCGTTCTTGGTTGTCCGAGGGTAGAAAAACAGTCTGAAACAATTGACAAAACTGAGCCCAAGATGTTATATGGGAGCTCAGAGCTTTGAACCATTTGCTTGGCTCTTTGGCAAGGAAATGTGGAAGTTCGTTCAATAATTGTCCATCAGTAAGACCCAATGAGGATCTGTATGCAGTTACTGCCTGTAACCAATCTTCTGGCTGTACCTTGTTGTCCGCTGCGAATACGGGAGGTTCCAGCTTGGCATGGTGCAGAGCTGCTGCTATCACTCTGGAAGTATTGCTCAGCTCCAGTGTGTTAGGGCTGAGGGACGGGTTGGTGAGAAGTGTAGGTTCACCTCTGTTCATTGCAGGAACATGCGGTGTGGAAGTAGCCATTGGAAAAATGTTTGATGGCTGGACCGCAGGAGGGGTGGGGTTTTCTTTGGAGAGACGGTCCCACTGTCTCAGCATAGTTCTTTGCATGTCCAGCGAGTCACGTAAACAGTCACTAAGTCTGTTAACTTCTGCTCTCAAATCAACTACTTCTTTACTAAGGTCAGGTTTATCCTCCAAAATAATGTGTTGCATTGGCAAAGAGATAAGCTCCATGTCAGAGTCCTCGTCCTCTAGCATGTCCATAAAATGGGCCATTGTACTTCATAAAAAAAAGGAGAAAGCACAGTACCGTTCTAAAGTAGGATTGTAAATGAAAAATCAATTAGGCCTAGTCTAAACTGACGAGAAAAATCTACGAGGTACTTTAAAAATGCTGGCTAACCTTAAAAAGATACAATAGCACTCAAAATAAGACTTTAATGCGGGGACTAATGCTCTAACATTGCACAAGTGTAAATAAATCTTTGGTAACTGCAGCTAACGCCTTGTGCATTCCACATACTATGGATATTTTTTAGTCGTTGTTGCAATATTTCTTAGTAGCATACGATAGAAGAACTCGTCACTAAAGTCAGTACTCACTGCCAAGTCCGGGACAGTCTAAATGCTGGAGGGCAGGCAGGGAAAGTTTTCATGTGCTCAAAATGGGGTAAAAACATTCAGCATAGCTCCACTACTGCATTTCAGTTTGAGAGAAAAATAAAAATGTGCGTAGGGAAGCAAATCCAGCGTGATCCTGATGTCCACTAACCACTGATATAGCGTGTGGAATAGCGTTAGCTTATTGTCCCTTCACCGCAGAAAAACAGCAGCGCGTGCACACACGGTTACATCCAGAGTATAGTCGGTTACCACTCGAATCTGAGCTCCAGCGATGACCGGGGAAAACCTCAGCAAAAGCAAATATAAGTCCGATATACATTTACGTGAGGCAGCTTAATCCTTTGTGAAGGAAAACTCGACCGAGGTCCTGGGAAAAATAGTTCGGGCGCCAGTTGTAACGTGGGGTGGCAGTCTTCAGGTGAAAAGCCTTTAGCAATGCACTCAAAAAGGGGAAAAAGACTCGTTGAGCTCCACTTACTTTATTGATAGAACAATGCCAGGTCTTCATATAATGCCATACATGACAGTTATTTCACCCGTACCACTTGTTACGTAGAGTTGGAGAGAGAGACAAAATGCGTGTGCCTCTTGCTAACAGCATACATACAGTGTATATGCAAACAGCAACGTGCAGTGGCGTAATATGGTGCTACAACCTAACTGACCGTTACAGTGTGTGTTCCTTTTACAGAGTACACGTTTTAAACACAATAGTATTCGTTAAAACAGCAGGGAGGTTTATCACGACAGCTGACAGAAGCTCAGAGGCGGCACTAAAAACACTATATTGTATAATTGACCAAATCTAGTTTGTCGACATCGACCAGTGTGCCTTTTGATGTTGTATTGAGCGCGTTCGGAAAAGGTCCAATATCCCCTTTTTGGTCCAAATAAAGTGAAAAGAAGATAAAGACTTTTTTGTGTTTGTTTGAGTTCTATATAACACACTTTGATGAGAATGACTTTTGGTTTTGATGAAGGCTGCAGCGTTTCATGTTTGTACAAGTTTTCGCTGGTGGTGTGCCACGTGATTGTTTTCATTGGAAAACAGCTCAAAAAGGTTGGGGTACACTGCTATACTCTACCCTGCTCTATTCTCCCCTGATTTAAATGGTTTCCACTGGCCCTGAGGAACCAGTACCAGGTCCTTCTTTAGTCTCTCCTGGTCCTGGTTCTGTCCAGGCCGAGCTGGTGCTTAATCATTCTACAGTAACTGACAGTCAATGGTCAGAGTGCTGCTGGAGGTCATGGTTACCAAGGAATTTCTTCGGTTACTGGTTTAACACTAGACTCCCAGAATTCTGGAACTACTAGAACTCTCAGTGCTGTCATTTTGACTGCTCCCATTCAAACCTATGAAACTCTGAAAGAAATTTTCAAAAGATGTTTGATTTTACAACAGATTTATCAAAAATAAGTATTTAACCTTAAATCACAGAAAAAGCAGTTTGCTGAAAGGCTAAATTCTACTAAACAAGTAGACAGTGTGTTGCTATGGTAACTAGCTCTGGCTGCTCTGGGAGGTAAAGATAGAACCACTCACAACAAAATTAAATAAATGTTCATGAATAATAATGATACAGACAGAAAGTACATATAGAAACAGGAAAAGTCACAAAGTTATGAAGACTAAAAATGTACATGAGATTAATATTTACACTTAAATAAGATAAAAAAGCCGTCAAAATGACTGCTCCGGGAGTTTTAGTATTAAGGGTCGCGTAGAGTAAAACCATAAAGGGCTGGTGAGTTTTAGTGGTAGGAGAAACCTCAGGACCTTCTTGCTGAGAAGCGAGAGTGCTAACCACTCAGCCACCCTGCTGATGTGTGTGTAAAGGACTGTGTTGTGTTTTTAGCACAAGGACCTGCAGCAGCTTCAGGCCCAGAGCAAGAAGAACCTGTTCGAGCTGAAGCTGCAGCTGGAGCGAGTGACGGACGAGAAGGAGGCGCTGAGGCAGGAGAAGATCAGTGTGGAGGAGGACCGAGAGGGACTGAGGGTCAGACTGAGGGAGAACCAGGAGGAGAGGAGCCGTCTGCAGGAGAGGTGAGTGAGGAGGAGGGGAGAGAGGAAAGGGAAAAGGAAGAGAGAAGAGAGGAGAGTTGATAGGATGAAAGAGTAGAGAGGAGACGAGAGAAGAGGCAAACGAGAAGGGAGGAGAGGAGAGATAGGAGAGGAGAGAGGAGGACTGACACTTTCCTGTGTTGCCGTGGTGATGGTCTGACCACACCTTTGTAGTGTAGTTTTGTAACCCAAAGTAAGTCTCTCTCCTCTCTGTGTGTTTCAAAGACTTATTTCGAAAGTCTGAAGATTGTGAGTCTGTGAATGATCCTGTTCTTCAGCGAGCAGAACTCCAGACGCCGCGCTGTGATGTCACAGGAGGAGAGCCAGAAGGCCAATCAGGCGCAGCGGGAGGCGGACGCAGAGAGGCGATTGGTGGAGAGGGAGCGGCAGGAGCGTGTGGCTGAGTGTCTGCAGTGGAGACAACGCTTCCAGGAGCTCCAGCTGAGGCTCCGGGAGGAGGACGAGAGGAGGTCCCTGCGCCAGAACAAAGCCGTAAGACCGAGACCCAACAGAGTCTGAGACCCAGGACCAGAGACCCAACAGAGTCTGAGAACGAGGACCACAGACCCAACAGAGTCTGAGAATCCTCTCGTAATCTCTCCTCCTCCTGGGTCTCCCTCAGGCTGACCCACGGCCCTGCTCTTTCCTACTCTTTTCTGCTCTCCTACCCTATTCCCCCACCCCCTCCCCTATCCTCCCTTATCCTCCCCTATCCTCCCTTCTCAGAGTCTGAGAACCAGGATTAGAGACCCAACAGAGTCTGAGAATCAGGACCAGAGACCCCCTACAGAGGTCAAAGAGAACCAACACCTGCGACCAATAAAATAGCATTATGCACTATTTTTGGCCATTAGAAATGATAACATTCTTCAGCCTTCACCCTGAGTTCACCTTTTACCGCAACTGGATTAAACCAGTGCAACAATCACAATCGCACTGAGGATGGATTTAAAAATAATTCCAGGTCTGTGACTGATGAGGGAACTACGTCAACAACTAAAAACAGAGAATGTCTCCAGTATGTTTGAGCAGAGTCTGTGTCCAGGTCCAGGCCAACATCCAGAGCTTCTTCCTGTGTGTGACGGAGAGTGACCAGAGGGTGAAGATCCTCAAGAACCCGGACGGGACGCCACGCAACTTCACCGTAAGAATGTTTCCAACTGTTTATGTCACGAGTCGATGAAGAGGCCTGGGACACAGCAAGGTCCTGAGTTCGATCAGTGTGCAAGAACTCGTCCATTCAATTTTGACAAAATAATGTATAATATAGATTATACAGGGATTGAATGCGTGAACTGATGATAATAAGCTAAGTTGGAGGAATCACGTAAACTTACAAAAAGGCAAAAATATGCACATCATTAGCAATCTTGACTCAGGTTAAATAATGTTTGAATGATCAAACATAATGTGTATAGTACTGTTCTTTGGTGCATCTCTACATGAGGTGTAGAGGTACGAGGAAACCCAATAAGTTGGACACCGGAAACATCCAAATCAACTTGCAAAATGTTAAAGGTAACGATCAATAACCCATCCTGATTCAGAACCAGTTTCAGATGAGGGACAATGTCTATTTTTTTTTTTAAACCTGTTTTAACCTAACTAATTGTGTTTCTGTGGTTTGAGTAAGGTCTGGATTGAGTTGTCTGTTGCTTTCAAAGACCGCAGAACTGAAGACTTTATTTAAACATATGTTGCTTAGAGTGAAAATTCCTATAATTGTCAGAATTGTCAACGTCATAAATAAACAAACTGAAATCAATCCTTAAGAAATGGGAAAACAGTGCAGCTCTGTTCAGAATAGATCATTCTGTATTTTTTCCCCCCGGGTTAAAACTCCCTGCCTGGAGGTGGACTCGAACCCAAGACCATGTTGCCGTGAGGCCCGAGCACTGGGACCTGCTCCGGCTCATGTTGAAGTCTGAAATGCCTTTTGTCTCCAGGAGGGGGAGCCAGTGTTCATCTCCACTGAGTCTGGTTCTGGAGCAGAGAGGAGCCCGTCCAGGTGGGGCCACAGGGGGCGCTGCTGAGCCGAGGGAAAACATGGTTTAACTGTAGAATCATGAAGTGGAAAATATGAATGTTTTAAAGGAAGAATATATCAGTTTGTAATTCCCCCTTCTGACACCAGAGACAGTGATCATTTCACTCAACAGAAAACTGAACAAACACTAATAATACATTATATTTACAGTCAATGGGCAAAACTAAACCTGACATTACAGTCATAGCCTGGACAATGTTTACCCTCTAGCTCAATGAAGCCCAATAGAGAAGTGATCTCTAGCTCAGTAAACCAATAAACAGAACACTGTCTCCTCTCTCCAGGTCTTCGGTGCGAGTCATAGCCCCAGGTTCTGGGTCTTCGCTCCGGGGTGAGCTGGGGTCTGGGTCTTTGGTTCCTGGTCAGTTCGATGAGTTGCCTCAGTTCAGTGGAGGAGGACTGGACTCTGCAGCATCACACAGACACGGGCACAAAGTGGACTACTTCTGGATCCCAACCAACCAGGAGTAAAGACCAAGTCTAGGACCCAGTGAATCAGAGATGTGTGTATGTGGCATCTGCAAAGGACTCAAGACCAAGATATCAGCTGTGTGAGATCTGCAGAGGACAGATCAGGACCAAGACCCAGAGAATCAGAGCCGTATGTGTGGCAGCCAGAACCAAGAGTATAGACAGGACCTGGACCAGCAGAATACAATGAAGTGTTATGAATAAGTTAAATGGCTGATTTTCACACTTCTTTTGTAAATAAAGAGATAAAATCCTAAATTTGAGTCGAGGATCATCATCTTTAATCACCGTGAGAAGCATCAACATTTTGTGAGTAAATCAGACCACAAGCTGATAAGAAAACATACAGGGATCAAAAATGTCGTGAGGAGTCAGGTTCTCTTCAACAGAACCGAGGGAAATAAAGTGGAAAACGAGGAAAATGTTCGGGGCATTCAGATTTAAAGTAAAAATCCTTTATAATTGTGGGGAGATTGGGACGTGTTTGGACCCCTCTCAGGTCTTCATCAAGGCGACGATGATAATGGCAAATCACATGACTGATGACAAAATTTAAGTAAAAGATAAATAAGTATAGAAAAAAGTTGACATCACTAAAACAAATACAAAAGGTGGATAAATATTTACAAGAAAAGAACATAGGTAGCATATATATATATATATATATATATATTATACAAATTTTCAAAAATGAATTACCACCATTTTGGGGTATTGGGGCCTCAATTGCCGTTTTTACTTGAATCTTGTTATAGGTCATGTGATTTGTTTTTCCATTTTCATACTGAGAGCTGATGAATCTTTTGATCAGAAAAGGTTAATAGCCCATAAAAATACATTCACACAAGAACTAGTGACAGAACCTCAGACTGTATATTAGTGGACAGAGCTGATGTGTGTTAGCCTTAATGCAGAAGAAGCAAAGAGCTAACTCCAACAAGATATTAGCGAGGGAACCATGGATCTATTATAGCAACGTATTTTTACATAGGTATATTTGGAAACAGGACCACGCTCCCTCAGCCAATCAGCTCTCAGGCCAAATAGTCCAATAGTGCCTCCCAGGGCTCTTAGAGTTGTGTGTAATAAGAGGTTGAGGCGTGGGAGGCTCATGTTTTAGACTTTATTGATAATAAAGCAACAGGTGCACAGGTACTTCACATGTTCGTCCGGTTCACTTCAGAACAAGACTTAATTTCATCGTTTCCACATAAAAAAACAGACCCATCTCTCCTCTTTCCAGAACACATTTTTGACCCAAACTCACTAGAATTCATCCATTGATTTTTATAATCGTTTACCATTATCCGAAAGACACGAAACGAAAAAGCCCATCTAACTACAGAGGTAGGAACACAGATGTTTGAGAGTTCATTAGCAGAAACCTTGCGTTTGTCGTAGCCTCAGAGAACTGTAACATGTGGAATATACGCAAAACTGTGGCCAAGAGCACTTCATTAGAAATATTAGGGGAAAACCTTCACTTTGGACTAGAGGCTGTTTGAACCGTGGACCAATGAGTGATACTGATGTTGGAAAACTGCCTTCGATTTACCAGAATGAGGTTTTTTAGAGGCAAAACCAGGTCTAATCCAAAGCCAAATATTACATTAAAATACAGTTCATTCTTGAAAGAGTTGATTGATTTCATATTCAGCAAATTGGTGATTTAACAATGACCAATATCTCTGTTTTTAGAATCTATGACACAGCTGTAGTAGTAGTGCCAGTAGCTGTAGCAGATAACACTCCCATCTTGTGGCAGAAGTGCGACATTACACCCTGCGTTTATAATTACTCATTCAGTGAGCGAGTTCCAAAATTGGAGAAATACTTGAAAACCAGAGAGCCTCTGAAAGGGATAATTTCAACCTTTTTGATCAGTCAAATCCTTTGGTCCACCATTCTAACAGCCCATTCTATTCATTTCCACACAAATTACTTTTTGTTCCACTGTCTCCAATTTCGCCACCACATGCAAAGATTACATAATTCTAGCTTCAGGGATGAGGGTCATTATAAGCCTACGTTAGCTCAAAGGGAAAGGGCGTCAGGAGTAAAAAAAAAAAGAATTGAAAAAGAATTGCATGCGTAAATAGAAAAAACAAAAAATCTCCACTTGTTAATGCGCGTACAGAGCTGTGGTGGGAGCAGGAGGGGGAGGGCGCGGCAAGCCACCAGTTCAAAACCTCCGTCAGTCGCCTTCGTCTTCAGACTCCTCCTCCTCAGCAGTCTCCAGCCACGTCAGCCACTGGTTCACCTGGAGATGCAAGATATCATGCATTATTTTTGACTTAGAAAAAAACTATATGAAGATATTATTTCACATAAAATATGAAATTACAAAGTAAACAGTAATTAGAGAGAGGCCGAGAGGGACAGAGAGAGAGAGACAAGAGCAAACCAGTCTTTCGTGAGCGTACCTGAAACAGAGCCTTCCCTTTCCCGGGGAACTCCTGACTGATGTCTTCTTTCCAGGCGAGGAAGGCCTCCTCCTCGATGATCTCCATGTCGTAGAAGTGAACAAAGTATCGTAGCAGCATTCCTGAGGAGCACAGACAGAAGACAGGGCTTCAGACCGAGAGACCAGATCCATGTCCCCAAAGACTCGCCCTACATCACTAACTACAACATCCACAGGTTTCAGGCCAACAATTTATTCCCAATTTGAAAAGCTACAGGGATTCAGAAACAACAAGTACATCCCCCAGAATCCTACCAACAACAAACTCTCCATACGTCTTATCCGCAAGTCGAAAAAAATAAAATAAAAAAATGGTGCAGTATGGCCACAGAGAGAGAGACCAGAAGGACGAGAGAGAGAGAGAGCAGAGAAACTGACTTGGGTTTTTACCTTTGGGGAAGCAGTGGCCGCCGCAGTGCACCTGCAGGGCGTACAGCGCGCTCACTTGCAGCTCTGTGTGGTCGTGGAGGAACTTCTGCATCACAGGTTTGAAGGAGAGGAGCAGCAGCTTCTCCTGCTCCAGCTGCTCCTTACAGACCGTCTGGTCGTCCACAGAGACAGACAGCTCCTGAGAGATGTACTGCAGGAAACTGGACACAGACGAGAGACGGAGACAGAAAGACAGAGAAAGAAAGCTCACATTAAACTGGACACAGAGAGGTCAAAGTCTTTCTACTTGTAGCAGTTGTTAGCAGCAACAGTATTATTTTCATTATCAGCAGCAGTAGTTGTAGCAGTAGTATCAGTTTCATCAGCAGTAGTATCGTTAGTATCAGTGTCATCAGCAGGAGCACTCGCACCTGGTCATGAGGATGTTGACGAAGCCCTTGTCCGTGTGCAGCTTGGGGGAGATGTTGTCCTTGATCCACTTGTAGATGGACTGTGGAGACGGATCAGCAGTGATCTGCTTCAGCAGCTCTTTCTCCAGCTTCAGCAGAGGGAACAGGAAGCTCAGGCCCTTCCCCTCCAGGATCTCCAACATGCGGTCCTTGTTCTGGTCGATTTCTGAGCAAACATTTGTTATCATTAGTTTTTTTTTTTTTAAGATTTTCTGTTGGGACAAAAGATTTATTCATCAAACAACAGATTTAATGTATCAACTTGATTAAATATTCTCTACGTTGGGGTGTTTGTTATCAGGGTAGGGCAGTGTTTGAAGTGTGTGGTGGAGTTTTACAGCCTTGAAACATCGGAAGACTGTTTTCTTGCAGGCACAGTAAGTCAGAACACTTTTTAAATATAAACTTTCACAGTTTTCTCGAGATAATAGCCTGGACGGATTACTGAGACAACCCATAAATCATGCGAGAGACCAGCGAGAAACCAGAGAGCGAGCAGAAAGAGGGAGCAGAGAGAACCCATAGAGTTGACGGTGCTGACAAAAATCTTTGTGAAAGTTTTTACTTAATGTGGATTTTTCTGAGAATTACAGAAAAATATTAATTGGAATGCTGTGATGTCACAAACATGCAACCTCTAATGTTAAAAACTAAAATTACTCAGTACATGTACAGCATCATCAGTCCAAACACAAGTACTGAGCAGTATAACTAGTATATTTGTATATTTCTGGTCCTTCACCTGGGAGCATCTTCTGCATGTTGACTTTGCTCTGGGTGAACAGGTCGGTCAGCCACTCCTTGTCCTTGAGCTTGGCAGCTTGTTGGAGACAGAGCAGGAACAGGGGGAAGTGCGTGCCGTTCTCCAGGGGATGGGCCAGCTCCGCCACCGTCACCAGCTCGGCAATCACGGCCCGAGCAGCGAACTGGGCCAAGTACGACTTCACCAGAGGCACGTCCTGCTCAATCTTAGGGCACTGGTCCAGGACGCTCAGAAAGGCCTGCGGAGAGATGTGCATTAGGACCACGAGGAGAGAGGTCCATTATGATATGTGGACCAAACCAGAGAGACATTCACGGGGGGAAACTCAAACTTTCCTTAGCAACTCAGAAAAAGGAGGAGTGAATGCTACAGGGTCCAAAAGTCAAAGACGTAAGTAAAATCAGGTGCTCTTCAGGATGAGAAATAGCATGACCCTGCCCCTCATTAAAGGACTTTTTATCAGAGTGCCTGGGATTTTACCCTGTCTTTACTTTTCCACAGAAAAGGGTATCTTTGTTTTGCTTTCCTTAGCAACCGTCTCCTGTCAAACAGTAGAGTGTACCTGCATGAAGTTCTCTGCAGACACCAGCCCCTCGCTCCGCAGGCCGTGGATCAGGGTGCTGGCGTGTTCCTTGTCGGCGTCGGGTCTGTCCAGGGAACACATGAGCACTTTGCACAGCAGCTCGGGCAGGAAGTGTTTGGGGGCCCGCATGTCGCGGAGAGCAGAGAGGGCTTCCGGCAGGTTCTGAGTGTTCAGGAAGTCCGTCACGATGGCCTCCTGGAGGAAAACGGCAGAGTGAGTCCAAACAGAGACCGAGCGTTCTCCGAAATGGAAAGCTTCTGAAGTTGTATTGTACTAGCGCGGAAGTAGACGTAAAACACTGTGGACTCACGGTCATCTTGATGAGCTCCTCTCGAGCCGGTGGAGGCTTCTTGCTAATTTTCGGAGGCTTCTCCTGGATCGGTGGAGGGTTGGTCTTCAGTCCTAGCTGTGGAGGCTGTACGTCACAAACAACGCGTTAAATTCAGCTGCTGTGATGTTATGTATTAATGTCCAGTTACAACAGCGCTTCCATCAGCTCCCTTCAGTCCTGTCTCTCACCTGTCCCAGTGGAGGGGTCTGGGTGCGGGGCGGCTGCGCACTCGGGGGCATCATGTTGGGGATCTGCGGCTGGAGCTTGGGCACCTGGTTCTTGTTGAGCAGGAAAGACTGTGCCGGTCTCAGGCTGATCTGAAACCCCGGAGACCACAACACCAGGGAAAAAGACGGTGAGGAAACACGCAGCGACATCAAGAACAAGGACAGTGCTCTACGTCGAGACGAGCGGCGGCTGAACGGCGTTTAGTCATTTTATATCTGAAACTGTAATCTTTGATCCCTCACACACCAAAAATATGGAATCCGTGCTAAGAGTTGACCCATAAAGGAATATTAGAGTTTAAAGTTAAAGTTATACTATATCGCCCCCATAAGGAAATGTGTCCTCTGCATTTGACCCATCCTTCAGGGCCTCTGTAGAGCAGTGGTCGCCATAGTAACAAGGACCCATATGCAGATGTCGATACCCCTGGTCAGGACCAGAGCTGGAGGATTTGTGCCTATTTTTAGTGGTAGGGGAAACTGAGCACCTGCAGACAACCTGTGCAGACATGAGAACATGCAAACTCCACTCAGAAAGGCCCTGTTCTGACCAGGATTTGAACAAACCTTCTTGCCGAGAAGCGAGAGCGCTAACAACTCTCAAAAATATCTCTTGCATGTTCTGAAATGTGTAGAATTTTCCAGTTCAGAACTCCTTTTGTATAAATTAGACTGGGAATAAGTTTCTATAAAATGTTGAAAAGTGAAAACGCCATTCGCCGACCAGCTCGTCCCATCCTCTGCCCTCATATCTCATAATCGCAGTCAGTGCACCGGCGGCCAGTTTGAGTGAGAACAGGGAGGATGAGGAAGAGAGAGAAAGAGTGAGAAGGAAACAAAAGAAGGAGCTCAGGTTTAGAAAAGGACTGGAGCCGGTGGGACCCTCAGAATAACGCGTCTTTTTATAATCACCGGGCGTTTCACAAGTTTCATTCTCTCACACAGAGGTGGAACTGGAGATGACAGAGCTGCTGTTTCATTAAGTAGAACATATCTCAAACATGTGTAATGCAGTAAGGTGGGCGTGTCGTTTGGACCCTTCACAGCGCACTAAAGGAAAGACCAGAGAGAGGCCAGAGGAGAGAGAAAGAGGGGAAAAGAGAGAGGACGGAGGGAGAATCACATAATGGACTAGTTTCTCATCAGAAGAATCAAATGCCAAGATTACAAGTTACATTTCCTTTTCTTTCTATGTTTGAGGGACAAATGCATAACGTTTATCATGAAATAGTCTGGTGAACCCTCAGCTGTTCCACCTCTGTGTGCGCTGGTCTGTGATTGGTGGGTACCTCATCGACATTCAGAGAGCCCTTCTTGCTGAAGCGTGGAGGCAGGTCTTTGGACTGCGCCTGCTGCTGGGCCAGGAGGTTCTGGTTCTGGTTCTGGAAGTGCTGGTTCTGCACCTGATCCACAGATCCACATTTTTAGGAAGGCCTGACCGGAGCATTCGACTCTCGCAGTGAATTTAGTCAGACAGACTATTGAGACGACGAGCTGTAGCCGTTTGTGTTAGCATGTTATGCTAAGTAAGTCATCTTTATATATTGCCTTTCACAGACCTCTCACTCCACACATGGGAGCTGGGTCGCCACACAGGAGGTGCATGCCAGACCTGATGTACATGTATTTAGTGGTAGGGGAAACTGGAGCCTACGCAGTCATGGGGAGAACATGCAAGCTCCACACAGAAAGGTCCTGGGGGTGGATTCAAACGCAAACCACTATGCCGCCACGTAAGCTGTACCTGGTTGGACTTGGCGAAGGCCTTGTTGCTCAGCTCGTACTGGTTCTGTGGAGGGGGGGCCATGCTGTGTCCGTTGAAGAGGGGGTTGGCGCGGTGACGTCCCATGGTGGGGGAGTATCGGTCCTGGATCACGCCCGGGCCGGTGCCGATCCCACTGCCTGTTCCCAAAGAGAGAGAGGACCAGATACAGCCAACACCATCGCTGTTTGCTTTCCCCTCGCAACCAGGACTGCGTTTACCTGGCATCTGCCCAAACATGTCGGCCAGCCCGCCCAGAGTCTCGCGGTCCAGTTTGAGGCGGTTTGGCATGAAGGGGCTCTCCAGGAAGAAGTCCATCCTCATCCCCTGAGACATGGGCGCCGGGATGAACACGCCCAAATCCTGACCAAACAAACAAGCATTCAGTGTCACTTCTCCCTCTCAGTCTTTGTCGTAACATGATACTAGGGTCCCATTTTGATGTATAAATCTCTTGTTATTGCTGGTGTCTGGTTCTAATAGTTTGTGTTCATGTGACATCAGCAAGACCCAAGTATGTGTCAGCTGCTCCACATTGGGGGGGGGAGCAGCTGACACATCTCTCCTGGTAATGGTAAGTGCCAATAGTCAGATTCTAGTTGTATTTCAATTTAGTCCCTCTCCCTCTATCATTCTCTGGTAGCCCCCTCTCTCCCTCTGGTATAGTACCAGAGATGATGGTTATACAACATCACTTACCTAAAACAAAGGGTGTGAGGTTTTGAAGGCGTGTGTGTGTGTGCTTTACTTTGACGGCGTCCTGGCGGATCTGCGTGATGGTCTTGGGTCCGTTGTCCAGGAAGGCTTTTCGCGGGACCCAGGTGTTGTCCCTCAGCTCCACCGTGTCCTGCAGCAGAAAACGGATCCGCGCTGGCAGCTCCTTGTTGTTCATTAAGGAGCGCATACGGCCAAAGTACTGGTCCATGAGAGACTGAGGAGAGAGAAGAGGAGGAGGTGAAGAACAGGTATGTATCTGCTACACTGGTTTAATGACTGGTCTATGAAAGGCTGAAGAGAGAAGAGAGCAGAGTGGTAAGAGTGTAAAGAACGTACAGGTATCCTCTACACTGTCTAGAGAGAGACGACAACAGGAGACAGCTCCATGATGTTACAGTCAGAAGATTTGCCAATAGTGTTTGAGAACGGAGCGTATTAGTGTGAGGAACAATGTTGCTCAAAGCTCAGAAAGACTCAATGTAAAAGTGAAGTGCTGCGGTGCCCCGGGTGACCAGCAGAGGGCGTACCTTTGCTTTCTCGTGGTCGAGTCGGGGCCCCACGGTTCTCATTATCTGACAGAGGCACTCCAGGTCCTCGCCCATGTCTTTGAGCTGCACTCTCTTCTTCTTTTCCAGAAGCTGAAAAACCAAACCGGGAAAGCGGGTCACTTCAACAAGTTTGGGCAAACATTAAATTTACAATTTTTTGTGAAACATCAAATATCTTTAAATAAATTCTGATTCTAAGGCAAGCTTGATTGGTCAATACTCTTTTTATTTTATTTTTTTGTAAAAATCTGTACATATCTAAAACACCTTTTTTAGCAACCCTAAAAAACACAAAGTTAATGAGCTGCTTTTTAGTGTAATGCCGCGTTCAGACCGGATCATGCGTTGCGTCGGCTTTCAATGCAAAGTCAATGGTGACGCGCGTTCGAGCGTCAAAACGCACGAACATCTCGGAATGCACGCACGGACCACGCTGGGAAGTTGAAGGGGAGGAACGCAGGAGATGGATTTTGCTCAACCATTCCACAGGATGTTTGTGCAGCAACCAATCAGAGAGCCGCAAAGTGGTCACGGGGACATTAGCGGTCTGAGCGAGCAGACTGAAAATACTGTAAACAGCCAAAACAGGAGCTACATCAGGACTAAACCAGGGTTGACAATGGGGGACATAGTGCTCGTTAACATGTGAGTTGTCATGCTCCCGTGACTTTGCGCAACTGCTTTGAGTGGGTTTTGCCGATGTGGAAGTACCATTTAATAATAAAACAAACTTATTGCGCATCTTCATGAACACATACTACTGTTATATAAAGTCTGTAGAAGGTTGCTGAACACAGAGACCCTGCCAAGCTGCATTATTGGAGAAGATCTGTACACAAGAAGCCGCTAGTTAAACTCTATTAGCATTAGAGCCCGCCGGCTACTTCCGCAACTTCCGGCGCGCGGCTGGACCTCTGGTGTGAAGACCCCTGCGTCTGAAAACTAGAGAATGTGCGTTTCAGCGTTGCCGGTCTGAAAGCACCAAAAGTCAATAGGAGGCAGAGCGAATGAGTACTTCCCTATTGGGCTTCACTGAGCTAGCGGGTTTGCATCTATATGCACACACAATTGTTCAATATAATTAAACAGGACTAAAGGGAGCGATCCGGTTTCACTGGTGCTTTCTAATTGTTTTCTGAAACATGGAGTACAGCTGGGCGCACATACTGTTTTGATGCACTTATGAAGGATAGACTCGTGGATGAGGTCGAGTTTGCCAAGTTCCCCGATGAATTTAATGTTTCCCAGCATCTTGATCTTGGCGATGGCGCGCTGTTCCTCCTCCTCCGTCGTGAGGGGGTTGTCATGTTTGTCGTAGACTAGACGAGCACAAAACAACGACAATGTTTAGAGACATGTAATTTGTCAGAGTTTCACCCCAGCAGTCACAGGATAATTTATACGACAGATCTAAAGCCCGTTTCTAAAAGCCCTACTTGGCCCGACTCGGCTCTACTTTATTACCATTCATTAGTTCCTTCTGGTACTGAAGAGTTCTGCCTGACAGTGATTGGCCAGAGTGCCGCTGGAAGCCATGATTGCCATTGAACTTCCACGCATACTGGTTTGGTGTGGAGGGTTTGCTACAATACGATACCAAATAATAAAAGCATAATGGAAACACAACCAGGTAGAGTCGAGTCGGGCAAAGTGAGGCCGGGGAAAACAGGGCCCCACAAAAGAAACTGGTCTGGTTCCTTTTATCCCTCAAACATGACAATAATGAAGGAATATTTTTGGTATTGTGGAAATGCACAATTACTTTTTTGTGGTTTCATTCTGTTTAGAATGTGAAATATTATCTTTGGTTGAAAATATACGGGGAAAAAGTATGAAGGGTAACATCTAACTCCCTATGCTGCCAAAAGAGGGAGGAATGGAATTTGTTTAGTTTCAAGTGTTAACATGTTTTCACATGAGAAATGATCAAAACCAAATTTATGTTTTAGTTTTAAGAAAAAAAAAGTGATGTGATAGTATCACAGTCATAGACGTACTATCACAGAAATAGGAAAGGAGCTTTTAGAAGGAAGATGCAGAGCTAAATGTTTGTAACAGAAGTTACTGATAAAAAATAAGTGGATGGATCTAAAAAATAACTCCAGGTCTGTGACTGATGAGGAAAATTTCGGAACAGTGAAAAAAAAATTATGATTTGGCAGAATATCTTGTATTATAAATTCTAGCTGAAAGCAATAGCTAGTCTTGCGGTTTGAACCTTAGGTAACTCAGCTTTAGGACAATAATAGAAATCTGTACAGCAGCTCGGTCGTTTACAAAAAGACTTACTTTCAACATTTCTGGTGCGGTTTTCAAATTCATCTTGAAGCTTGGAGATCAGCAGTCTTCTGAAGGTCTGAAGGAGCACACACAGATCAGACAGAGCTTTTAAACGCTGTGGAAAGAAGTGTGTGTTGTGTGAGAGTGTGTGTGTGTGTATAGATAGACTCACTGTGCTCTGTTTTTGGGATGTTTGGATCTCGGGGGAAGGGCCATCAAAGTTTGGTGCGTCCTCGGCCAAACGCAGACATAGCTGAGCATAGAGGGAGCTGTACTTTGGCTCTTCTAGGGCTTTGTCCACAATCTGAGGTGAGACACAAGACAGAGGTCAGGAGTGACACTTCTGCTCCTGGGGAAGACTTTATCAACAGTTGTCACAACTACACTGTCAGCAACTTAACTTAATGAAGCAAGATATAATCACTAATTTAAAAAAACAAACACAAAAAACACAAAAAACGTACACGACATTGGTCTAAAACAAAAAACTGCATGGGAGAGACAAACCCTCTCAAAGTCACGAGGGGAAAGAAAGGCACGCGCTCCTTCCTGAGCTACTACAATGCACAGGGGTGCAGTTTTTTTAAACCTGAAATATTATAGTCCAATATAATGCTCCTTGACAAATTTAAAGCCTCTGCCCTTGCGCCCACAGCCTCGGCCCTTGCGCCCACAGCCTCGGCCCTGTGTCTATGACATAATGGTTGACCACAGCGGGGAGCACAGAAGGCTACATTTCTAATGTTTGAACTGTTTGATTCTCTGATCTGTGTTGGCTTGTAAAGTTCTCAGAGATAACTACTGTTGTGATTTACCCAGAGACAGGGAAACGCTCATGTAAATGTATGACTTACCAGCAAGATGATTCCTTTGAGGACGAGTTTGGAGTCTACGCCCACGTTCAGCAGCTCAAGGCATAGCTTGTCAAACTTCTCCGGAGTGAGTTTGTTGAGTATGCTGTGGAGGAAGCAGAAGAGTCACAAAGCAAGTTTAAAACACAGCTCTCAGATCCACAGGTCAAAGAGCAGAAAGTACAGCTCAAAATAAAGACTTTGACAATACTAATTAAGAGTGATCTCTCATCGCTGGAAGAGCAGATACACATCTCGATACAGGGGACATTTAATTTGATATGATATTTATTAACAATATTGTTCAGTAAAAAAATAAAGGCTTTTGGCTTTGTCACATTCCAACAAAAATACAACAGTTTAGATGGCTTAATAGCTGATATAATGAATAATAAGTGTCAAAATATCAAAACAATCTTTAAAACAAAAAATAGAACTAAATAAAACTTTTTTTATTAGTAGACATCTTTGTATATATCTTTGAAAAGTAGCTCAGTAACTGTTGGAATGTGATCAATGTAAGTCAATGGGAGCCAGAGAGAGTTGATGCAAAACTTTATCCATGGGGTCGTCCCTTCCCTTTCATTGAGCTAGCAGGTTAGCACTGTCTATCTATAAACGGTCAATGGTTCTTACCCTCTCACTTTCCTGAAGATTGCATCATGTCGCTCTTTTTCGTTGCTGGAGTTGACATCTCGTCTAGTGCTTCGTGAAGGAACCCATCTCTGAACGCTTTGCCCTGGGGTTTTCCCCAGGAACTCGCTGCAAACACAAGAGATCAGAGGCGGCTACAGGACCCAGGGGCCCAGCGTGAGGTGGAATATAAACATGCATTATTGGCTATTTAAAATATTCTTTGTCATTTTACAATTTTAAATGTTAAATATTCTCTTAAATATCTTTAGTAGAAAATATGAAACAAGTAAGAAGGGTAGAGGGAAAAAGGAGACCAGAGAGAATGCAGACAGAATTGAGAAAGAAGAGAGACTGGAGAGAGAGAAACCAAAGAGGGCGAACTACCAATGCTGCTGTGAGTGATTTCATTGTGGTAAAAAGACAACACACTGTTACAGGATTGAGACAGGAGCTAAAAAAGCTGTGTTCCCACCGAATCATATGTTGCAACGAGTTTCAAAGCAAAGGCAATGGTGACGTCTGACCATGCAAGGAATTGCATGTACCTCGCTGCATGCTCTTTTGTCGGCGCAGCAGATGCCTTGAAGCGGCACAGCCGAGGCGGTGGGTACGGCGCTTAGATGCATGCAGCAAAAGCAGGAGATGAACATCCTCGCTCCACACACGTGTAGAAACCAATCAGAGAGCAGCAGAGAACTCAAAAACAACCAAAACGAGAACTAAACCAGGATTAAAACCGGGCTGACAGTGAGTAATGCAGCGCTTGTGAACATAAGTCTTCACCCCGAGTTGACATTCTACTGTGACAAGTGCTGATAAAGCGTTTGCCGATATGGAAGTACCCACCCCTTCTGCCATGCTTTTTCCCCAACGCAGGGCAGTAGGTCAGATTGACTAAACTCATGCAGCTGAAATTTAGTGAACATGCATTGCCTCCATCAACTCACGTCCATGCATAAACGGTGGGAACACAGCTTTAGACAGAAGTTGCATGTTTGTACCAGTTCCTCTAATATTAGCATAGAACAAATGAAGGTTTGTGACTGAAGAGGAACAATGTTGTAATGTGAAGAAAAAAAAAAAAAAAAGACGTTTCCCTAAACTTCAGCCATAACACTCATGTTACTGTGACTTCACCAGTGCCCTGACATCTGTTCATTCTCAATACACCTATAGAATTAGACCAGGGGTGTTCAAACTTTTTAGAAAGACGGCCACTTTAGGTCCTGGGGCCAACAAGATGAACTGTTTACAATCCACAAGCAAAACAATAGGATTCCAGAGGTTGGGATCTTTACTAAATGGTTGAGCTAAAGTTGGCTGGATGACACTGAACTTTCATGATCTCAAAAGGATACATTGTGTTAGAAACAGATTCACTACAAAGAGACAGATGCAGAGCCTCTGTTTGCAATACTGTTTATGGCTTATAGACTATAACCTGCAGCTTATAATCAAGTGCAGCCTATTTGTGGTTCGATTTGTCTTTGTGGCCACTAACAATGGACTAACCTGTTGCCGACAGTCTTGGGAAAGTGCTGAGGTGCACCCCTACCACCTCCTCCCCCCGAAGAAGCACTGCACACACAAACGTGAGTGTTATGTTCACGAATTGGATCTTTTTTTACCAAAACCCATCACCAATATGCAGATAGTGACATTTCCCCATATTTACAATCATAGATGAACAATGCTAACCTGCTAGTACAAAGTCGTCCAGTAGGGAAGTGCTCATGGACAAAGTTTTACTCTAACTGCTAATTTACACAGGAGGCGTTACAGCACGTACGTGTTATACACGCAGCAGACGCGCATAATTTTTTCCATGTTAACCTATGATGATATTTACACTTCTAGCGTTATATGCGCGTATGACGGACGTATGACGCAAAGCTGCCCCTAATTTAGGATGGATATCTAATTTTGTGCGCGCAGCAACACGTCTCCCATTGAAAACACATGTGAAACATGATTTTTATAGTGACCCTTGGCTTTAGATCGCATCTACACACACACAGCACTTGTATCTAAACATTAGCAGAAGGACTGGCAGGTTTTACAGTGATACTAGACATCGTTTCATTTTTTTCTTTCATAAAGTCTGGCATCTGACCAAACCAGCGCACAGAGACCATGAAGACAAACACATGCATGTGATTTGTGTTGCTCTACATCAGTCCTCTACACTTCTCCAGCATAGACTACACAGGGACAGCATCAGAAGCCACGGACCTGCGCGCACGGCCAGCGTACATACACCCAAATAATGTTGCGCGCATGTGCGCGTACGCGCTGTTAACGCCTACTGTGTAAATTCCCCGTCACTCTCACACTCCTACTGACTTACATGGAAAGGTACACTCTACCTGTCTGGGCTTCAAAACACTGGTTTAGCCCCCTTTCTGATCCTGACGTTCATATTGCGATATCGTCTGGGAGAGACCAAGGGAATTGTGGATTAGGGCTCTCTGTGATCCTGCCATTTTTAGTTGACCAACGACACTTTTTTTATTGCCATTTTTTTTCACACAATTAAATCCTGCACAAACTATATTTTTTACCTTTAACATGTTTGCATGCTTCTGCGTCTTTTGCACAATCCGAGTGATTCTATGCCCCATCGATGTGTCATGTAAATTTCTCCAGTGTGAGATCAATCTTATCATATTCTGGCTCATACCTACGTTTACAATCAGACCCCTTAATTTGCATGAAAAGAATCTTTTTCAAATACACTTTTGCCAATTTTTCCAATTGACACTTGTCACTTTTGTTGTACATAATTATTGTCACTTTATTGTACATATATCCTGCATGTAACATGTTTGCACATTTCCTCCCTTTGCACAATCTGAGTGTCTCTATCCATGCCAAATGTGACATGTAAATTTCTCCTCTGTGAGATAAATAAAGCAATCTTATCTTATCTTATCTATTGTTGTATATGCATTTCTATTGCGCTGCAGCCCACGCGGTGGCCTTCAGTTTGTTCGGTCCGAGTTTTAAAGAGCAGCTACACAAAAGAAAGGGCCAGGAGAATGTGCCGGCCATTTTAAGTCTCACCACATCCTGAAGCCCACGTCCCCGACTCCCAGAGGGAACGGGAAAAAGTCACGAGGAGAAAAATGTGGAGCGAGATGTTATCAGAGAAACTACAGACTGCTGCACAACACAAAAGGATGGCGGTTATGTGTGGGAGGTGCAACAACCACTCTGCAAACAACATACAAAAATATATTATAAAAGACATTCGAATGGACCGAATCAGCCATTTAAAATGCTTACCCAAACAATTGATCCTTGTAAACAAATAGCTTTTAACCATATAGTTGTGTTTAGACTGCATAGTATAATACTCATTAGCTTATGTAACTGGAATGCATGTTTTTTTTAGCAGAAATTACACGACTTGGGCTTAAAACAAGAAAAATAAACTCTTTGTAAAAACTTGGAAAAACTCAAGCTGCTCGTTCATTGTCATTCTAAAGCCAAATTCTCTCATAGCAACTTCATAGCAACCAAAGAGCCAATCATGAACAAGACTGGTCTTTTGGCTCACGCTATTCACACTGTATATTAGCAGTAGACTGGCCATGTGCTGACGTCACCATTGTGTTTGGCTTAATGTAGAAGAAGCAGATTAGAGCTAACTCGAACAGGTTATTTGGAATGTGGAGCCAAACGTAGCAGCTAAGCCACGTTACAAAGCGCCAAACAGGAGCGGCAGTGGTCTGTCCCCAACTCGCTCTTCTCACTGCCAAATTCAAATTTGGAGACAAAACACTCCAGATTGGTCATTTGTTAAGGCTCATACCTGGATTGACAATGACAATATCACAAAATAAACCAGGCTCACAGGCAGCGCTAACCCACAGTTTTGTAAAGCCCAAAACGTCTGTGACATAAACAGTTACCTAGCTAGACGAGTTTACCTTTACACCAAGTACAAGTCAAAAGAAGCCACGGCAAGTTCTCCATGAGCACTTTCCTATTGGGCCTCACCGATCTAGCGGGTTAGCATTTTCCATCTCTATACAGGCTTTGGTTATTTACTATCCGGAGTTGAATTTGAGAACTGAAGCAACCTTATTAGTCGCTGGATTGATTGATATCTGGATTATTAAAAGACTATATCAAACTAAAAACGGCAGGATCATAGAGAGCGCTAAACCATGGATATTTTAAAGCCCAAAAAGAGTGTGACAAGTGCTGAGGGGAGTTTACTTTTCAATGCAAGTCAATAGGAGGCAAAGGAGCAAAACTTCACTTGTGAGTTACATGTACTGTCCATCTCTAAACTGTCTATGATTAAAATGGACCAAAGATCACAAAAGCCCAGTTTACAATTTGTATTGTTGGGACGCCCTCAACACGCAGCAAGTGAGCTGTAGTGTCAGTAAGTGTTTTGGGCCTGTGTCTTGGTCTTGTCTCATGCCATTAGAGTTAATGTGTGTGTGTAATATTTCTATAATGTGTTTTGTTGAAGGGTATTGTAGGGTTTTGCTTCTTGATTTTAAATGGCTGCGAGGGGGTTGAATTAATATTAGGTTTTTGCTTCATCCAATACTACATTTTTAAAGTTTTGAAAAATATATATTAAATTTTTCTGTGGGGTTAAGTGTCTTGCCCAAGGACACAACGACAGCAGTCATCAGTGGTAGTCGTGAAGTAGGTCTTGTGGTGGGCTCGACCCCACGACCATCAGGCCCATCGGCCAATGCTCTACCAACTGAGCAACTGTCGCCCTCCTTTTGCCTGAAGCCCCCGCTGAAAGATCAAGGCTCCTGTGGACTCACCACCTGCAGGAGGATCATTGAGGGGCTGACTGCCACCCCCCTCACCCAGAAATGGATTAAGGGGAAGAAAATGGATGGATGAATGGAATCTTTCTGTGTATAACTGTTTGAATATTTTTAATGTTTAAAATAAATGAGAAATCAAAAAGGAGAAATTTTGAAAGAAACCAAAGTAAAAGTGTTGTACCTGAAACGAGAAGCACCCCCTTCTGCAATCACACTCTCCACTTTGGCGGCTTGACAACGAAGAATCCCTAAAAGAATGAGTGTAATAGGGAGGGATGGGGAAAACGGTTCTGCACAGAAAAATGGGGGGGGGGGGGGGACAAAAACAACATTCGTAAATAACTGTTACTGAGGGAGCAGCAGAATAGTATGGCTTCTCTAAATGGGGAGTGGACTGGCCTCGTGACCTACTTTTGAGATCAGCCCTGACCTCCTCCAGCAAATCGCAACATTCAAAGTTATAGCTCCATGCTGCGATAATCATCTGTTCACTAAGACTCAAGTGAAGTTTCTAGCCCTAAAATAGAAGAGATCCGGTGCTTCTGCTGAGGGTTATGTAACATTCTCTCATGAAAACACAGCTAACCCAATGACCCACATATGACTTCATCTGTCCAAACATTGCATTGGTGGCTGCTGAGCTTTCATTGTTTTCCAATGGTAATTAGCCCCTGCCAGATACCTTTAACAATGCAAAGACTTTTACCTCAAAGTCAAATAAAACATTCTTAGCTCTTTGAGTCCCAGCGTTATGCAGTAATGACTAATAGTGTGCTCTGATTGAATATTGCCACTGTTTGTTTTGTGCATAAGCAACATTATGGTTTAAGCTGGGCTACATAACTTTCAAAAAACAATGAAACAATGTGATAAAATACATGCCACTGTAACAGTTTGCTTCCATCAACAGACTCTGGAAGACCAGAGTGGGAGAACAGACACATGCATAGTATTTTTTTTTTTTTTTGCTTGCGTCACATTGTTAGATCAACTATTTACAGACAGAAAATGGGAAAATAGTGGACCACCCTCACTCATCCAATCAAAAGACATTGTTGACAAGTTAGGAACCAAAGCTTTAAAAGTTTGATATTGGTTTGTTTTAAATGGAGATTGCCACAAGCCTGAATGTCAATATGCCAACACAAGGTTTATAACCATGCAGTCAATATATAAAGAATAAAAAAAATAGATAAACATACTAAAGTAACACACGTTTTGAAGAAGCTACTTTTGATTATACATAATCTACCCTGCACAAGAGACTTTATTTTTAACCTTTAACAAGTGTGCACACTTCCTGTCTTTTTGCCCAGCCAGAGTGATACTAAATATGTACATGTCTCCTTTGTGAGATCAATCAAGATGATCTTATGTTATAATGTGTGATATATAAATCCCGTTATTTTGTTTGTCTACTCCAGACACATTTTATTATTATAGAACAAATGCACCATCTTTTGCCAGTAACAATAGAATCGCAATGATTCGTGTTGTCCTAACAAGTCACCATACTAGACCGGCTCACGCATGCGCAGAACGGATCGGGCAGCGGGATTATTGAAGCACAGTAACGCGGATCATGCAGCCCGTGTCCTGCTGCTCCCATGTACCATCAAAGCATTATTGTAGATGTAAAACCACAAAACTGACTGTAGCACACAATATGTCGGTTTGGCAATATATTTTAGCGCGTAAATTTAAAGAAATGACAATTATTGCAAAAAACAATGAGGCGGGCTAATGCAGAAAATCGTGTTCGCTTTATGGGTACCAAAAATGGTTGTTTCTCGGCATCAGACAGCACATGCACACACCCTACACTCCATATAAACACGTATGTCCATTATCCAACTACACATTGTTTACAGCACGTCACAACATTTCATTTATTTTAAAGCTTCCATTTAAACATGTCACGAAAAGGAAATAATGGTCCTCAGCAGCAGCTCTATCTGTATAATCTATACAAAGCGTTTTTAGCTTTCAAAACCAGATGGCAAAATTTGATTCGGATTTTCATCCAAGAGTGAATGAAGGTCACGTCTAATGGAATACGTCCATTAGGTAATACAAACGAATTGAGAAAGACCTCACGTAACCCCTGTTAAAGTGTGGGTTTTATACCATATTGTAACAACCCCCATTAGCGTGGCTATTTTTGCTTTTATTGCAGCCTGCATTATACTCCACACAACTTTTGGTCAATAGTTGCATATTACATTAGAAGAAATTACTTGTGCCTCTCCAAATGAGGATGAAGGCAGTAGATGGCCAAGATTGGTGCCACAATGGGGAAATGTCACTGCTTACGATGAATTCCAGGAGATCGCTGTAAAACTTCTGCCTAATTTTGCGTTTGTTTGCATAGAATATTGTCATTGGATCCTCGCCGCTATGTGTCACAATTCTGACACATTTTCAATTGATATGAACAACTCATGGCATTGTACGCACTAAATAATACCAATCTAGTCAACATCAAAGAGAGAAGCCTATGCATGAGGACGCAATAGAGCCATCAAGGTTCTTTGAGAAAAACAAGACCTGTTTTATGTCAAATTCATGATGCACTTCTGTCCATAGTCGACAACTTAACAAAAGCTAACTATATATTTCATTCATGCATAAACGCATTGCAATGTTTCTGCGTATATTGATATGTGTGGTATAGCTTGTAACGATGCCAATCCACGGACAAAAGCAGAAATGCAGACAAAAGTGGGCCATAAGTGCAGGTTTCTGAGCTAACAGGCTACCGTTAGCTTCAGCGTTAGCATCGTCCGCCATTTTGAATCGAACCGGTCATAGAAAGCCCGCTTACCTTCACCAAAGCTACTTCAGTTTTAGCTTGTTTTGTCACCACCAAGGAATAAATGAAAGGGGAGAAATGGAGTGTTTGGTTGGGTTGTGGGGTTGGGGCGCGCTATGCTGTAAATGGAGCCGATTATTGTCCAGATTCGAGCCGTTTGGTCGTGTTTCCCGCAGCGGAGACAAGAGGCGACCGGAGCCAGTGTCAGGGGGCGGGACGTACATCGGCCTCCTGCTTTTCCATTGGCCCAGAGCTCTGTTGCTATGATAATTTTGACCAATGGCAATTAAAATTCTCGCTCCTCGCTGTGAAAAAAGAAACCGTGATCAAAAACAAAGAAAAGTACAATGAAGACATCATGGATTATGTTTCGTCCTCTGTCACGACTCGCGTCATGTCAAGGAAGAGTAATGACAGGTACATTCAGGCCTCATTATCATAACTTTAGCATAAGAACCTAGGGATATTCCTTTATTAGCATTTACCACAGGAAACTGGCTATGCTCCTATATTGGGCTTTAGCATTCGTGGGGATGTTATTTTATTCAATAAAATGTTGCTGATAAAGTGCTTGTCATTCAAGAAATGCAACACAAAGTGCTTTACTTTTTGGTGAAAAATAAACCCACATGTCCGTGACTCCTCCACCCGACCACCCAACAGACCCACCCCATCATTAGCCTTTAGCATCGGAAACTGGGAACATTCCTTTATTAGCCTTTAGCATCGGAAACTGGGAACATTCCTTTATTAGCCTTTAGCATCGGAAACTGGGAACATTCCTTTATTAGCCTTTAGCATCGGAAACTGGGAACATTCCTTTATTAGCCTTTAGCATCGGAAACTGGGAACATTCCTTTATTAGCCTTTAGCATAGGAAACGGGATGTTTCTTTATTTGCCTTTAACATAGGAACTGTCATAGATGAACCACACAGAGACAGGATCACGGCGCACCGGAGCTGGAAGTTTATTAGATTTCCTCCAGGTTTTAGTTTTTTCAGACAGAACAAAGTCAGGACATGGTGAATATCATTGTTACATCACAGATACGTCACACATGTGTCGCATCCAGAGACAATCAGGACATATTAGAGTCATAACATGGATACTCAATCAGAGTCCTTGTAGAGTCTTGCGTTTGTCCACCTGCGTAGGCCATAGTTATCTATCCTCCATAGAACCTGTGGACGTTACATTATTAGCCTTTAGCAGAGGAAACCGGAGACATTCCTTTATTAGCCTTTTCACTTCGGCGTGATGTTTAGTGCGCTAGCAGTTGCTACGCTTATCTGCTTTGGCGTTGAATCTTATTTGCCTTCACGGTCTTTTGTTTTAGTGGATTACTAGTAGCGTTTCTGTTCGACCTGACCTTGTTATATTGGCTGTTTACCTGCGCATATTCAACGTGTTTCTGTGGGTTTCTGATGGCGTTTCTGCTCGACCTAACTCTGTTATATTGGCTGTTCACCTGCGCATATTCAACGTGTTTCTGTGGGTTTCTGATGGCGTTTCTGCTCGACCTAACTCTGTTATATTGGCTGTTCACCTGCGCGTGTTCAGCGTGTTTCTGTGGGTTTCTGATGGCGTTTCTGCTCGACCTAACTCTGTTATATTGGCTGTTCACCTGCGCGTGTTCAGCGTGTTTCTGTGGGTTTCTGATGGCGTTTCTGCTCGACCTAACTCTGTTATATTGGCTGTTCACCTGCGCGTGTTCAGCGTGTTTCTGTGGGTTTCTGATGGCGTTTCTGCTCGACCTAACTCTGTTATATTGGCTGTTCACCTGCGCGTGTTCAGCGTGTTTCTGTGGGTTTCTGATGGCGTTTCTGCTCGACCTAACTCTGTTATATTGGCTGTTCACCTGCGCGTGTTCAGCGTGTGTTTCCGTGGGTTACTAGTGGCGTCTCTGCTCGGCCTAGCCTGGAGTGCCCCTATACTTGGCAGCGACTGCTCCTGCACGTTCGCTTGCAGGGATGTTGGAACCATTGAGCTGCCAGTCCTGTTTGGCACCTATACAGCAGGACGATGGCCATGTGCTGTGTCCCTCCTGTCTTGGAGTGGACCATCTGCGGGAGGCACTGACCGAGCGTGTGTGTCCCAATTGTGCGGTTATGCCCAGGCCCGTACGTGTGGCCCGCCTGTCAGCCTTAGATTGGCCTTCTAGAGGCAATTCTGGGGACCACAGATTGGCTTTGTTCGTTGACCGACCCCCAAGTCCTGATTGCTCCTCAGCATCGCAGGTTCCTTCGATTCGCCTTTCAGGGGCGGCCCTACCAGTTCAGCATGCTTCCTTTCGGCCTCTCTCTATCTCCTCGGGTCTTTACAAGGTGCGTTGCGGCAGCTCTTTCCCCGTTGCAGGCAAGGGGGTTGAGGATCCTGCCCTATTTGAATGATTGGCTGATCTGTGCCCCCACTCGCGAGCAGTCTCGGCGGGATACACAGACTGTGAGCGAGCACGTGACCAGGTTGGGCCTACGCGTGAATTTGGCGAAGAGCAATGTGGTGCCATCTCGGCAGGCCGCATTCCTCCACATGGCTCTCAATTCATTGTCAATGTCTGCCCGCTCTTCGCCTCGACGTATCGGGGACATTCGGGTATTGCTTCCGGGCTTCCGATACGGACGGTCTGTTCCTTATCTGGTGTTCCTCAGTCTGCTGGGAATGCTGATTGCGGCCTCAACTGTGGTTCTCCTGGGTCTCTTGTGAGGACCAGAGCAGAGAAAATGGTCTGAACCAAGCGGCTACTCCACCTCTGTTGACTCGTCCTGCTCCACCCAGTGGCTACATCACCTCTGCTGCTGTGACCTGTCCTGCTCCACCCAGTGGCTGCATCACCTCTGCTGCTGTGACCTGTCCCGCTCCACCCAGAGGCTACTCCACATCTGCTACTGTGACCTGAAGGGCTGTTGCTTATTATTACTATTGTTAGCTTTTTAGAACAATCAATTAATTTGTTTTGCTTGTGTGGATGGCTGTGTTTTTGCTGCTACTGGACATCTAAATTTCTCCTACGGGGATCAATAAAGTATCTAACTAACTAACTAGCATCAAAATAAACCAGGTGGGTGTGTATTGGCGATATGTATGTCTGTATACAGTTACTGTGTATTTTTGCATTTCTGTATTTTTTTTTAGCATACTTATTGTTTGTACATTTATTTTCGTAATGAACAAAATATCCACTCCAATATCTGCTCTATTAGCCTCTGTCACAGTGCCCTTGCTTAGCCTCTCCTCTCAGACCTGCCTGGTCTAACCTCACTGTTTGTTCTTTGGTAGTTGCTCTTATATTTCCCTGGTGTGAGCTGTAAATCTTTTCCGTCTTGTTCCATTCTCTTCACCTGCTCTCGGCCCCTGTCACGGCCCCCACCGCTGACGGAGCAGTCCCAGCATTAGCTCTCGCCGTTGTTGCTGACAAAAGCACTTATTTTTAATGCGTTTGTGCAGCTGTGGTGTGTACACACCTCTAACACGACGTTTACTAGCGGCCGAACATCAGCCACGTGTTTTCCAATTTGTTTATGTTCTACCGACTAAACTTTAACTTTGCTGCTTAAGAGCTCTGCAGAAAGAGTGTCGCAATAGTGAATTAGTGAATTTTGGGGAACAAATCAGACCTTAACATGCTCTCTTCATCTTGAAAACGGCTGTCTTCATCTTTATAATAATTATGCATCAGTTTTATAAAGTGCTTTTCAGAACACTCAAAGTTGCCTCATGTGTCATTATTCTTTCACTCCATATAAGTTGGTGTTAAACTACTACTGTACCCACAGCAGCACTCGGGCACACTGACAGAAGCAACCAGTCTTTGGCATCGGCCCCTGCGACCACCACCAACCATTCACACACACCAGACTCATTCAAGGCAGTGTAGGTAAAGTGACAGTTACACGATTCTACACGTGTAACAGCACAAATAAATGTAAATATAATAACATTCCTTTAATTGTTGCTGAATAATTAGATTTATTAATTGTTTATCAGTGCAAATCACATGATGAATGAAAACAACACAGCCAGAAGAACAACAAACACAAAATTGCTACTGTGCAAATGTCAACAGCAAAACTACATTCAAGACAATCTGCTACGACTACATGTATAGAAAATGCCTCTCGTCTGTTTCCGATGATTTTGTTCAGCTTAATGCCTCGAAGCACAAAGATTCATGAGAGATTAAGTGGATGCGAACCATGAGTGAGGCGTGAATCCGTAAAGTACTGAACTTTTCTACCAAGAATATCACTTGCCCATCACATGCCCGTGTGACCACTCGCCACATTCATTCATCTGCTGCGTTCCGGCACCTCCCACATAACAAATTAAGCACTGTTTATTACAGGGGTTTAAGTGTAAAACCATATTGGAGATTACTTGGTTAGGAACACATGATCACTGGAGTTCGTCGTCAGAGAACTTCTGTAGGACACAAACGTCTGAAGTCCACAGTGTAGAGGGTGAAGAGGAGCGGCGCGAGGACTGTCGCCTGGGGGCCCCCACACTGCAGGCTAGGACCTCAGACACAAAGTCCCTGGTTCTCACAAACCGGGGTCTGTCTGTGAAGTGTGAGGTAGTCCAGAATCCACTCAGACAGGTCGTAGTCCACTCCAGCTTGTCCCTGAGAAGCTGCGGCTGGATGGTGTTGAAGGCACCGGAGAAATCGAAAAAGAGGATCCTCACAGCGGAGCCGGGTTCCTCCAGGTGGGACGGCAAGCAGTGTTCTGTGATTTTAATACTTTGTGCGACTGTCATTCAGCAGTCGCACAATTCATTCAGCACTGCGAGTTGCCCTGTGTATGAACTATGCTATACAAATAAACTTGCCTTGCCTTGAATTTATATATATATATTATATATATATATATAAAAAAAATTGTCCACTCACCTTTGGCCCTCCGCGGGCGGTTATCCCTCTCTAAGCTTGGGTCCTCTACCAGAGGCCAGGGAGCTTGAGGGTTCTGCGCAGTATCTTTGCTGTTCCTAGCACTGCACATTTCTGGACCGAGATGTCCGAGGTTGTTCCGGGGATCCGCTGTAACCACTCATCTAGCTTCGGGGTCACTGCCCCGAGTGCACCGATCACCACGGGCACTACTGTCACTTGAAAAAGTCTGGACCTGCCCTCCCTGAGGTCACGCTGGATTTCACAGGGTCTGAGTTCCGTCTCCTCCAGGGGTCTGCTTGTGGCTTCTAGCCCCAGGAGGGGGCCACGCTTCTCGCGCCGTGAGCCAGGCTCCATGCATCAGGAGTCAGGTATTCCCAGGGTTCTCGATGCCCAGGCTGAGCCGCTCCTGTCGACCGTCCAGACCGCCCGTCCTCTCCGGCCCCCCTCTCTCTGGCCTCCTCCCTGCTCTGGTTCTGCTCACGCAGTTTTTAAAAGGCTCCCCTGTCCATGGCTCACAGGGGCCCTGATTGTCGACTTGTACTGCACTCAAATGTCCTTGGGGAGGAGGGGAGATCAGGATCGCTCGGTAAACGAATATAGAACAACAACTACAATAAAACCACACTAAAACATTCAATAAATATAAAAGCATGCAAGATTAAAACTTGTGCCTCTGACATGTGCGTCTATGAGGGTGTGTGTTTGTGATGGTGTATTAGTGTGATGGTGTATCCCTGTTTGCTTGTGTGTGTGTAATGGTGTGTGTGTTTGTGTGATGGCGTGTGTGTGTGTAGTGAAGCCAGTGTGTACCTCCTTGGGGCAGATGTCGTGCAGGTACAGGTGCAGGTCCCTGTGATGGTGCTCCACTGTGGGGGCAGGTCCATGACTCTCTGCAGAGCCTCCAGACCATGGGCTCCAGACTCAGCGACAGTCGCCTAAACCTCGCAGCATCTCGCACGACATGGGAACGCTCCCTCATCTGCCGGGTTCCAATCAGCGATCCAGAGACATTCACCATTCATTTACATTTGAGTCAATGAGTGGTCGAACAGGGCCTGGTTCAGAAAGTGGTGAAACAGGTGCATTCTAACGTTGATGTCCTCTGGGAAATACTGGAGCAGTTCAGTTGGCTCAGTTGGTAGAGCATTAGCCTTTAGCCCACCATGGAACCTTCTCCACTGACTCCCACTGATGACTGCTGTCGCTGTGTCCTTGGGCAAGACACTCAACCCCACTGTGCCTGATGCCCCCACTGAAAGATCAAGGCTATGCCATAGAGCGGCCATCCTCCTGTGGACTCACGACCTGTAGGAGGATCAGTGAGGGGCTGGTGTTATGTGAACTGGGTGGCATCTCTGGCCACCCCCCTGACCCAGAAATGGATTAAGGAGTAGAAAATGGATGGATGGATGGAGATCAGAGAAGCATTCAAAACAGGACATGCGATGATAAAAATACATCGAGCCATTGGTCCATAAGGGGCAGATGACCAATGTCCATAAATCTTTAATGATGTTCATAAGTGTTAATTAAAGGATCAAGACCGTCCTCCTGCATTAACAAGGAAAAACTAAAAAAATCCAGTGGGAAAAAAGTGAGAAACCTCTAGAAGGCCCAGAATGAGGAGGGAGTTGCTTCCACGGATGAACGGGCTATAATAAGAGGTGATGTAATATAATATTTTTACTTCCACATCCCGTCCGTCCCTCCTTATTGTTCTGAGCTCTGCCCTTTCACACAACCTCACTGTAAATGCTGTCACATCCCAGGCCCTGCAGGCTCCGCTCAGACTGCAAGTAAGCATTCAGGGCTATAACATAGACAATTTTGCCTCTCCTCTGCAGCCTCTGCCCGGTCTCTGGAGTGGTCTTGCTCACCGGTCCAGGGGGTCTGTACAGGTTCAACTTCACCACGGTGACAGAGGCGTGTCTCGCTCACAACCTCTCCATGGCAACGGGAGCCCAGCTAGAGACGCCCCTAAGTGGGGGGCTTGTGACCAGAAATAACAAAATAAACACTTAAGAATTGTTAATGATTGCCATGGTAAAAGACCTGGAGTCGTGTTTAGCCTCGTACTGAACTGAGCTTAGAGAGCAGGCCATCAGCCCGGTCTCTGGACTATCAAAAGATGCTATTGATTCTTGTAATGATTTTAGATGGGTAAATGCTGCAGATGTTATGGGTTTGATATCAGCCTTAGATTTCTGATGTGATTATAGGGAGAGAGATTGGAGGTGACAGGTAATGCCCTTCTTTTTTTGTGACCAAATGCAATCATTTGAATTTCGACTCACTGATATCTGGTCCATGTCTCACTGAAGGACTGAGTCTGGTTTTCTAATAAGATGAAGACGGTATGTTGTGCTCTTCACTATTGTGTAACTGTAGTGCTTCACGTGTCCAGCAGAGGGCAGACTGAGCCTCTGTTTGAAACACATGAAGCGCGTTGAGTTTGCAAATTTGTTACCCAAAGAACTATTATAAAAGTTTTTAGTGGTAGGGGGAACCATATAGATGGTCTTCTCTGGATGCTATCTCTGTGTAGGTCCAGAGAAAACCTACACAGACAGAACATGCAAACTCCAACATGCAAATTATAAAAACTCATATAATAATATGGGTGTTGAATATGGATATGATACATAATAATACATCGTAAGACTCTTTACATGTCATTATTCTTTCACTCCATACTCGGTGGTGATAAATTACTACTGTAGCCACAGCTGCCCAGGGGCACACTGACAGAAGCGAGGCAACCAGTATGTGCCATCGGCCCCTCCCACCACCACCAACCATTCACACACACAAACACCATGACTCATTCTAGACAATGGGGGTGAAGTGTCTTGCCTAAGGACACAACGACAGTTTGGCACTTTACAGCCGCAGCCGCCCCACTGTGGCTGGTGTTCCCAGAGGTTAAGTGCCTTGCCAAGGACACAACGACAGCAGACAGCGAGAGTCGATGGTGAAGGTCGGGCTCGAACCCATGACCCTCTGGTAGTACCAACTGAGCCACTGCCGCCTTACATGGTTAAAACAAGTGTATGGAATAGGAGATGGTCAGAATCTGCTTTTAAAATACGAATAAACATAAAATCTAACACAGTGAGATCTAAACTAAGGAAGAAAAATTTATAGAAGAGGAATATGAGGCCATATTTTTTTTATAGGTCTCTCTATCTCTCTCAGGTCTCTCTCTTTCTGGGTTTTCCCTCTGGCCTCTTTGGTCTCTCTATGGTCTCTCTCTGGTCTCTCTCTGTTCTCTCTCTGGTCTCTCTCTGGTCTCTCTATGGTCTCTCTCTCTCTGGTCTCTCTCTGGCCTCTCTCTGGTCTCTCTCTGGTCTCTCTCTCTCTGGTCTCTCTCTGGTCTCTATATGGTCTCTCTCTGGCCACTCTCTGGTCTCTCTCTGGTCTCTCTCTGACCTCTCTCTGGTCTCTCTATGATCTCTCTCTCTCTGGTCTCTCTCTGGTCTCTCTCTCTCTCTATGGTCTCTCTCTGGTCTCTCTCTGGTCTCTCTCTCTCTCTGGTCTCTCTCTGGCCTCTCTCTGGTCTCTCTCTCTCTGGTCTCTCTCTCTCTCTGGTCTCTCTCTGGCCTCTCTCTGGTCTCTCTCTCTCTGGTCTCTCTCTGGTCTAACATTGGTCTCTCTCTCTCTCTGGTCTCTCTCTGGTCTCTCTCTGGTCTCTCTCTGGCCTCTCTCTGGTCTCTCTCTGGTCTCTCTCTTGTTATCTCTTATAGGGTTATAGATAGTTATAGATGAAAAGCATTTTCTACCCTTTGTACTCACCCTTGTTTTACATTCTAAAACATGAAATGACATTGGACGCTTATTAGGAAAACGGGCAAGAATCGTGAACTTCTACTTCTTCAATTCAGCTTTAACACAGCTAAATCTCCGGAAGTCATTGTTAAAATACACAAGCACGGCGTCTTCGAGTGTAAGGGACAGGAAAAAACAGCAGACCCGCATTTAAACTGTAAAAATTAGATTTATCATGTGGAGTCTGATTCTAAAGCTCCTCTCTGTCTGGAAGCCGGACATCTCTCTCTCTCTAAATATATCTGTGGCTGTTTGTCTTGTCGTCGTGGGGTTAAAACAGCGACATTGATCTGGAGCAGCAGGTCCACGTTATCGCTGCACTGGGACATGAGGAAGAGGAGGAGGAGGACCACACTGGAGATACCATCAGCCGATAGAGCCGCTCCAGGGCTCAGGGCTTAAGCAAGACCTCACGTGTCTGCTGTGGCGAAAGATCCGAGGAGAGACATTTATTGTCATTTATGGTCATCTGCCTGTGTTTTATTATTGCATTTTTGGTGTTGAACGGTTTGATTCTCTGATTTGTGTTGGCGAATTCAACGGTTTTGAATTCGAACAATTGAAATGGGCTCTTGCTGGTATGTCTGGTCTCTCTCTGATCTCTCTCTTGTATCTCTTTTCTCTCTGTTGTGCTGTCCTCAGTAGAAAAAAGTGAGAAACTTGAGGGAAGCCCATATTGAGAGAGGGATCTATACTCTCACGTCCGGACAGGCTGTAGATCCAGGACTGAAGAGGTTCCCGACTACAATTGTTTCCACCTTGTGTTGATTTTTCCATCACTGAGAATATTTGATCATTAGCTAGATAGAGCTTTTTCTCCTGTGCTAAAATGGGAGCCAGTTGACACGGTAACAACAGCAGAGAGGCTTTCTCGGTATATTGGATTCTGGTTTGTGTTTTGTTTTGTTGCTTTCAGGATGTTTGGAAACTTCACACTTTTGGAAAACCCTCAAATGTCGTGTGAAACGTGTGGGAGTCCAGAGATGTGACTCAAAACTACCGCAACAACAACAACAGCGAGTCACATGAGCAGGTGCTACAGCAGAAAGCCGAGAAAGGCCTGCAAAAAAGAGCCCTGAAAGCTGATTGGCTGAGAGAGGGTGGTCTTCTTTTTGCCACTATTTCTGTCTGAACAAGCAGATCTATAAATATGACAGAAGTCTCTCTCTCTGGGTGCTCTCTGGTCTCTCTCTTATGTCTCTCCGCCCTTCCTCTGGTCTCTTTGGTCTAAAATGGTCGTACTATAGGGTAGAAGTCCTTAAACATATTCTGAAATGTGTGATATTGTGTGTGTCATTCTACTGTATAGGGCTGCTTTTCTTCAGCAGGGAAAGGTTCAAATTGCACTAAATTATACCCATTTAATACATTTCCTGTTTGATCTGCTACTTCCATATAAGATCAAAGAGAGAGACCAGAGATAGACCAGAGAGAGAGAGAACTGAGAGAGACCTTGGAATGACTAGGGAGAGACCAGAGAGAGACCAGAGAGAGAGAGAACAAGGAGAGACAAGAGAGATCAGGGGGAA